TGGGCGAACATCCCAAGCTGGAAGACCCTGTCCTGCTGGAGCAGAGCTGATACACTGGGAAGCCTCTCCCTGAAGCAGGGCTATAAGCTGCTATGCCCTATTGTAACCTGTGGTATTCCTTGGCTCCTGATTGCCAGCATATCTTTCCATCCAAGCTGTAACACTCAGTATTCTTTGGCTCCTGAGTGCCATAATCCATCCCCATCCATCCCATCAGATCCATTGAAATGCTTACAGCATTTGCACACATGAATTCACAACAGTTGCATGTGCAAGACCTGCAGGAGATCAAGCCAGTCAAAATCCTTGCATGGACACAAGAGGGGCTCACAAAACCTCACCCGGTGTTGAAGTGCTATTGGCAGTTGACTGTTGCTAAGGGAGAGAAAGTCAGTATCTTTCTGGAATGTGGCCCCTGGTAAATTGACTATGTTCCAAGGCATGGCCCTTCCCCCAATCACATATGAGCAGCACTAGCTAGACTTGATGGGCTAAAAAAAAAATCCCTAAAGCTAAACATGGTGGCACATGCCTTAAATCTCAGAACTTGGGAAGCAGAGGCAGGCAGATCTCTGTGAATTCAAAGCCCACCTGGTCTACAGAGCAAGTTCCAAGATAGAGACCCTGTCTCTAAAAGAAACAAATAGTAAGTTAGGAGAGGGACAGGGTAGGGAGGCTCTGGTAGGAGCTGGATGGGAGGGAGTGGGAGTAGCTTTGAGTAAGGGACATGTATGAATGTATGGAATTTTCAAAGGATTTTTAAAAAGTACCTAGGGTGGACTCACAGAGATTAATATGTTTAGGGTTTTGTAAACCTCTCTACTGATTTGGGTTTCTTGTTGGGGAAGGAGATATATTACTGTAACTTCTATAAAGCAAACTTATGTAAAAAAGTTACAATTGTTCCCAAAGTTGTGCTCTATTTTTACTAAGGTAATTTTATTGGTTTATATAGTTCATCAAGTATTAAATAAAAATGTTTTAATTAATACAGAAAATGGCTTCATAATTTACTAATATGACTAAGCAAGGACAATGCTTCTTTTTGGGTTTTTTTTTAAAGGTATGATTTAAAGCATTTTCTTGGGAATGTGGACTATCTTTTTAACTGTATAAATTATTTATCTGAAAATCAGATTCTGGCTGCCATCTAGATCTCCAGCAATAATAATGCCAAGAAATACATGTCATTACCTTTACATGTTTGGCTTTTAAAGTATTAAGATACTTGATGACAGAAATATCATTAGTATTATTTCTGGCAATTTCATGATATACATTTGAAATCTCAGAAATAATATGAAGATACCAAAGGAAAATTCATACAACAGGAAAGACCTTAATAACATCATTGTTATGGGGAAATTGAGCAAGAAGTATCCCCAATGAGACAGAATAAGCAGCCAAAGAAAGAGACAGAGCTCAAGATGCAGTACGGCTAACAGGGTCACACACCACTGAGAAAGAGATGATAAGGAACAGTAATGTTGCAAAGAGAAAAATGCAAGAGAAATAAAAAGTTTGCACAATAAGGATTGGATATGTCTTAGTTCAGTTTTTATTGCTGTGATAAGACACCATGACCATGGCAACTCTTATAAAGAAAACATTTCATTGTGGTGGCTTACATTTTCAGAGGTTCAGTCCACTATCGTCATAGCAGGGAGCGTGGCAGTGTGCAGGCAGATGTGGTGCTGGAGGAACTGAGAGTCCTGTGTGGTTTGTTTTTTTTCCCCATGTTGGCAGCGTCTTTTATTCATACGAAGGGACAACTGTTCACAGAGCAGTGACCTCACACTGAAACACCTGACATGGAGATGTTCGACAGGTGTCAGAGGACCACACAGCCTGCACTGGTGATGGTGCTGCTTGAACAGAAGGCCACAGTAGGCACACGTCCTTGTTTTTATTTCTTTATCCAAATTTACGTACAGCTTGGGGTGGCTCAGGGTACCACCCCCTACGTCACAGGCTATGATGCAATGGTCCACCTTTGCATAGTAAACCTCATTTCCCTTATGCAGCGTTTTTTAAATAAGTCAACAGATGGCCCTGATAACAAAATTTCTTAAAACGACATGAATCTGAGAAAGGTTATTTGTAGGAGGCGGGGTGAAAGAGGGGAAGAGGAGAAAAGAAAAGATGGAGAGTGAGAACAATCAGAATGCATATACATACATGTTTAAAATTGTCAAAGAACAAGCATGCTAACAAAAAATTAAGTCAAAATAATAGTGAAAACATGTTTAAAGTAAACACAAAGTGGGGCAAAGAGAGACAGAAATCATACAATCAACTCAATATTTCAGAAAGGCATCTGATGAAAACTCAACATCTTTCTTCATAATAAAAGCCCTGACAGAATAGGAGCAGAGGGACCAGATCTCAGCACAGTATGACATGTTAACACAGCATTATATTGATGGGAGAAAACTCAAAGGATAATCTGATAAAACTGAGAAGAGAACAAGAATGTCCACTCTGTCCTCTCTTATTCGCTGTGGTGCTCGGAGTCTTGGCTGGAGCAGTAAAGACAAGAAAAGGAAATGAAAGGGAGACAAATGGGGGAAAAAAGTCAGTGTTCTTATTTGAAGATGGAATTTCTCCAGAAAATTCTATTTTTTTTTTTTTTTTTGGTTTTTCGAGACAGGGTTTCTCTGTGGCTTTGGAGGCTGTCCTGGAACTCGTTCTGTAGACCAGGCTGGCCTCAAACTCACAGAGATCCGCCTGACTCTGCCTCCCGAGTGCTGGGATTAAAGGCATGCGCCACCAATGCCCGGCCAGAAAATTCTTATATCTAATAAACACCTTCAGTAACCTTCCTATATACAAATAACAAACATTTTGAGAAAGAAATCATGGAATAATTCCCATTCACAACTGCCTTATAATAGACAGTAAATAGACTAATGAACAGTTTTCAGACAATGAGATATAAATAACCACAATAAACATATAAGAATGTTCAAGCTTGTCAGAACACGGTCCAAGAATGGAGTCATGCGAGGAGAATTCTGAGTGCTTGTGAGAAATCTCTAGGAAAACAAGTCAGGATGCTTAGGACCTTAGTTTCCTCAAAAACATGGAATTGTTCTTGGAATGTGCCAGGTGTAGCAAACATGAGGGCACTTACTTCAGATTATTCATTGTAACTGGCTGTTGTTACTTATTTACATGTCTCCATGGAAAAACAAAGTTTTTGTCACATGCAGCTTGTCCATGTGATTGAACACCTTACTCGTGTGACTCTTCTTAACCCTCAGGGTATAAACTGTCTGATGCTCTGAATAAAGCTGGCTATTGCATGAGACTTTAGTCTGCCTCATTTATTGGTTCCATTCTCCCAGGTCCCACCACCTCTAGAGTGGTGACTCAGCCTCACTAGCCATCAGAGAAATAAGAATTGGAATTACAATGAGATTCCATCTCATCCCAGTCAGAACAGCAGTTATGTAGAAAACAAACAACACAGCAGATGTGGTGGTGTATACCTTTAACTCCAGCGTGTGAGAGGCAGAGGCAAGTAAATCAAGTCTAGAAAACATCCAGTTTTAGGGCTACATAGTGAGACCATAGTCTCAATCTAAACTACACAAAACAACATATCCTGCTGAGAATGTGGGCAAAAGGGAACTTTCTACATGGCTGGAGGGGATGTAACTAAACCAACCTCTATGGAAGTGCCTCAAAAAACTAAAATAGTAGATAAGCTATGGACCTATCCTAAGTGTCCAAAAACAGAGTGGATAAAGAAAATGAGGTTATGTATACATAATGGAATTATTCTCAGCACCAAAGAAGGAGATTATGTTTACAGAAAAACCTATTGTAACTGGACATAATCATACTAAGTGAATTAAGTCAGTCTCGACAAACATACTTTCTCTCATCTAGATTTTTTATAGAAAGATCAAATCACACATTTATAAATGGCATGGAAGTTCTAGAAAAGAAATTTCGTAGGAGAATAAAGGAAACAAACATGAGAGAACAGTGAGTGGTAAAGGGTATGGTAAATGCTCAATATTGTAGATACTATATAAAAAATCCTTATATAACACAGTATCATGTGCAATGAATACATATAATAAAAATGTAATAGTAATAAAAAACAAATATGGCCACAATTTCCAAGAACTCTGGAATATGACCAAGAGACCAATCTAAGAATATATGGAGTTCAAGTTGAGATTAAAAGCAAACAAACAAAATAAAAGTATTTAAAACATACATTTTATATATAGAAAGTTCCCCAAATTTAAGGAAAGAAATGACATTCAAGTACAAAAGGCATTCAGAATTCTAAATAGACATGACCACAGAACAACCTCTCCACAACATTAAAGATGCTAAAAGAACAAAGACACAATCTGAACTGCTGTGAGAAAAAAACAACTCACACAGGGAACCAAATCAGAATAAGATCACCTCTCAAAAAGAGCCCTGAAAAGCCAGACTGCTATATCCAGCAAAGCTGTCTTTAAAAACTGACAGAGAATAGGGACATTTCAAAAGAAGCACAAACTAAAGCAATTCATGGCCACCACTCAGGAGTGTGTGTGTGAGTGTGAGTGTGTGCGTGTGTGCTCGCGCGCGTGCACGTGCGTGCGTGCGTGTGTGTACACGTGCATGTGTGTGTGCGTGCGTGCGCTTGCGTGTGTGTGTGTGCGCGCGTGCACCCGCATGCACAAATGTACATATGTGTGTGGAGGCCTGAGGCCAGTATCAGGTGGTGGTCTGCATTGCTTTCCACCTTACTTTTGGAGACAGTGTCTCTCTGTCAACCTGGAGTTCCAGTCAGCCACACTGGCTGGTCAGCAAATCCTAGGGATCTCCCTGTCTCCCCCTTCCCAGTGCTGAAATCATAGGCGTTGTGTGGGTTCTGAGAATCAAACTTAAGTCTTTGCAATAACTGAGCCCGTCTCCCAGGCCACCCCTGAAAGCTGTTTAATCAGTCTCCTATTAGAGAAAAGGCAAGCAATAAGTCTCAATCAAGATGCTTCTCAAAAAATTTCAGGAATTTTATTTGTTTTTAAAATTCATTTTTAAACAGTATTCCAAGGCAAAAAAAATAACACATGTAAATTATAAATACAAAAGTCTTCAAAGTACATAAAACCCATGATACAAACCATCTTTACATATACAAAGTCCAATGGAATTTCTCACATAGAAACAAGGAAAGGATTCAAAGCGCTCATCTGCAGCCCACAAGCCAAGCCCTCTGGGCCAGCCCTGAGAGCTGCAATGTAAGCTAAGCTGTCTCCTTCAGAGCTTTACTCTGTCTTCCTCTGGGCCAGCCCTGAGAGCTGCAATGTAAGCTAAGCTGTCTCCTTCCGTGTGTTACTCTGTCTCCCTCTCCATTTTATGTGTAAGACAAAGACCAAGACTTCTCACAAGCTGGTGCTTACTATTTCACTTCAGTAACCCAGCTACAGAACAGATAAGCCACGAACGTTATCTGAAAAGCAAAGTTTGAGTCATTCTCAGCAAATTCTAAGCAACACATACTACTCAGATACTTATTTTTATAAAAATTAAGATTTTTTTCACTTATCATATCCGCTTAATCACAGCAAGGGTGTAAATTCCTCAACCTACCAGCCAAAAAAGGTAAAAAAGAAACAACCTTAACTCTGTCCAAGTTCTTGTTCACTCTAATCAGCTCCTGCAAATGCCATGTGGGTCTCTAATCTAAAATCCATCTACAGCCAGAGGGCATCCAGTAGCAGCCCGCTTGTCTAACATGGTCAAGGCCCTGGTTTCAATCTCTAGCACCACAAAGAAATAAAAGCTAGAACACATGAGTGGTTTATTCCCTCTGCCCACCCCACAGCTAGTACTATGCACTGACAGCAGAAACAGCTTCACGGTCCGTCTACTATTAATGTTAGTACTCATTAATTCCTATTGCAAAATGAAGATATTTGATTTTTTATTTTATAAAAACTATCTATTATTGTTGGGCAGTGATGGCACACACCTTTAATCCCAGCACTCAGGAGGCAGAGACAGGTGAATCTCTGTAAATTCAAGGCCAGCCTGTCTACAGAGCAAGTTCCAGGATAGCTAGGATGTTACAGAGAAATCCTGTCTCAAGACACACAAAAACAAAAACAAACAAACAAACAAAACTACATCTATTACTAATTAATCTCTATTGTCCTAAATAATATTTCTGGAGAAAGTAATTAAATGTAAGCTTCAACTAAAGATTCTAAAAGGAGGTTAAAAACAAAACTAGTTACTGATGTTGCAAAGTTTTTTCTGCATCAAAAGCAGTCTCTCCCAGCTACTTAGGAGTCTGATGCAGGAGGACCACAGGAGTCTGTGTAATGCAATCACTTCACAATATGAGTTCTCATTTCCCAGGGAAAATTGGGGGTGGGGGAGGGGGCACAGTAAACAGGAAGTGAGGGCAAAGAGAAAGCCATCACCTTCCCGGCCTCAGAAATTTCTGTGAGACAGAAACCATGAACAACTCTCTTCAAAGTCGTAAAGAGAATAGCACTGATAAAAGTAAACAGACTAAAGGAGAAGTTATGTTCTATTAGTTCACATTTCATTGACTTACTAACAGCTAGCTATGGAACAGAGGGTTACGTTTAGTCAAGTAATAAGTAAAAAATAGAGGGCTGGGTGGTGGTGGTGCACACCTTTAGTACCAGCACTTGAGAGGCAGGGCAGGAGGATCTCTGTGAGTTGAGGCCAGTCTGGTCTGAGTTCAAGAACAGTAGGACTGTTACACAGAGAAACCCTGTCTGTACAAACACACACACACACACACACACACACACACAAACAGTGCAGAGTGGTGCTCACTTAAGACGCTGACACCCAGAGTTAAGCTACTCACAGGGTTGTCATCAGCTATAGAGACAAATCTCTCTCATGTAAGACTTTAGCTCATAGAAAGAACTTGAAATACAACACTCACTGAGTTATCAAAAGAAATGTTGCAGACTGTGCACAAAGACACTATACTTTAAAGCAAGTTTAAAGAGTGCAAATAAGCAACATGATTTTATTTGGAAAACCATACCCCCTGGGGTAAGTGTGGCTCAGAAAACCATTACCTTGCAGCATAGCCTGCATAAAGAATGACAGCATCAATACATAGAATTCCTTCAAATGGTTCTCATTATTTACGCCAACCAATTTGAATGCATCAAGGAAGTTTACCAATAACAAGGTACATATTTACATTTCATTTGCATGTTAAGAACAAATTGTTAATAACAGTGATGATTATAAAAAAAACTGGAGTGAAAAAGTATGTTCATTTGTGGAAATGGCTATACTAACATTATTCATCCAGCCATAAACACTTTTGTTATGAATGCAATACCAAAGTACAATTCACAGTATTATAAAATGTTGATATACAGACTTTCCATTTTTGTCCAATTTAAAATTAAAGAGTCGAACTACATTTATGCTTAGCTATTTTACTCTAAAACCTGTAAAATGTATAAAATACCAAGATTATCAACAGTCACATATGTTCGGAAGTCAGGGGACACATGTATTTTCTTGAGGTTTGTTCCATTTGTGTAGAAGGTCTGTGAGGGTTCGCCAGTGACAACATTCCACCACTATTTAGAGAAAAATGAAACTTTCATTAGATTAGTAACCACACTGCATGGTCATTTGTAGTGCCAACTAGCTCCTTTACCCAACTACTACTGACTCCTAAGCCAAGCAATGAGCAGGAATGATGCCTGAAGTTTACTAGTCTTTGTTGGTTAACCCTGGTGATGGCCTCACAGCTATGTCTGTCCCCAAGGCCACTGCACAGCACTGAAGAAAAAACGACCACTAGAAAGTTGGGAAGGGTTGGGGGTGTCTGCATGTCTTCTCCATGGAATGGGCACATGACAGCTTTTCCACACTAAGACATCCTTCTAGAGGCATAGACTGTACTCCAACAGATACCCAGACTGCTCACAGTACAGACAAGGAAAGAGAACAGTCTTCCTAGAGAACCCTTTTCTCCGGGGATGATGTAGGCTGCTATGTGACAATCTATGTTGAATACCAGCAGGTGCTCTAATGACATTCCTCACTGAATTCATGAAGAGTATAATACTATTTTCACCAAGTGGTACTCACAAAACTTACTGTCCTATCTCAGAGCTAAACTGAGGGCAAGAGACAATGCACTCAAACATGTTTTCAAAAGACCTATAGTGCACCAAGAGCCTGAGTGTCACAAACACACAACAATATTCTGGCCTATGTGCTCTGCCTTGCCATGAGTCAGGCTTGAGTATTATCTTTCCTCGTGGTAGTGTATGTCATGGAGTTTGGTAAAGCAGCATGCACTTCCAAAAGCAGCACCCCAAAGCACAAAGAACACACTCCAGCCCAGGAGGACCCGCTTGCAGTGACTAGGGCTTGTAGAGATCGTCTCCTAGACCCATCTGCCTCACTTTGAAAATAAGAAACCTGGGTTCCTGAGAGAATTAAGACTCAGAGGACAGTGGAAGTGGACAGCAGAGGTAGAACAGTTTCTGACTTCCAAATATAGTGTCCGTCTGTCACATACACCATTAAAAAAGGACTTCTTAACCTGCAAATATACAGCAGCCATGGTTCAATATGGAATGGAAATACAAGATTTTGTAGCAGCAAACAGAATTTTCAGGGTAATGAATTGGTCAATATGACTCTATAGTTGTAGATACACGTCATTAGAGATTTATCCAAGAGAATAAAATGTGTAACACCACACCTTATCCTTACATCGACAATGCACTTTAGGTGTTGATGATATATCAGCTTAAGTCCATCGTTATAACAAACATGAATATCTGATGCTGATAGTGGAGTAAGTCTGAGTACATATAGAAGCAAGAGATATACAAGAAATATCTGTAACATGACACATATATCATTATACCCATCTTACAGACAAAACAACTGGAGCAAAGAGAGGTAAAACAACCTTGTGAAAAGTCACAAAACTAGTGACTGGCAGAGCTGAGGTCTGAACTCAGGCAGTCTGTCCCCAGACCCACTCCACAGTCATAACAATACTCTTCTGAGTATAAAGCCCCCTCATTTGTGACCCTGTGTTCCACATCTTATATCAGCCTTTGTCTTCAGTGTACGAATTAATATGAACTTGTCATTCTAGCAATCTGTTTTCTGTGGTATGACTCCAGCAAAAGCTAAGTAATATTATGTAATAATTTTGAGAATTAAGAACATTTTAGTTACTAGACACCTAGTATTTTACTCACACTCAACTTACATTGTTCAGATTTTAAACAGACCCAAAATGCCTAATTTCTTGGCCACTCTAGCAGCTGTTTCTTCTTACTCCTAATTTGTTCCGTGCCTTTAGATGGTCTCATTAACATGCTGGGTAGATGCAGGCTGGGTTATAACATAATTAGTTTAACTATGCTAGTAATCAAACAGAAGGCAAAGTGCTGATTGTCATGTCAACACATAGACTACACAGACAGGCAGCTTCTTCCAGCCTCAAGACATAACTTTTACGGTACAGCAGCAGAAGCATCCTTCTACTTTATGTCAAGGCTGCTCACTGATCTTCAAAATATCCTGGAAGCCAGACAGCTATGCAGTGGCATTCTACAGAGTTCAGAGATTCTGGAAGCTTTGGTGCCAAGGCTGGGCAGCTACGTTCCCACGGAAAAGACTTTCCTATTCCAGCACGAAAACAGCAGCATCTGTCCTCTACACATCATCCTCAGAACTGAGTCATCTGTCTTTACACTAACGGAGGACAAGGGGCAGCAATAGTCCAGGAGCTCACGATGACTAAATGAAAGTGTGCCCCCAAAGGTATCCACTAATACAACATTAAGATACTTGTTTCCAACGCAGGCTGGAAAGGTATCATTTCACAAATTGAAAACATCCCCTCATTTATCTGTTGTAAGTTAGATGCTTATGTTGAGTCAAACTGTAATAATATGAGACCCTGATAACCAAAGACCTTATTCAAACACTTATGAACATCTGTGTTATGAGGTAGTGAGATCATCCTCACTTGGCTGTTCTCAGCCACCTCACAAAAATCTTATGGGATCAGTTGTAAATGGCAAAGCTTACAGAATACCCAGTGGTCAGCATGATGTGTAGTATCCCTTTCTGCTCCTTGTACAACCGACCTGTCCATTCTTCTCCTTTTTGCCTCCACTTACCTCCTGCAAACTTCTCTCAGGCCCCTCCCATACTTTAAGGACTTCATTTTCCATTTGCTTCCTGTAGGGAATATTAGCCACCACTGGGAAAGGACAACCCTTAAATATGCCACAACACATGGTAGGAACTAAACACAGTCTTACTGAATGGGTAAATGGGCCAATAAATGCCGTCAGAGCCCTATATATAATACGCTTAAACCTTGGTGCCAATAGTCACTATTGAGTAAGCACAAGCCAACTTGTTAGAGACAGTAGGAGAAGCAGAGGACCTGCTAGGAGTCTTGGCCCTTGTAGTTACTAATCACAAAGTTTTAGGAGAGTGATAATCTCCATGAAAATCAGTTTTGGTCATCTATAACCTAAAGGGCGTAAAACTTTAGCATTACAAAAATGATTAGTGAGTTGATAAAAATCAAAGTCTATAGATAATAAATTATATGCTGCTACTATTATTATCAAGAAAAATTTCACAAATATATTTTTCAAATAATCCCAACCCAAATGTTTACTGCTGAGTACCATCAGAGATGAAGTAGGCTCATGCAGGTTCAGATGGGGAGATGAGAGCTCTCACATTGCTACTGCTGTCACCCAAGACGCTAAGAGGCCTAGAGAAAGTAGCCTTCTGGAGGTCAGCCACCACTGCAAAGTTGTCTCACAACAGCTTCCCCTCTACTCTGCTGGGTTATAGGAAAGCCAACTGGAGAACACTAAGTGGAAACTGCTCAGATACGACCCAGACTGCTCTTTCTTCACGTCTTTGAGTAACTCTTACCTTCAGATACCCTCCAGCAGAGACAAGCATTTTGCTGTCAGGAGAGAAGCAAAGATCAGTCACCCAGCCTCCATGGGTAGCAGTTCCTTCTTCTACTGAAATCGGAGCACACAAATGAAGAAGCTGGCCACTTGAGACATTCCACATCTACATAAATATCATACATAGTTCATTAATAGGGTAACCCTGAAGTTTACCAGTTTCAAAGTACACATACACATCATCTGTGATATTTCTGGAAACCTTTCTTTACAAACAAAAAGAATAGCATGCTAGATCAGAATGCTATCAATTTCCACTGAATTAAGAAAGAAAAGCAGGCAAAGTGGCATACACCTCTAATTCTAGCTGCTTAGGAGGCTGAAGTAGGAAGATTTTGAGTTCAAAGCCTGGGCAACATGGTGAGACTCTGTATCCAAGAACTAGAAAATTAAAGGTGTTTATCATTGAAATTCTAAGCAATGTGTGAATAAGACAGATCAAAGCAAAGGAATCGTGACATTCCTGGAAGGCTGGTAGATCCCTGAAAGTCTAAAGCCTCCTATTTTCTCTGCATTACACAGATTCCTCCTGGAGTTTTAACACTTCTGCTTAAAAGCCAACAAAGAACAACAACAAACCCACCACCAGAAATAAAAACATTCTCTTCAAAATTACTGGTTACCAAGGCTGCAGACATGACTCAGCAATTAAAAGCACTGGCTAATCTTCCAGGTTCAATTCCCAGCACCTCCAGTGCCAGGGGATAAGACACTCTCTTCTGACCGCCTTGGTCACCAGGCATGGATGTGATACACAGACACAGATGTAGGTCAAATACCCATACACATAAGAAAAACAAAAACCTAGTTATCAAAGCAGCTATCCCAGTGCTCAAGTTTTTCACTTTCTGTACAATTCTTCTAATACCAAAAGTAATCTGGTTGCTTTCCTATGGTTTCTGATCTTTTAGCATGCAACACTTTCGACACTAGTCTTTATTTTCACAGACACAAAAGAATAGCATGCCATAACTCTCAGAAAAATGTTTCCTAGGAGAAGCTGGCATAGTTTACATGTGTACCTTCAGAAGTACAGGGTGATAAAAGCTGGCTGCTCGTTTGGACTCCCTGACAGAAATGTGAACCTCAGTAGAGCTTCATTAACAAAGACAGATAGTCCAAAGAGGACTGTAACAAACCCAGGAAAATGCTGACTAGTGGGTAAAGTTCTAAAAAGATCTCTACTTTGAACAATGAGAGGAGAAGAATTTGCAATTAATTTATGAACCAATGGTTTACAAAATTCTCTAAAATTACTCTACATTCTGCCACTTTTTAAAAAAACCTTTAGTTTACATTAAAAATCAAGACAAATCATTCACAAACAGTAAAGAACCAACTGTAAATATGTATTCACATATGTAGAAAAATATCTGTGTAACACTTATTTACTTTTACTTTTTCTTTTATTTGCTTATTTTTATTTTTTTGAGACAGGGTCTTATCATGAAGACCCCAGCTGGCCTGGAACTCATTTTATATAGACCAGGCTGGCTTCAAGCTGAGATACACCCGTCTCTGCCGTCTAAGTGTTGGGTTAAGGGTGTGCACCAACATGCCACCTGACTTATCTAACTCTGAAGTGCATTTTTTCCTGCTGTGAAGGTGGCTATGAATATGGAGAGCACAAGAAACAGCAAAGGAAACTCCATCTAACCAAAATCCCAGGACCTATCCCACTGAAAGAGGTCTCCAGTGTTAAGCTGCTGTCTGTAATTCCAGGACTTAGAAGGCTAAAACAGAAAGAGCTGGAATCAGGCCTGGCAAGGTTGAACAGTGAGTTCAGGTCAGCCTAAGCTATACTACACGACTATCAAAAACCATCAAACAAACAACCTCAGTGTGGGAAGAATGCCAGCCCACGCTAAAGGGTAAACGCTATCTCAGTCAGCAACCCTACCCTGATTTCTCCGTTGTCATCTCCAGTTGCCAACAGGATGCCATCCAGAGAGAAGGCAGAGCAGCGGACACAGCCAGTATGACCCTTCAACTCATGAAGAGGGGAAAGCAGTTCAAAACTCCAGATCTGGAAGGCAATTGGGATTATTTAGGAATGGTAAACACATACAAGGCCTGCCCTAAGTGCTACACAGCCAAAAAGTTAATCACATGCAAGTTACAACATTTGGTGGTGCCTAAACTTTCACAAGATGCCCAGCTCCACCCTCGTCAGTTTCTTGGGACTTCTAAAATCACGTGTCACAACTTGCACACCAGATCAGAGGTGGTGGTAGGCAGACACGGAAGAAATGGCTGGAAAGAAAGAAAGTAATGGGCCAAAGACCTTGCCTGTAAAACATCACAGACAGGTGAATCACAGGCCGTTAAAGGGTAGCACGAAGGATAAAGGAAAGGCGTTGCCCAAGAAGCTGCCCGCCAGTCCGTAGGGAAGAAAGCATGGTCTTTGGAAACCAGGGAAAGCAGACAGAACTGAAACACTGGGCAATGACCAACAGCACCAAGACAGCTGGACAATGATGTCATTAACAAAGATAGAGGAAGAGAAGAGGATGCAGTGCTGAGAGTCCCCAAGCTGGAATGTCAAATTATCCACTTACACCAAGTGAAAACAATTGTGTCTACTTATACCCCTCTCAATTACTTTTACTGAACATAATATACTGCAGATTCTATTTGATTATTTCTTAATACTTTAGGAATTAAGAAATTAAGAATCTGAAAAATTAAGAATCTTTTTTACAATCTTAATTCTCTATAAAGGAAAATCAGAATTATTAAATGTTATTCATTTAATCTATCCAATGCCAAATGAATGTGAGTGGACAGGCATCCTCCAAAGGCCTGTGGCACAGGACAGCTCATATGATCCTCTAGCTTTAGTTTCTATATATGCAGAATTGAAACAATGACACCTCTGATAAGAAGATCAAGTGAGATTCCAGGGAGTGCAACTCCTAGCACTACATGTCCTAAAATATGAGACAGGGACCAGGCAGATGGCTCAGCCAGTGCACTGGCCTCACATGCCTAAAGACCCGACTTCGAGTAAAAAGCCCGATGCAGAGGGCTGCATCTTAGGTCCAGCATTCGTCTGGCAGGGTGGGGGTAGAAACAGGAAAATCATCTGGAAGCTCTTGGCTCTGGAGAGCACAGCACAGCAAAAGCTGCAGAGATAATGGGAGGCCCTGCCTCAGCAAGGTCTCTCACTAGACCCGCTCCCAACTGTCGTCCTCTGGCCTACACACACACACTTTGACTCACGCAGGCTGCCTCTCTCCCTCTCTATCACATACACACACAAAATAATAAATAAATAAAATTCTAAACAAATACATATGAGGGGCTGGAGAGATGGCTCAGAGGTTAAGAGCACTGGCTACTCTAGGTCCTGAGTTCAATTGCCAGCAACCACATGTTGTCTCACACAACCATCTATAATGAGATATTAGGCCCTCCACTGGCATGCAAGCCAAAATACAGGCAGAATACTGTATACATAATAAATAAATCTTTTAAAAATACATATGATACACATATGTAAACAGAATGTCACTCTCTTTCCTTAAACATTGTTTGGACTCATAATACACAATCAATACTGCAGGTTTTACATATGGACATTTCAAGTGACTGACTGACCTTTGCAGTCTTATCAGCAGAGGTAGATGAAAACTTGGTAGCATCAGAAGAAATATCACAAGAAAGTACTGCACCCTGATGGCAAGTAAAGTCTTTTTCTATTCTTCCAGTAATGATATTCCATACCTTAAGGGGGGAGAAAAGATTAGGTGACACTTTTAAGGACATTTTTGTCATGCATGATGGAATACAGCTATAACCCAAGTAAGGGGGAGCAGAGCAGGAAGACTACAAGTTCAAGGCCAAGTTGGGCTACACGGTACTTCTATGGGGTGGAGTTCAGTGGTAAAGTGCTCACTTAGCATGTGGGAAGCCCCAGGTTTGGTTCCTAGAATCACAAAACAAGGAGGGGAGCCTGGGAAGGGAAGGAAGGACACCTTGAGATGTGAGGGACAGAGAGAGGGGACTGGAAAGGCTTCTCAGCAGTTAAGAGCACTGGCTGCTTTCCCAAAGGATCTGGGTTTGGTTTCCAGCACCCACAGGTGGCTCACAGCCATCTAACTCCAGTTCCAGGAGATCCAATGCTTTCGGCCTCTGTGGGTACTGCATGCATTCGGTGTACAGACATACACGCAAGCAAAATACTCATACACAAAAAATAAATACATATTTTAAAAAGAACACAATTAGCTTTAAAACATATCTGTAAAACAGGTTTTCGCACAGTAACTGTTCTGATCTCTTAAGTTCCCTTTAGCATAAATGCTTACAAACATACAACAGATGTAGGTGACTGCAGTGAAGAGAAAACAGGCACAGTACTGAAGTTCTCTACATTTAATTGCTTAAGATTCGTGTGCTTTAAAGCTGTCACAATATAATGACTGCAACATCACAATGTTGTCTTTAAAAAAAACAATTTGGGGCTGGGTATGGTGGTGCACAAGTCTTTAGTCCCATACACTCAGGAAGCAAGTGGATCTCTGTGAGTTCAAGGCCAGCCTGGTCTATATATCAAGTTCCAGATAGCCAGGGATACATAGTGAGACCCTATTTCAAAATACATACATACAATACATACATACATACATTCATACATGTATGAATTCTTTTGAAATCTAGTACTCAGGTCTGGAAAGAAGGCGTAGTGGTTAAGATCCCTAACTACTCTTCAATTCTTAGCACCCAACTCACAAGTATCTGTACGTAACTCCAGTTCTAGAGGCTCTGATGCTCTCTTCCAGCCTCTGTGGACACCAACCACACATGTGGTAGACAGACAGACATGCAAGCCAAACACCCATGCACACAATAAAGGAAATAAAAATACATTTGAAGAATATTTTCAAAATAATTTAAAAAACAAAAAAATACATTAAAAAAATCAGGGATTCAAATTACCTTCACTGTTCCATCAAATGACCAAGAAAGCAATCTTGAATTTTTTAGGAGCCTGAAGTCCTTCACTGTTTCCTGATGGGCTTGCAGAAAGATATAGTCCTCTGACTGCCAATTCCATACCTGAATATCAAAGAAATAAGTCTGTTATAAGTATTCCCCAATAATGTCTCACTAGAAAGAGGTATATATTCTCTCATCTAAAGTCTTTTTATCTTTCATGGTATTTCAAACAGAGAAGCAACAAAGAACACTGTCTCTGTGTTTTACAAAGAGAAAAAGTTGAAGCTAATTAGCTTGATGGGGGGCAAAATAAAACACTTTTTCTCCTAAATAAAATTTGTTTTCTTCAGTTGCTTAGAGAGTAGTTAATTAAACCACAAGATAGGAAAAAACCTACGATATGTCAGTGAGCTCACCATCTGATTAAATTTTCCAGAGAAAATTATTCCAATTACATCTCTGCACATCAGGTGAAGGCAGACTAGGGCTTCAGTGAAGCTCACCCTGCTGCCCAAAAAGTCCAGGGAGCCAGACGAGTGTAAGCACGGGTCGAACCAAACTTCAAAGTCTTAGACAGCCCTAATGCAGTTCTCAGAGTAAAGGCAGCAGCAATGAGCACTATTATTTTACACACGGCTTAGGGAAGAGGTTCTGGGTCACAAGAGAGAAAGAAAAACTGAAGCAGTGCCAGCAACTGGGACAAAATAAGCAAACATGAACATCCGAGGCACAGCAGTGAACAGAAATGTCTATGTCGTTTCAGTATGCAGAGCATCCATTACTAAGTCAAAGCAACAGTGTTTAGTGCTTTTAAATTCCCGACTTCAATTAATTTAATAAACATGTTTCCAAGTAAGGCAAACGTGAATCAAATAAGGATCTACCATGAGAAAAATCTAAGAAATGAGACATAGAAAAAAAAAATCTGAACTACTGAAGTAAAAGTATTGAGAAATTCAAAACAATGATTACTTCAAAATGATTTGGCCAGCATTCAGAGCATGGAGCGGAGGTGGGGCTGGGGAGAGAGCTCTGCAGTTCAGAGCATTGGCTGCTGTCATGGAGGAGTTAAGACTCCATTCCCAACACGCATGCGCGCACGCATGCGCACACGCGCGAGATCAACACCCTCTTCTAATTCCAAGGGCACCAGGCACACACATAATGCACATACATAAATCAGGCACTCATGAAACAAATACCTCTTTTTAAAAGTTTAAAAGGGCGGGGGGTTCTGGACTAATTAACTGCTCTTCCAGAGGACCTGGGTTCAATTCCCAGTACCTATATAACAGCTCACAATTGTCTGTAACTTCAGTTCCAGGGGATCCAACACCCTCACACAGATACACATACAGGCAAAACACCAATGCACATAAAATAAAAATAAATTATTTTTAAAAAACAAAGAAAGATTCATAAACTGAGAACTTTTCAAATGCTATGACTGAACAGTTTTTTAAAAGGTCAGGGAAGTATTGAAAGACCCACAGAATCAACTGAGCAGGGTTCATAGGGGCTCACCGAGACAGAAGCAGCCTGTGAGGGCCTGTGCCAGGCCTCTGCATACATGCTGTGGTTGTTTGGCCTGGGGTTTTTGTGAGACTCCTAAGAGAGGGAGAGTGGGTGTCTCTGACTCATTTGCCTGTGCTCAGGACCCTTTTCCTCCTACTGGATTGCCTCATCCAGCGGAGATATAAGGATCTGTCCCTAGTCTTAGTTCATCTTGTTATGCCATGTTCAGTTGATATCCCTGGGAGGCCTGCTTCTTTCTGAAGAGAGAGAGTGAAGGGGGGAGTGGATCTGTGGGAGAGGGAGGACTGGGGTGGGGTGGAGGGAGGGGAGGCTGTGGTCAGGATGCATTGTATGAGAGAAGAAAAAAGAAAAAGGAAGTATTGAAAGGAACAGTCTGTCCAGTAGGTATCAGATGGCTTGCAAAAGATCGCGAAGCCTCAGAGGAGGCCAGCAGCACCACAGGTAGGTGCACTATTAACATTCTGGCTCCAGTCTGAGCGACATTTAACAGTGGAGTCATAACTTCAAGCCTTTCCCTGGCAAAGCAATAAGCAATGCCAGACCTTTTTTTTAAATAATCATTTTTTATTTTACATACCAATCCCAGTTCCCCCTCCCTCTCTTCCTCTCACTTCCCTCACCTTCCCCCTAACCCACCCCTTATCCACTCCTCTGAAAGGATAAGGCTTCCCCTGGGGAGTCAACAAGGCCTGGCACATTGAGTTGAGGCAGGACCAAGCCCCTCCCCCTTGCATCAAGGCTGAGCAAGAGCATGCCATCATAGGAAATGCGCTCCATGCACTAGGGATAAATCCTGGTCCCACTGCCAGTGGCCCCATAAACTGCCCAAGCCACACAACTGTCACCCACATTCAGAGGACCTAGCTGGTCCTATGCAGGTTTCCCTGCTGTCAATCCTGTGAACTACCACTAGCTCAGGTCAGCTGTTTCTGTGGGTTTCCCCAACATGGTCTTCACATCTTTGCTCATATTATTGCTCCTTCCTCCCTCCCTCCCTCCCTCCCTCCCTCCCTCCCTCCCTCCCTCCCTCCCTCCCTCTCTCTCTCCCCCTCGCGCGCTCTCTCTCTCTCTCTCTCTCTTTGACTGGACTGTGGGAGCTCAGCCCAGTGCTTATCTGTGGATGTCTGCATTTGCTTCCATCACTTACTGGATGAAGGTTCTATGATGACAATTAGGGTAGTCATCAATCTGATTACAGTGAAAGGCCAGTTCAGGCACCCTCTCCACTACTGCTTAGAATCCTAGCTTGGGTCATCCTTGTGGATTCCTGGGAATTTTCCTAGTGCCCGGTTTCGGGGATCCATGTATGTCTCTCTTAGCATTCCCCTTGTTACCTAGCTTCTCTGGAGTTGTAGAATGTAGGCTGGTAATCCTTTGCTTTATGTCTAATATCCACTTGTGAGTAAGTACATACTGTGTTCGGACATATACCCAAAGGATGCACATTCATACTACAAGGACATTTGCTCAACTATATTCATAACAGCATTATTCGTAATACCCAGAACATGGAAACAACCAAGATGCTCCTCAACCAAAGAATGGATAAAGAAAATGTGGTACATTTACACAGTTGAGTACTACTCAGCGGTAAAAAAAAAAACAATGACATCTTGAAATTTGCAGGCAAAGGCATGGAACTAGAAAAAACCATGCTGAGTGAGGTAACCCAGACCCAGAAAGGCAATGCTGAATCTTATTCCCCTTTCTTTAGGCTCTGCCACACAGCAGACATCTTCCCCACCAGACCTTGGCTCCTGGATCTTCCTGCCTTCTAGCTAAGGACATTCATTCAAAGAAGCAGGATTAGGATCTGCTGTGTGCAACCAAGTGCCTGCACAAGGGGAACCGGAAGTGACAGTGTTCTAAAGGAGCATGCAACTTCAGCATTCTAAGAACTCAGTGATATACACTGGGGACTGTGGTAAGGAGAAGTAACATGAGCTATTCTGGCTCCCCAAATCACACCAAAAGGTCATGGCCCGTATGACAAGGCATACTCTAAGCAATCCCCACTAGGAATGTCCTGGGTCCCTCCTTTCTTTCTGGGCCTGAGCAGACTTGAGGATCAATGGCTTCTCTTCACACTCTTCCAGTCTTCACAGTCTGGGCTTGCCTAATAATGCAAAGCTCAGCCTGACTGAGGAAAACAGAGAGCCTTCCTGAATATGTGCTACAAAGAGCCTCCGAAAGGAGGTTAACAGCTGTCTCAAAAACATGTTCTGAAAAGGCCATGACAGCAGAGCTTTTCATTGGACTCAAACATACTGTGTTAACTGAATCGCCTTGGTACAAGAGATAAAGTTCTACTAGCATTAATCAACTGCATTGAAGTTGAACTTGCGGATGTATACCATTAGCAATAATTTTTGTGCCTATACACACTACAGAATTTTTTTCAACTACTTAAATAAAATTCAATTAAAAAAAGCTGGCTGGGCATACCTATAACCAATGAGCTGGGAGAGGCTGAGGAAAAAGGATCACAAGTTTGAAGCCAACCCACACTACACATCAAGACTCCAACAGAAAAACACAAAAATGGTAGTAGATTTCTTACACCTGTGAGACTCAATGTATCTTTAAGCATCAGGTAAGCATAGCACTTCATTTTCCTCAGGGTAGAGTCAAAAGCTACCAAAACAGGAATCAGTTCCCACAAGGAACAATCAGTGCTGTCAACAGGTGGGTTTATTCTTCTAATGCTAGCAATGACTTAAACTTCACAGAGATTCCCTATAAACCTGTCTCAAGCTGGGGATAGGAAGGATTAAAACAAAACTCCATTCAGTCATCTACTAAAACAAAGCCAGGTATGGCAGCATACACCTATATTCCTAGCACTAGGACAGAAAGAAGCAGAGGGATCAGGAGTTCAAAGTCAGCCTTGGTTATATGATGAGTTCAAGACCAACCTGAGCTACATGAGACCCAGACTTAAAAGATTACCACACACACACACACACACACACACACACACACACACACACACCTCAATCCACCATTTCTTAGAAATACCAAGAGTTTCATTATATGAACAACTAAAACCCTGTAAATGATGCTTGCTTTGGCAGCACACATGTTAAAACTGGAACTAAACAGAGAAGATTAGCATGGACCCTGTACATGCTAATTCATGAAGCAGTCCATTTTTTTTCTTTTTAGAGAAGGTCTCTCTATGTAGTCCCAGCTGTCTTGGAAATCACCTTGTAGACCAGGCCGGCCTTGAACTTGCTGAGATCCACCTGCCTCTGCTTCCCAAGTGCTTAGATTAAAGGTGTGTATCACCACACCCAGCAGTATCCCATTATTTTTTAAGCCTCACAACCTGAGTTGCATCTCTGGAACCCTGCACATTGTACTCTGACCTCTGCATGAGTTCACATGATTCCACTATGAACAAGTGTATGAGCACCCACATAAAACATCTTTTAAAAGTCCTGTATATGTATATGTAAAAACCATTCTGAGCAGTCCAGAAAAAGAAGATGAAATACAACTTGGATTTTTAAAAATAACTCTTATTCTAAAAATTATTTCTCCCTCTGGCTGAGAATATCTACAAACAGGTCATAAAACCTTATGAATTTAAGTTCACACCACATACAATGTCCCAATAGGATTTATCTGATGTAGTTAAATTTCCCCCATTTCAAAGACATCTGGAGAAGAAGAAATATGACTATTATATGAGTTTCACAGCTAATAAAGAAGCATCATGGGAGCTAATAATAAAGTTTTTGTATTGAAGCCAAATTTCATTCCAGTTCTACACCTTCACAAAGACGCAACAAAGTGAGACTGGTTTAAAAAAATAGTTTTTAAAGGCATAGCTAAATGCTGCCACCACAAAAAACTATGTACTAAATAAAACTAGGAGTGTAACCCAAAAGTAGAGCCCTTGTTTGGGTGGGGAGTGATGAAGCACACCTTTAATCCCAGCACTCAAAAGGTAGAGGCAGAGGCAGGTGGATCTTTCTGAGGTCAAGGCCCACCAAGGCGACATAACAAGACTGAAGTGAGCCTGAGTTGCCTACTGAGGCCCTATCTTAAAAAAAAAATTCTTGAGCATTAAAAATGTAAAAACTGAAGAAATTCCAGAATACAGAACACAGTGTAAAAAGTTTAGGGGGGCAGGGGATGACTCCAAGTGTTGTGGCACATGTCTAACCCCAGGAAATGGAGGCAGAAAAACCAGAAAGGTCATCCTCAGCTACATGATAAGTTCAAATCCAGCCTGGGCTATAAAACCCTGTCTTACACAATAAACCAAAAATAAGTACAAGAGGACTGGCCCAGGAGCCAGTATTTGGATAATGGGTTTTACAAAAAGAGAATCAGATTGGACCAGAAAAGAAAAAAGGGGAAAAGAAGAAATAATTCAAGTAAAGTCTGAATCTAAGAATAAGTTTCCTTGAAAGAAAATACCAAAATGAACAAAATAATGGAATGAAATTTCAAAATTCTGAGGCAACAGAGAAGATTTCAAAATCTTCCAAAAAGATTTAAAACCTAGAATGGTGGTACATGCATTTAATCCCAGCATTGGGAGGCAGAGGCAGGTGGATTCTGTGAGTTCAAGGCTAGCCTGGTCTACACAGCAAGTTCTAGGCCTGGCAGAGCTACATAGTGAGATCCTGTCTCAGTAACAAACCAAAAAAAAAAGAAAACAGAATGACTTTAGATTTCTCAAACTAAACTTAGCAGGAAAAAAATGATGTAATATCTTTAAAGTTTTAAGGAGAAATAATTTCCAGCCACATGTAATCAAATACTATATTCTTTCTAACTATATTATGATAGGAGTTGCAACCATGAGGTGCATATGCCTGTAATTCCAGCATTCAAGAAGTTGAGGCAAGAGAATATTGAGTTCAAAACCAGTAAGCGTATGCTCCACAGGGAGTTCCAGGACAGGACAGCCTGGCTACGCAGTAAAAACCTACCTTAAAAAAAAAAAAAAAAAAGAACAGGTAAGCCAGGCAGTGGTGGCGCACACCTTTAATCCCAGCACTCTGGAGGCAGGCAGATCTCTGTGAGTTCAAGGCCATCCTGGTCTAAAGAATGAGTTCCAGGACAGGTTCCAAAGCTACACACAGAGAAACCTTGTTCTGAAAAACCAAAAATGGACGGACGGACAGGCAGACAGACAAGCAAGACAGGGATCGCATTCATGATACCCTTTAGCACACAGTCTGCTTGGTGACTGATAAACGTCTCACAAGCGGCCCCAGGTGCACGTGTGCATGCACATGTGCTGAAGACGGGAGGGGGGGAGGAGAACAAATGCTAAATCCTCACTATTGGGAAGTCAGCAATTCCCCAAGTGGAAAATTAAAAATAGCACTCTAAGCATGCCATATGGAGGCATGAAGGTAAACATCCAAAGACAAGATCTCAAAGATCTAAAAATACCTGAGTATCTGAAAGCCACCAGTGGCAGTTCTGAAGAATAAGAAATGGGGAGGTCTACCCTCCACAGAAAGCCTTGTAATACCACAGTAGTGTTGATGAATGTGTACTAGAACTTAATAAAGGTGAATTCTAAAGGAATATAGAGTAAGCTCAAAGTCTCAATCTATAAAATTATGGCAAACTTCAATAAATAACATCATATAAATTGGAGCTGGGCATGGTGGTACACGTCTGTATTCCCAGCACCCACACGGCAGAGGCAGGATGATTGCCAGAATTTCAAAGACAGCCTGGTCTGCACAAAGCAAGCGCCAGGCCATCTGGTCTACAGAGCAAGGTCCTATCTCAGGAAAAAAAGAACGAACAAACAAAAAAATTTAAGTCAAAATTCAGTCAATAAAATTAAAGAAATTACATGAAAGTGGCAAAAATCTATTTACACATATAAATATGAATATCAAGATAGAAAGAATTCAAATGAATACTTAACTCAAAATAAGTAAGCTTCTCGGTGAACTGCCACCATGCTACAACTCACAAAAAAAATACGAAACAGGAGGAATGTACACCCAAAATAGTCCACTTAAGTGAACGAGCCTCAGCACACAGTGTGTCCTTTCGTTCCTCTCTCTAACAGTACCAATGTTAGCTCATTATCTCCTCACCTGAATTACGGAATCTTCAGAACTGGAAATAAGTGTCTTCCCATCAGCTGTGAACTGCATGTGCCGTACAGCTGCCTTGTGTCCAATCCTAGAACTGAAAACTCTGTTGTTTGGGAGTTCTATAATCTTCAAAGCAGAAAACCACACAGAATTAATACAAAGAAATTAACAATACTTAGGCACTATATCCCCACAATGCATACATGTAAATGCCATGCACACCTGTGCCCCTGCCCCCAGCCCTCATCAAGTATACACTAGAATGGCCACACAGCTGTAGGAACCAAAGGTTCTTTTGAGTGCTCAACTACCTGAGTCATCAACCAAGTGACAGTCTGAGCTCAGCCTCCAAAATAAAAATGGCAATTTATGAAGAATGAGAAAGAAGAAAGGATAAAAATCCCAGATGACACAAGGCAAGCTCTTTGTTAGAAACTAGAAATGAGGACAGAAAGGATGACAAGGGAGACAGGGATACAGGGAGTCTGGGGAACAGTGCGATGGTAACAAGCCTTTAAAAGGTCAAATACAGAGACTTGGAGAGTAGTAGGGGAGCTGCTGAGAGGGACCAGTGCATAAAGTGCTTGCTGCATAAGCATGAGACCCCGAGTCTGACCCCTGATTCACAGGGTGGAAGGAAGGAACTGATGTCCCCACAAAGCTAGCCTCAGATCTCCACACCATACTGTGGCCTGCAAACACACACATAAAAAATGCTCACAACATGGCATCTATACCAAAAATGCTTTCAAATGACCTCATGGGTGTGTGTGCATGTGTGTATCTAGATATACTAGATGATGTTTTAACGCTAACCCATATGTTGGGGGGAAATGAAGCAAAGAGGAACTGTGTGACTGGGGTCCTCTCACAAGTAGGATAGTCAGTGTTCCAACAGAGGAGGCAGGGTAGCACTGACTGCTGAGCAATTCATTCAGAGACTTACACCGGAATACTAGGCTCTGCCGCTTAGGAAAGCTGTGGGGGTTAGGAGATCAGACATCTGTAAAACAAGAATGACTGTGTCTGACATCCATGTCGGCTGTCTGAGAACGTCTGGGACAGTAAAAAGTAGCTGCTGGGCAGGACCATTTGGAATTGCCATTTTGAACATTAGAAATCAATTAAAATAGCCAGATGTTGGCATTTTCACATGGTTCATAATTTATATTATGTGAGGACTGTAAGGAAGTTAAGAATGTAGAAAAGATGAATGGATTTTTTTTAAAGTTTTGAAAGGTTTGCTTTTATTTTACAAATATGAGTGTTTGCATGCATACATGCAAGTGTACTACATGTATGCCTGATGCCTGTGGAGGTCAAAAGACAGCCTTACATGCCCTGGGAATAGAGTGATAGGCAGTTGTTAGTCATCATGTGGGTACCAGGAATCAACCCAAGTCCTCTGAAAGAGCATCAGTGTTCTTAAACACTGGACCATATCTCCAGCCCCAGAGCATGCACTTTTTTTTCAAGACAAGGTTTCTCTGTGTAGCTTTGTAGATGAGGCTGTCCTTAAACTCACAGAGATCCACCTGCCTCTGTCTCCCGAGTGCTGGGATAAAAGATGTGTGCCACTACCACCCAGCTAACATGCACATTTTATGAGGTGTTTTTTCTTCCTCTTTTTTAACTACCTGAAAGGCAGTTTCCATGAACTACAATGGTAATAACAGAAAGAGTAAGATGCTGAGTTGGCAATACAATAAAAAGGAAATCACAGACCCATTCAAAATTAATTCTACACAGCAATACAAAACTGAGAAAACTAAGGAAACCTGTAACTACACAATAATCCTGTGCTTAACAAACAACTGTCAGACACTTGCCTGACTACCCATGTTAGCAAAGACTTTACAATCTTAACTGAATGCAGACCACTGGAGCTGCTAAGGGAGACCTAGCAGTCTGACGTCACTTCCTCTCCACTGTGTGTTCTCCTCTTATGGGATAATTTGACCCAAAGAACATTTGTACAATCCCTTATGAAAAAGAACCCATGGCAAAATAAATGTGGCTAATGCCAGTCTCATTAAATTAGGGAATGACCCCCAAATGCCTAGGTAAGAAAGAACGAGAAAGATCAGTGTTCTCTAGAAGTTATGTAACTAGATAACAAATGCCTTTGTGATGAGTTGTGCATGGGATAAAGCTGAGAATATTTTTACACAAAATGATTTTAATTATAATACCTTCTCTGTGTCAGTACCTGCTTCTTTTTATTTATTTGCTCTTGCTGGGTAAGTTCAGGGTCTGGTGGTGAAGAGGTATGCAGCCAACATCAAATAAGAAATGGAGATGGGACAGTGGGCACAGGGGGCCCTGGACTCACATCTTTAGAATCTGGAAATGGTATCACCCCATGGCTATTTCTAAGAGGGGAAAATGTTGTTTGTATAATTGGTCAAACCTGTTTAGTTTCTTAAACATGTATAAAACAACAGAACAACAGGACAGAGAATAAGAAACACAGAAAGCTTGAGAAGCAATGGTAAAGGTCATGTGAGGAAACACTAACCAAGTTAAGATGCTCAGACTATGGAATGAGGACTACCAGAAAGATCTATTTGGTATGTAGGTGTGCAATGCCAGGCATACGGCTAGTTTTCAGTTAACAACTCTAGTCACAGCTCTGAAGACGAGAACTGAATACCTTAATGGCTCCATCTTCATCTCCAAATGCAACATACTCAAGATGTGGGCTTAGGCAACAGCAACTAACTTGAGTTTCAGGCAGGTAATCGATCTGGCCTGTTTTCCCGGCAATGAGCTAATGAAAGAGACGGCACAGTCATTAGCTTGTGTGTACATTTTTTTGTTGTTGTTGTTGCTATTCTTCAGAAGAGAGACTTCAATTGAAAAATGAAAGAAAGCATGGAAATAACCAAGAGTTCTCAGGGAAGCAACAAAGACTGATCCCAGACTCAGGAGCTGTATTTAGCATCTGATGCTTTCATTTTGTTTCACTTATGTGGCTCAAACACATTTTCATAAAATGAAACAAGCTTTAAAAGGGTTTGGAAAGCAGCTGCTGTGCCCACCACCTGAGACACATCTGTCTGATATGCAGTCTCCCAGCCAGCCCCATATCCTGTCTTTTATTTTTTCACAAAGCCTGTTTTTAATAGGGTTATCATTTGTTATAATACCCTTCTCTGAAATCTTCAAAGGGACTGTGAAACAGCACTGAGACAGACATTACACAATGATAAGTCAAAACTGAAATTTATATACTCCGAGTCACTCACAAATCAGGGTAAATTAAGATTCTGCCCTTCCTTAGGGTGCGGAGATAGATCTTACAGAAGAAACTGGAAACCACAACTTGTGTCACTGGACTTGCAATATTTAAACTACGATTATCCAATTGTATAACCTCTACCTAAGGCTAAGGATTTTTTTTTGAAAGCCTAAAAAAAAAAAAATGAAGTGTCTTAGCACCTCAATTAAAAGGCAAGGAAATACTTCTCAAGCTTCAATATCAGATTCCTTTCTAGCAGTGTTATGATCCGAAAGTCTGAATTACTTCTCAGTATGGCACATGCAATCAAACTGTCTCGGCTATACTGACTATAGGGTTAATTAATTAATATGTAGCTTTTCCTTTGTAACAGTTTGCCCAAAATTCTCTGGCCTATTAGATACTTAAATCAAGATTAAATTACTGCAGGCTGCTGGGGAAGAAAAGTCGGCAATACTCTCACCTAGCTGGGACCACTTGGCACTACCTGTGAAGTAGACTGAGCAACAACGGCATGACTGCTGTGGGGATAACTAGCCTCTTTTTGATTGGATTGTGCTTGCCCCAGAAAGGGAATTCATGCCTGGAACTGTGAACCTGGTGGCCAAAAGTCCATAGCTAAGGAGGTCATAGGCCCTAAGTAGAGACCCTACTACTGCTAAACATGTGTGTTGTCAACTGCTTTCTAGATAATCTAAATATCTATTTTTATGCCCATAGACTAATTAATGCTGCTTTCAGCCTTGGTCAAAGAGTCTTTTTTGCAGTGGGAAGCAGTTAATGCAGAGACACACAACAATAACACTGCTGAGAATTAAGTGATTATCGAGTGTGAGCCCCATGTAGGACATCTATATCACCCCCTCTAAGGCTCAAAGAACATCACAGGAGGCCAAAAGAATGTAAAATAATAAAGAAGTGCGTTGTGAAACACTGTCTCCTAGATATGACATGACCATTGCATGCATGAAATTACAGTAACTATGGTTACCTCCATAATATCTACATGAGATTAAGCCCTTTAACAACTCCATTATTAATGGGTGGGGGGCTTAGAAGGTACTACCCCTCCATGTGGGGAGAAGTCATTCACTGACTGATTGCCACGTTCCAGTAACTAACCCCCATTCCTGTTCATGAAAGCAATCTTAACTCAGTAGGGCATAGGGCACACACACACACACACACACACACACACACACACACACACACACACACACAAGAAACTTGCTGGAAAAGGGTGGGTTCAATGGGAGTGGGAAAGAAACAAGAGAGGGTAATGGGGTATACATCAAAATACACATGTATAAAACCGTCAAGCAGTAGCTGGGCGGTGGTGGTGCACGCCTTTAATCCCAGCACTCGGGAGGCAGAGGCAGGCGGATCTCCGTGAGTTCGAGGCCGAGCTGGACCGACAGCCTCCAAAACAATACAGAGAAACCCTGTCTTGTAAAAACCAAAAGAAAACAAAAAACAAAAAAACAAAAACTGTTAAGCAGTATTTTTTTAAAGACTAAACTACTGAAAACTAAGTATCTTCCTCTGCCAAAATCAAGTTCAACACTTTTAATTGATAATTTAAAAAGTCAACATTTACTTTAATGGAACTACTATTTGTCAGTTAAACTGTCCTCTAAACTCTCACAGATTATGACATATAGTAAGAAAACATTTTTATAGTCAGGTAACCTCATCATCTTTTGGTTATGACAACTGCTATGAAAGATTGCACAGATTTAATTTTAAAAAATGTAAGCATGAGAAATGGTGCCAACACCTGCAATGCCACCCCCATTCCCAGGGATCTCTGTCAAGGTAGTGCCAACTGCACTGAATTTCCATGCAGAGGGCATTTTACTTCAGCTCAGTGGCACTGACCTGCTGGATGACAACATTCCTAGGTTATCTACTAGCTCTGTCACAACCACTCAGAGGCTCATAAATGCCATTCTCTGTCACTGGACCTCTGGGTCTATTGTTTTTAACCAAATGGAGATCAGTCTAAGGTAAGCTGTTGAGATCCCTAACAATGCAGTTATTCTAATATTATCAACACAACCCCTTCCTTCCCCAGAACTAGTAAGTATTCAAAGGTGACTGCACAAATGTGTGAGTAAGTGAATTAGTGAGCATTAACACTTCAGTATGTGAAGTCCAGCTCTCTCCACCCCAGCTCTAATGACCGAGATTGCCCCACTTAAGACAAGTTTTGTTCTTTCAAAGACCCTATTTTCTATCTCCTGAAGAAAAAAACCCTGCAGTTAGTAAGTTCACCCTATCAGACACATCCAAATCACTATGGTGAACAAATTCAAATTTGTCTTTGTGGTATTCTCAAGAGAAGTGATCACAGAAAGTAAGCAAGGTTAAACAAGAGGAGGTTATTTTAAAAATTAGCATCTAATTTAATTCTAAATACTGGCATATCCAAAACTCAACTCAGGAGCCATGTATTTATTCAACTAATGCCTAGCAGGCAACTATTAGAACCATACAATTATGCCTGATCCTGTACCCAAAAAACTAACAGGAAAAAAGGATGAGCTCAACCAAAACAATGCTCCCAACATTTTCTAAAATTCACTCACTTGTAGGCCTCTGATGTTGTCAACTGCAAGGACCATCATTTCATTTTCTTGAAACACAACATCTATCTCCTGCTTTAACACTACAGCAGAGTTCTTGCATACCTTCTTGGTCTCCCAGACCTAAGTAAGAGACAAAGGAAATAAAATAACTGTGTTATCAGAACTCCCTCTGAGATACTAAAAAGACAACTCTTAGTCTTACAGCAAGATAGCAAATTATGACTCACAACTAAAATGCCCAGGATATTTTTAAAAATTCACCTATTAGGCTATAAAACAATAAATATTTATTAAAACATCCTAAAGTAAGAAATAGTTACTATTATATGAGTTGTGGGTTCTGCAGTCAAAATGTCTCTGGGAGTTCTACTTTAACAAAAAACTGTGACATTAGGGAGGTCAACCCAGTGCTACTTGAAGGTAAGGACTGGTTGACACCCATCTACAATAAGACACAGAGCTTACAGCAGAATGTGATGAATAGATGGCTTTGTTACAGTTTTCTTTCCTTTTACAAAAGGAAGCACTGAGTTGACTTATATTCTAGCTCAAGTCTAGGAAGATGGCACACTAAGTAGCACAGGCCTCTCTAGGCTTTTTCTGAACCTAATATTTCATGCTCTTTTCCTAGTGGGAGATAAATCAGTACATATACAGTACTTTGCACGATGTCTGACACACAGTAGCATCAAATAAATTTCAGCTATGATTTGTATAAAGCACTGTAAAGGATGTTACCAGTACCAACTAGGATTCCTGGACTCAAACAGCTAGATGCAAGTCTAAAATATATAAATAAATCAGGGTGCAATGGGACACTGGAGATATAGAATAAATGATATCTATATTTAAGTCAGAATTTGATAGGCATCACTCCAAAGAGACGCAGACTTATACAACCTTAAAGAAGGCAGATGATTCCCAAACACAGAGGCTGGGCAGATCTTAGGACGGCAAAGATTTCAGCAGAGACCCAACCAAGTAAGGTTTTCCACGCATAAGAGACCACTTAAGGGGTTGCGAAGAAGCAGAGCATTGGGGAAACGCTACCTATGGGAATAAACTAAAGGACGACTGAGGCCAAACGAGATCATTCTGTTGAGAAGCTGAATGGGACTTAGAAGTATCTGTTACTTAGATGAACAAAAGAGCAAAAATAATGTAGCCAGATGTGGGTGTCTCAAAGTAACAGTGAGACTACATTGTATATAAGGAAAATGTCTCAGACATTTCATATAATACAGTAAGGAAGAAAACATAGAAAACATAGCAGAGACAACAGATGATGAGGATCTGAATATAGACAGAGGAGTGGAAAAGTAGAGATAAATAGCAATTAAATTAAAAGGTAAAACATATGAGCAATGAGAATTATCACATAATTAGATATGAGAACTAAAGAGGAAAAAGTCAAAAGTCTTCCCAGGAATTGTATGTAGTGTGTGTAAACACTTTACTCACTGGACTTTGCCCAGTAACTGGTCCATAGTAATATTCAATGATATGTCTGAAAGAACAAGACTGATATAATCTATGTAACAAGCATTTACTATTCTAGGATAAGTAAGTACCTAGTAACTTCTTAATTTACCTCCTTTCCTTACCAACAATCTATTTCTCTATAAATTTAGTTTAAATGTTGCTGGGCAGTGGTGTCCAGCACTCTGAGTTTGAGGCCAGCCTGGTCTGTAGAGTGCATTTCAGAACAGCTACGGCTACTCAAAGAAACCCTGTCTTGAAAAAAACAAAACAAAAAGCAAGTAAGTATTTAAAATCTCAATATTTCTCACCCGTATTGTTTGGTCATCAGAAGCAGTCAAAAATGATGAACCGTCAGGAGAAAACATCACACCATGAACCCAGCTTAAATGTCCTCTGCAATCAGCTACCTTTAAGTGTGAATCTATATTCCACAACTACAGAATAAACAAAGAACACAGGAAATTTAATATACCAAGAACACTAAAACTAACAAGAATACTAAAAATAAATAAGAATGATTCAGCAATACTATTTCCACAAATAAAGCCCCAAAACACATTATCAAAATTTAAAATTGGTCTATGCATAAGATGATTAATTATACAACTATATTTTAAATAATAAATAACAGAAATAACATAAATTGCCATGTAGGTATAGGTCAGTTGATACATCTCACATTTAGTGAATACCAGGTCCTGGGTTCACTCCACAACACACACACACACACACACACACACACACACACACACACACACACACACACACACACACAACATCACAAATATATTGTACATAAGGAAAACACCTGAAAACACCTTAAAAACAGCAGAGAGACTAACTGAATATGTTATAATTAATAGTGGAATGCTATGCAAAATGTAATGAGAAAAATACCACAATAATTAAGCTCTATGATACACTGTTAATAGAAAAAAAATGAAGAATATATATTATCTTTTACTTCAGAATTAGATGTATGAAATGTTTAAAGAATTTTATAAAGCATTGTTTTAAAAGAATTATAAAGTCTGGGGATGTGGTTTGGTTGGTCAAGTATTGGCCTACCATGCACCAATAGCCTTGGGTTCAGTCCCCAATACCCAACATGATGGCAGAAAGATCAGAAGCTCAGGGTCATCCTTGGCTACATAGTGAATTTGAGGCCAGCCTAGACTACATGAGATCCTGTCCTTAAAAAAACAAAACATGTAAACATGTAGATGGATATAGATATGCATGCACATGTATACTGAAATCTGCTTAGACATGCAAAAAGATGGTGCCTATGAGATGGAAAATGAGAGAAGGGATAAAATAATAGTGAGATTTCTCTGAATATAACTTACTATAAAGTTTGAATCTGGAATCATACATGTTTTATCTTTTTTAAAATCAATCTAAAAATAACAGGATGAACATAAGCAGCTTCCATATAAGAATATTTCTCTCTAATACTGTCATCTAACCTTCATTTGAACTGGCTGCAAAACCCTACAACAAATGAGTACACTATTGTAGCATGGACTGATGGGGAAGTCCTGTGTATATGTCAATAAAGCACTGTTGGCCAATAGGGAAGCAAGATAGGTGGGACTAGGTGTCGAGGAGGACTCTGGGTAGGAGAAACACGGAGTCATCATGTAGCCCGCCAGAGAAGTAAGATGTCTGTCCAGTAAGAGAAATACTTAGATGGGTTAAATACTTAAGTCAAAGCTAGCCAGTAAGAAACAAGCAAGGCCAACAGCTTCATAATTAATACAGCGTCTTGTGTGTTATTTGGGGACTACAACGCAGCAGAGCCCAGGCGACTGGTAGGGAAAAACCAAGCAGCTGGCAAGGAAAAGGCTTCTCTCTACAATGGACACATTTCTCTGTTTACCCATGCTTATTACAAATTGTCTGCCACTATCTGGCTGCATTTTGTCCTGGGTTCTGCTGTACTTTCCTCAAATATATCCCAGTCTAATGAAGGGCCATATGTGCCTGAGTTCCCCTCATTACACTTTGAATTAGAGCTACTTCATGACTTCAGCATTAGCATGGGCAAAACAAGTACTTCATCACATGCCCAATGGTTTTCACTCGCTGAGTTCCAGTTACAAAATGATTACATGAAAAGCCTGCCTTATCTCTAGAGTCCAAACTGGGAAATGCAGCAATGAAGGACAGAAATTAAGGCAATCCCACCTCTGAACTCTCAAGATCCCCCTCCCTTCTTTCTTTAACTTCGATTTCCCTCATTTGTCACTTGGAGCTTCCACGGCAGAGCCCTAAGACATTCATTGTTTTCTGGAGCTTTCTAAGACGAATAGAGGTAAAGATCTTAGAAATGATAGAGAAGGCTGACTATAAAATTCACCAGAAAATACAAAATTGTAAATATAAACATGCAATTTGTAAGAATTACTGTATTTGTGCTTGGCAATGATGATGCTATCTTAACCAATTAGATATATGACTTCCATCTTACCCTACTCAAATTATCTAAAAATCTGAACTAACTCATTTATTTTAAAAAGAATAGCATCTGGGCCTGGGGAGACAACTCAGTGGGTAAGAATGCTTGCTCTGTAGGCATGAGAACCTGAGTTTGAAATCCTAGCACCCATGTAAAAAGCCAGACAAATGTGTGTAACCCCAGCACTAAGGGGCAGAAACAGGCAGGTCTAGAGAGTTCCCTGACCAGCCAGCCTCATCAAAACAGTGAGTGTTTGTTCAGTGAAAGACTGTCTCAGGGCAATAAGGAAGTGGGTGATGGAGGACGGCATTCTGTGGTCTCTACGTGTGCACCCCGTCACATATACATACCACACACACATATACCAAACAGATATGCAAGAATACAGTCTGTTTCTACATCGCTTACAAGATACGTGTCTATACTATTTAAGAATTGCATGTGAGCAAAGTACATTATATGCGTGTATGAAAATTAGCAAATCCTATTATTTTATCCAATACATTATTATTTTATATGCTGATTTTAAAACATTGAGGGACTAGGAAGAGGGTTCAACGGGTAAGAGCATTTTCTGTGCAAGCTTGAGGACCCAGGTTCAAATCCCCAGCACCACATAAAAAGTCAAGCATGGCTGTGTGTGCCTTTCAAGCCAACATTAGGGGTGATGGCAGGCAAATCCCAAAGTTTCATGGCCAGCCACCAGCTAGTGAGGGATATTTTCTTAAAGAAATAAAGAGAAGCCGGGCGGTGGTGGCGCACGCCTTTAATCCCAGCACTCGGGAGGCAGAGGCAGGCGGATCTCTGTGAGTTCGAGGCCGGGCTGGACCGATAGCCTCCGAAACAATACAGAGAAACCCTGTCTCATAAAAACCAAAAAAAAAAAAAAAAAAAAAAGAAATAAAGAGAAAAGGGATTAAGGCCTCTGTTATGTGTTTGAACAGGCGCACATACACATGCACACACGCACGCGTGCATGCACACACACACACACACACACACACACACACACACACGGTAAAACTAAAAGAGAAACCCTATCTTAACCTAGGAAACCAATGATCATTCCATTGATTCACCAGTCCCGAGCATACACTAGATATTCAATAAATGCTTGGTAAATGATCCTGTCATTCCATCTCTGTAAAATAGTGTCTTCAATCACGTTAAAATAATAAAGCTAATATCATATAATTGAATATCCCAAAGATAGGCTATAAAGAAAACACAATTTTACAAGAAAGCATCCTCAACAGTTAAAGGTTTAGGCAGCCTGATCTTTGTTATCCTTGGATATCTAGAGACCCAGATTCCATTAAAAAATTTCAACTACTCACCTCCACACAGTACTGGGACAGGGCAACCACTGCCAAATGGTCATAGGGGGAGAAGTCACAGTATTGGATGGTGCTGTGATGGCTTGTATGGATCTCTGTCAACAGGTCACTAGTATGAATATCAAAAAGCTGTCAAAATAAAGAGGTATCTATAAAAATAAAATATCTTAAATTACACCCATACTGAATCTAAATTTATTTTTAAAAGATGTTCCTCATATCTCAAATGTAAAATATAAGCCCTGAAGACTTATAGTTAGTTACTGATGACTGGCATAAATGCTGGTAACTATAAATAAGACATAGATTGCTATATTTTAAAATATAGCTCATCTGGAAAGCTACCTTCTCTAGAGAAAGATTCATCACAGATAACCTCTCAAACTGGCCTAGGGAAAAACAAGCCCTTTGTGAATGTGTGAACAGACCAGTCAAGTTACCACAAAAAGCAGTTCTCCCTAACACTACTGACTCAAGACAGGAAATATAAACCTGTTAGCAAAGACGGTCAAAATAATATAGAGCAAAGGCCTGCAAAAATGAAATAACCTCTATCAATTCTTTCCAGAACTCCAAATTATTCGGTTACAATTAATCATTTTCCCATTTTTGAACCAAAAAGTAGTAACAACATTCATTTCAATTCTTGAAAGATTTTCATATTTTGAATTTATTCTTCCAAAGGTTTTGCCAAACGGTAAGACTATGCATACTTCATACACACATTCAGTATGCTGACACAGTCTAGTCAATTAAGAGCCAGACAGACAGTCCTCAGGAAGGAAACAAAAGCTTCCAGTGGGAGCCAGAAAGAGGCTTAGTGAATCCGCAGCACAGGACACATGCAGATGCCAAGTAGCACAGCAGGGAAGGCCAGACACACAGGACGGGAGATCATATTTAAATGTTTCCCAGAGCAGCCTGCTCTTAAACATTAGTGGCTAAGAGTAATAGGGGGAAATGGCAAATGTGAGGTAGCAAACTGTCCCAACTGGGAGATAGGAAACTGTCCCAACTGGGAGATAGGAAACTGTCCCATTTGGGAGATAGGAAACTGTCCCAACTGGGAGATAGGAAACTGTCCCAACTGGGAGATAGGAAACTGTCCCAATCGGGGAATGAAAAAAGAGAAAAGGACTGACAGCAGGAGTAGACTAATACGAGAATCTGAAAGAAATGGAGACAGGAGAATACAAGGGTGAGAAACTCACAGGTACAGGCAACCCTAAGGTAAATAGGGCTTTAAAACAAGGTGTTTTACACAGTATATATCTTTTTCCCTTCCACACTAGAACAGATCTTCTAAACACTTTAAAGTGGTAGGGAGCTTGCCTAGCACTGGGTTCCATTCCCAGGATCAGCCAGGGAGTGAGAGAGAAGCTTTTTTTCTTTAACATCACTGGTTATCTGGATAATGTAAATCAAGCTACCATCTCACACCTACTTGAATGGCTCTAAATTTTTAATGGAAAATAAATAAAAATTTAAAGGGAAAAACAGCAGCAGGTGTTATTGAGATGTGGAGAAGTTAACACCCTTGCAGACTGCTAGCAGAAATGTAAAGGAGGCAGCCACTGTGGGAAAGTCTCCCTCCTCAAAAACAAAAAAAATGAAATTACCACTGTGATTGAACAATTGCACTGTTAGGACTGTACAAAAACGTTATTAAAAGTAGGGTCCCAGCCGGGCGTTGGTGGCGCACGCCTTTAATCCCAGCACTCGGGAGGCAGAGGCAGGCGGATCTCTGTGAGTTCGAGACCAGCCTGGACTACCAAGCGAGTTCCAGGACAGCCTCCAAAGCCACAGAGAAACCCAGTCTCGAAAAAAACCAAAAAATAAAAAAAAAGTAGGGTCCCAAGCAGATGCTCGCTCTCCAGCGTCGTCATTCACAGTACCTAAGAGGTGGAAGGAAGCCAGGTACCTTTACAGAGGAATGAGTTTAAAAACAAAATGTAGTGAATATACACCTAGAGAGAGAGAGAGAGAGACAGAGACAGAGACAGAGACAGAGACAGAGACAGAGAGACAGAGACAGATACAGAGACTGACTGACAGGCTGTCTGTTTAGGTCTGATACATTCTATAACACAAATAAGTTTTAAAAACATTGTGCTCAATGAAATGAATCAAGCATAAATAAACTAAGTATTATATAATTCTACTTGCACAATTTCCAGAACAGATGAATTCATGTGTCATGTTATTAGTCACCAGGGAGTGGGGATAGAAAATGGAGAATTATTAGCTAATTAGTGGTAATGGAGTTTCTGTTTGAGCGAGGAAACCTTTAGAAACATACAGTGATAGCTGGGCAGTGGTGGTGCAAGCCTTTAATCCCAGCACTCAGGAGGCAGACAAATCTCTGAGTTTGAGGTCAGCCTGGTCTACAGAATGAGTTCTAGGACAGCCAGGCCTGCACAGAGAAATGCTATTAAAAGAAAAGAGGAAGGAAGGAAGGAAGGAAGGAAGGAAGGAAGGAAGGAAGGAAGGAAGGAAGGAAGGAAGGAAGGTATAGTGGTGATAGCTGTACTACATTATGAATATAATTATGATGTCAATGATGTACACATTTAAAAATAGTTTGGAAGCACCTTTAATTCCAACTACTCAGGACGCTGAAGCAAGAAGATTATAAGTCTGGGGCAAGCCTAGGTTATACTAGTGTGTTCAAGGTCAGCCTGTGCAACTTAGCAAGATGCTACCTCAAAATAAAAACGAAAAAGAGCTGAAATTGTAGCTCAGTGATGAAGTGCTTGCCTATATCTTCAAGACCCCCAAATTCATACCCTAGTTATCAGAAAAAAAAGTTTAAAATGGCAAATTTTACATCATATATTTTTATCACAACAAAAATCAAATTTTCAATCATCAAATTTTACAAATGCAATGACTGTTTTCTGTTTTTAAGATTGTTAACACACTTGAGACAAAAAAAGGAAATATTGTTCTCCTTGGTTTCCTGCTAGAGGGATATAAATCCACAAGCAATCAAGGACCCAGGGTCACAACTGCTACATCAGTAAAACAAGCACCAAGTTTCCCAGTGAGTTTATACAGAAGTATATCGTAGCATGGGCTTACATTGCCTAAAACAGGAAAACCTACCAGTCATGTCTTCTAAAATTGGTATTAGGGCATACTATCCATGAATCAAAAATGGAAGATGTGGCCCTCCTCACAATCCAACTTTGGACAAACCATGTGACCGACCACTCGGAGCCTCGACCCCCATTATGACCACAGCACTACAGCAATCTGCCCCATCTCGGGTGTAAGTATATTTTAAGTTACGTATTGCTGATGAGTACTCAGAACATGATGCTCTCATGAGATCTGAAAAAAGAAAGTCATTTTCTTGCCATTTACTTTTTCTGTATATCTCTATGAAAATCTCACTGTCTTATTCAGTTCTAAGGAGTATTTCTCTCCTCGGACTCATCAAGTTGCAAAAGAGATAAAAACAAACAAAAACTCTAAGAAGCTAGAGAGATGGCTCAGCAATTAAGAGCACTCACTGTCCTTCAAAAGGACACAAGTTTGGTTCCTTCTGGGACCCAATGCCTCTGACTTCAGTAGATAACTCCACGTATTCACATATATAGACACACACAAACACACAACACATACACATAATTTAAAATAAAATATTTTAAGTGCTTTGAAAATCACCAAAATCAATCTATTTTAATTGTTTTGGTTTTTATTTTAATTTTTAAAATAAATTTATTTCTTTTTATATCTCAGCAGCAGTTTCCCCTCCCCCTTCTCCTCCCAGCCCCTCCCGCCACCTCTACTGTTACCACCCCCAATGCACTCCCCCTCCTTATCTGTACAGAAGGGGCAGGCCTCCCATGGACATCAACAAAGCAGGGCACATCAAACTGCAGTAAGACTAAGAACCTCCTCCAGTATTAAGGCTGGGCAAGGGGACCCAGTACAAGAAGTTCCCACTATTAAGAGTCCCACAAGAGGACCAAGCTACAAAGAGGGTTCATGGGGGGCCCAGATCTTCTTGGGAAGGGGAAACAGAAGAGATTTCTTGAGTGTACTAAGGGTAGGTGAGGATGGGAACAGATTGGGGGACAGGGAGTACTGAAAGAGACTACTGGAAAGGGGGGGCATTTTGGGGGGCAGGCAAAAACCTGGTGCAGGAACCTTACAGGAATCTACAAGGATGACCCCAGCTAAGACTCTTAACAACAGTGGGTTTCTTAATTTTTTTTAAGTAATAAAGAAAATATTCTGTTTCAAATAAATTGAAGTGGGGCTAAAAAAAAAAATGGCTCAGCAGTAAAAAGCAATGGAGCAAAGGCTACTCTTCCAAAGGACCTTGGTTCAATTCCAAGCACCTACATGGCAGCTGAAAAGCATCTAAAACTACAGTTCCAGGGTATTTAGCGCCATCTTCTGGCCTTCATAGGCATTGCAAACACATGGTACAAAAACACACAAAACCAAAGCTCTCGTGCACATAAAATAGAAAAGTAAAAAATAATAAACTGGAAGGAAGACTGACTTGACATTACAAACTGTTCTTGTAGTGTTTGGCTTCAGCGTGTTTCCTGGAAAAGTAAAAAGTATTTCTGGCCTTTCATATCCCCAGAAAGGGGGCTCCCAAGAATTACGAGCAGTTAGGAAGCCTGCCCCAAATCATGGAGGGAAACTGGAAAGTGAAAACTGTAACAGAAGTTGGACCTTTACATCAGAGGGAATTAGGAAAGTACGACTTACGAGGATTCTGTTTTTTGCTGCCACTATTATGGCAGTGCCATCTGCGGACCAGGAACAGCATTTCACCATCACCTCCACATCCTCTTGAGGGTCTTCGGAACTCAGGAAGAAGCGCTTCACGTTAATGCTCTTCTTCTCATTCGCTGACCTCACGTCCCAAAGCTGTTTCCAAGCAAACAAAACTGCTTTACTTCCAACCCACACCTCTGGAAATCCAACTGGATCACTTGTCATACAAACGTACTCTACATAATCAAAGTTTTTACAAACGTCTGGCTTTTAATGAGGTTTTAAGTTAAGAATTCCAGCTTCTATTTCACACACACACACACACACACACACACACACACATAGGTGGGGGGAAAGGCAGTCTATAAAATTAGATTAAAAGTTACCTGAGCTGCACACAGTCTGGCACACCTATAATGCTAGTTCTTTGCAGCTGAGGCAGGAGGATCATGTGTTTGAAGCTAGCCTGGGCTACATGAGATCTCATCTCAATGGGAAAAAAAGGTAACATGGGCAGATTCGAAACTGGCAAGTGCTGGGAATAGGTCATCCTACCCAGGACATTCACACCACTCCCTCTAAGGCCCAGGGAACACAGCAGACGAGGGAGTGGAAAGAACAGGACAGCCAGAAGACAGGGGAAAGGCAGCAAAATGCCATCTTATGGGCAAGAGACAGCAGCCAGCATCACAAACTCAGACCTGCTGCAAACGCCAACACTGAGTGTGCACAAGAACAGACCTGCGGGCCAACAAGATGGCTCAGCAGGTAAGGGCACGAAGCGGAAATGGCTAAAGACTAGTGTTCACAGGAAGAGCAAGCATAGGAGAGACTCATGGCTGGTCACTGCTGCCCCCTGCTGGGACAGCAGGAGATGTGCTTCACATCTACCACAAGCACAGCTGGGTGTCCAGAGATAAGGAGACCCCTGAAAGGAGAAACAGCTACACAGAGAGGAAGCAAGGGCTTCCGCTGGGTTTGGTGGGGCAGTGCAGTGCTGCAGAGCTAACAGCTCCTGACAAATGGGGTATGGACTACACTAAGCCTTGTTCTAGAGCAGCCATACAACTAGAACAAAGAGCAAAGGCCTCTGAAAAGACAGATAGTTACTCTCTCTGACTTAGAGCAGTCAATTCCCTCCTGTCTTCAGAAGGCCTACCATGTCCCAGAACAAGGCTTGGACACACACACACACACACACACACACACACACACACACACACACACACCAGCCAAACCCTAAGCTAACACTTTCCTCTGGGCCAACTGCAGCTCCACTGTGTAGAATAAAACAAAAGAGACAACAGGCACTAACGAGGTTAGCCCCTAACACATACCAAAGATGACAGGTGACATGGCTCAGTGGGGTAAAAGCACCTGCTGCCAAGCCTGGCAACCTGAGTTCGAGCTCTAGGACCCTCATGATGAAGGGAGAGAGCTGACTCCCCCAGCTGTCCTCTGACCTACACACACACACACACACACACACACACACACACACACTTGAGTAATTTTTAAAAGGTTTTAAAAAAATTAAGTGCCAGAAGTTTTGGTTACATCATACAGAACCGATGAGAAATCATACTGTGAGTAGGACAAACAAGGAAACCATTGCTTAGGTTTAGGAAAGTTTTAAAAGTTGACACAGTTTAATTCAATCATATCTACCAAAACTTCACTGCACTGTACCCAGGGTCCCTGTGCAACCTAAGCCCTTGTGCACTTTAAATACCAATCTTTCAATAAAACATTTTGAAATATTTTCTCATTGGGCTGGAGAGATGGCTCAGAGGTTAAGAGCACTGGCTGCTCTTCCAGAGGTCCTGAGTTCAATTCCCAGTACCCACGTGGTGGTTTACAACCATCTAATGAGATATGGTGCCCTCTTCTGGCCTGCAGGAATATACGCAGACAGAACACTGTATACATAATAAATAAATAAATCTTTTAAAAAAAAAGAAAAGAACTCTGTTTTGTGTGAAGTATTTCTGTAAACAGAATACTTCCCTGAAAATATTTTTTTAAAAAATATTTTCTCATTAAGGTCCAAAAAGAAAAACCACATGCTTGTCAACATGATACCCTACAACAGACTTAGAAAAATCACAGAGTCTTTGGGGCATAAAGTAATTTTACAGCTCTTATTCTCTCAGATGATAAAAGCTTCACAAGGCTTTGGCCTTGACACACTGTCATCTAACATCATTTGGCAGGACCTCTGCTTTCCACATGTCACTGTGTAAACCAGCCAGTAACACTGCCTTAATAGCACTGTGGGAGAGCCGTCATCATCACAGGCGGTTCTCCCCAAGAGCGTAGTGGTGTGTGTCCCCACTGCCAGTGACATTCACAATGAATACAGAGATCAAACACCTGTCTTTGAGCAACATGACATACAAACCTCTCAGCCCAGGGTTTTGCACTGACCACACCATGGAACCAGCCTGCGTGTCTGTCACCTGATGACTGGGAACAGAAAGGTAGTACATATTCGCAATGAAGTGGTAGTGAGTGCGAAGACTCGAGACTGACAAGTGCTGGGAATAGGTCATCCTACCCAGGACATTCACACCACTCCCTCTAAGGCCCAGGGAACACAGCAGACGAGGGAGTGGAAAGAACAGGACAGCCAGAAGACAGGGGAAAGGCAGCAAAATGCCATCTTATGGGCAAGAGACAGCAGCCAGCATCACAAACTCAGACCTGCTGCAAACGCCAACACTGAGTGTGCACAAGAACGGACCTGCGGAGGGATGACACCAATTGGCAAGCTAAGCATTAGTGGAGAGACCACCTCGAATGCCCATTCCTGATAATGAACTTGATGTCTGTAACCATCCTGGAGCCTTCATCCAGTGACTGATGGAAGCAGAGGCAAACACCCACAGTTAAACACTGAACTGAACCCAAGGAACCCAGTGACAGAGAGAGGAGCAATGAGCAAATTGGCAAAGAATGGGCTGGCAAAACCAGCAGAGACAGCTGATCTGAACAGGGGAGAGCTCTTGGACCCCAGACCGACAGCTGGGAGGCCAGCATGGGACTGATCCAGACCCCCTAAATGTGAGAGTCAGTGAGGAGGCCTGGGCAACCTATGGGGCCCTGGGCAGTGGATCAGTGTCTATCCCTGGAATACAAACAGACATCGTGTGTCCATAACACAAAGAGGGATGCTCTCTCAGCCTGGACTCTTAGGGGAGTGCCTGGACCCTACCCTGAGTGAAATGACAGACTCTAGATATCCCCTATGTGGAAGGAATTGGCAATAGGTGGGAGGGTAGAGGAGATGGTGGGGAGGTGCGGGAGAAGGGGAGGGAGAGGGAACTGGGATTGACATGTAAAACAAGCTATTTAAAATTAAAATAAAAAAATATTTTAAAAAAAAAAAAAAAAAGAATGGACCTGCGGGCCAACAAACCTGGGGACCTGCGCTCATTCTCTGGAGTAACTATGGGACAAGCAGAGAAACAACTCCTGCAAGCTGGCCTCTGGCCTCATGTTTGTGCTGTGGCACACACACACACACACACACACACACACATAATAAACGTAACAGTATTGTAATCCATGTGGGCAGTACCCTAGCATGGATTGAGAAGAGACTTAGGGGGCCGTACCCCTCACAGCTCAACTATTTGATGCTGATGGGTTCAGAGGGAGGAGGAAACATTGCTTTTGGTCTATACCCACCGGTGACCCACAAGCACACCTACACACAAAATACACACATAACTTTAGAAAACAAGTCTTTAAAATAAAAACAAGAGAGATCCGCCTTGCGTAGAATTGTCATTTTCAGTTTATCCACGTACCTCCTCCCCAAACTTTATTCTGCATAAGCAGACCAAGGAGCACACCATTTTCCTTCTAGCATTTACAACCCAAAGGCCTAGTATAGCATCCAGCACATAGTGCTTAAGATGTAATACATGCCCAAAGCTAAGGATTTAAGCACTGGATTATAAACCATTAACCATTCAAAAATAACGGTATGTCAGAGATTCTTAGAAGCTGAAGGGGAAGGCTCTTTTTCACAGATAGATAAAAATGGAGCCATGGCTTAGATATAGAAACTCTGAAAAAGGCTTATGAGCTGAAGGTGCAGTTCCCAATCTATGACACTGATACCAGAGGTTTCAAAGCCTTAAGAACGGAGGGGGGTGGGGAGTAGAGGGGATTAGGTGCTGGAAAGATGGCTCAACAGTAAAGAGCAGTGCCTGACCTCCAGGAGGTCATGAGTTCAATTCCTAGCAACTACACAGTGCCCTCTTCTGGCATAAAGGTGTACATGCAGATAGCACTCATGCATAAAATAAATGAGGTTTTTTTTTTTTAAAGAATTAAAAAAGAGGGGGGGTCTTAGAGGAAACCAAATTAGGAAGGGGACAGTGGGACCCTAGCCCCTTCTTGGTTCCCTCTTTGCTTCCGAGACACAATTTCTTTCACCACACACTCCCTGTCACTTGCCTTGGCATAGGCACAGAGACAACAGGATCAGATTAAAACCTCTGAAACTGTAAGCAAAGATAGGCCTTTCCCTCCTTTACAGGTTGTTTATCTCAGATATTGTGTCTCAGTTTTGGAATACTACTAACACCAACAGAGACATCATAAGGCTCTCCTTACAATTAAGACCCTCTAACGATGTGCAAAAGCTTACCTTTAATGTTCCATCAGCTGAACAACTAGCCAGGAGCTCGTCATCTGGTGAGAATCTGCAGTGGTTGACTGAATTTGTGTGACCAAACATAGTGTTTCGACATTCTTTTTGATTCAAATCCCACAGCTATTTGGAAAGAAAGATGGGGAAAAACTAGTTAGTACTGGAGCCTGGTGTGGTGAATACACCTATAGTTCCAACTACTTTGAAGGCTGAAACCGATGGGTCACTTGGATCTCAAAAGTTCTAGAACAGCCAAGCAAGAGGAAAGGAGGAAGTGGAGACTGGGAACGGTGGTTCCAGGGAGAGTGAGGGGAGACTGCGTCTGTATATGTGAATCAAATGTCAAAGCATAGATTCTGAAATCTATACTAAATGGGTGCTAGAGAGCATTTGCTGCTCTCCCAGAAGACCCAAGTTCAGTTCCTAGCATCCACATTGGTAGCTCACAACAGCATGTAACTCCAGCCTCAGAGAATTCAGGGCACTCTTCTCTGGCTTCCATGGGCGCCCGCACAAAAGAGAAAAAGTAATCTAAGCTAAATGGGGGAAAGTAAATAACCATACTAAATTCTTCCTTTTCATTTGAGCTTTTTGGTGGTAGAATGATGTTCAATTCATAGTAATACAAAGGTGTCAAATACAAAGATAAACTTTGATTAATAACAGGGCAACCTTAGAATCAACATCTCAATCCACTATGGGACTGAACACGAAATTAACTGAACAACTGTTGCTTTTTTTTTAACAGTGTGGTTTAGAATCATCATATTTAATTAGCTACAAAATCCATAAGTACTGTGTAAAATATAGTCATACTTTTAAATGCTAGGTTACAAAAATGGTCTAAGCAAAGTGTACTTATTTCTAAGACTTCTCAAACCCTGAGATTACTAACTAGACTAAAAGCTATTAATGGCCTTAAACACATCAAAACCTTCAATGATACCAGAATATAGGAACTACAGGGATTGGAAGGTCAAGTCAATTAACACTTGAGTAAACCAGTCAAGAAATCAGAGTGATACAGTAATTCTATTCATCTAGTAAACCAACAGCATTAAAAGGAAAAGCAAGAAAACAGAATTTTGAACAGAATAAAATGGACAACCAAAAATTGTCAAGTTTATTTGGATTCTGATTCTAATAAACCTACAGCAGAAAGCATGGGTTTGAGACCACATATGAGAAAATTAACACAGAATAGGTATGTAACAAAACCATAGCGCTCTGTTAGGTGTGGACATGGCATAGCACTTAATCTAACAGTAAAACTGAAATATTCTGGGTGAAATGACATATATAGGATTTGTTGTAAATTGCTCTAAATAAAAAGTCAAGTGTAGGATATAGATAAGCCTGTATAAAATAAGACAGGAAATTTTTTTTATTTTTTGTGGTGCTAAAGATGGAAGCTGGGGCCCTGCAAACGTCATGGGGTACACTCTATCATGAAGGTTCACCTTATCCTTCTGAAAGGTTGTAAAATAGTAGCTGTTTGAGACACAGTTCTACCCTGCAGCCCGGGCTATGGAACCCAGGCTCCTCCTGCCTCACCATCCCAAGTGCTGAGATTACAGGGCTGTGTCACTACACTCAAGAGCCTGAGGTTTTCTAAAATGTTTTACCCTCACCTCCTTAAACTCTCTTGTCCCATTGTAAAAATGATATGACACACTGTGGACGAAAGGTTTGAAACAAAATTAATATTTGAAAAAAATCCAAAAGAAGACAGCATCTTTCTAGAACCCCAGAATATTTAATCTACCTATATTCATATGCTTAAAGAGAATACAAGTTACAGTCCTCTATAACCCAAGGACTTCTCCCTGCCAGCACTGCAGCTACACAACAATGAACCTGAACCAAGTGGGGTGAAGTACGACTTCCCTAAAGTTACATCTACAGGATCTAGGACAAGCTTCTCTTCCTCTGTGATTAGGAACTTTGAGACAAAGGGAAGCAAACCTGCAGCTGAGGTATTTTCTGTCATATAAAAACAGTATGACTGGTCCACCAAAGAGGGCAGAGAGCAGAGACCGGGAGGGAGGACCTGAGAACACAGTGACAAATCTGGAAAGCCAACACTGCAATCCATGCTCATGGCACTTTTCAGTTACCTTACGAAACTCAGAATACGGACATTTCTACATTGCAACAATAAACCTGGAAGGAGCTGGGATGCAGCCCAGTGAGAGTACCTGCTTAGCGCATTAGGAGGATCTGGGCCAATCTCTTGCAGTAGAATTAAAAACTAATAAATGAAATAAACATCTGTGTGCAGTGGTAGTGCATGCCTATAATCCCAGCATTTGGGAGGAAGAGGCAGGCGGATTTCTGTGAGTTTGAGGCCAGCCTGGTCTACAAAGTGAGTTCCAGGACAGCCAGAGCTCTTTTCTCAAAAAAAGAGAAAAGAAAAAAGAAAACCACTTGAAAATAGAGTACACATGAGAAAATCAAAGGAGATGGTCTGGCATATTGAGTTTATCTGCATCACTCTCAATGCCCACACTTACTTTGAGGAAGAAGTCGTTTGAACCAGTGGCCAGGAGAAGGTGATTACTTTTATTGGTGAAATGGCAGCAATTGACTTGCTCTGAGTGCTCATCATAGGTGTGTATAAGCTTTCCAGTCGCAGAATCCCAAATCTGAAGAGAACAAATGAGGTGATATAGTATTTATGATTTATCAAAACTTGAGGATTCAGAAAGTAAAGCCAGTCACAAGCTATAGAGGTCAAGCAGTGGTGGTGCACACCTTTAATCCCAGGACTCAGGAGACAGGGCAGATGGATCTCTCTAAATTCAAGGCCACCCTAGCCTACAAAAGAGTGAAGTGTAACAGAGCTCAGGCCTTTGATCCCAGCACTAGGGAGGTGGAGACAGGAGGATATGGCTGAGTGGAAAAAGGAATACAAGGAAGAGGAAACAGGATTTGAGAGTTTTTTTGCCCCTGAGAATTCATGGAAACAGGCTTGCCACGTCAGCTTGGTAGAGTTTAGATCTACTGGCTTGGCTGCTTTGTTTCTCTGATCTTCAGCTTGAAGCTTGAACCCCAATATCAGTCTCTGGGTCTTTTATTTATTGTGTTACAAAGAAAACAAAATGTATAAACACCTATTATTTTCAAGGGGAACACAGCAAGAATGAGCAAATGTATGTCACTCTGCAGATGCTCCATCTCCTGTGAGGACAGACATCCCCACTGAGCATGACACTAATGTGAATCTACTTCCTATTCTCTAAATACGGCAAAATTCTGCCTTACTTTAAAAAGTTAAGTACAAAGAGAGGCATAGTGCACAACTAATCCCAGCACTCGGGAGTCAGAGACAGGCAAATACCTGTGAATTGCATGCTAACCTGCTCTACACAGTGAGTCCAGGACAGCCAGGGCTACATTGTAAGACCCTATCAAAAAACAACAAATGTTAACCACAAGATTTCCCATGTTTATATAAACGATAACAGCACAGAAGTGGTGAGTATTTCCTTCTTTGTGTTTTCAGTCCTGAGAAACTGAAACTTGGTGTATTCTCTTTCACTCTATATCAATCTGACTGTAGAACTTGGAACTGCCCAGCATGGCTAATCTCAAATCCCACAAAGTAGAAGTTACAGATTAATAACTGTTGACTGGAACACCACTGAGCCTACCAAGGAAAGAGGGAAAGGGCAGGGGATCAGGAAGAATGGAAAGTGGGGGTTAGAATAAAAACAGAATATGGAGAAAGGAAGGCAGATTATGTACAAACATGAAAATTTCATGATGAAAATCAGTATTGTACAGTTAATGTATGCTAATAAAAAATAAGGTTTTAAGAGGCAGGCGGATCTCTGTGAGTTTGAGGCCAGCCTGGTCTACAGAGTGAGTTCCAGGACAGCCTCCAAAACAATACAGAGAAACCCTGTCTTGGAAAACCAAAAAAAAAAAAGTTTTATCAACATCTCGATTTTTGTCTAGACATCTCATTGTCCTCGTCATGGGATGAAAAACCTCCAAGCAGTCTTTCCTGCCCACTGCAATTACCCAGATTCACAACTCTACAAGTCTGACAAAACTTAAATGAAGTGGGACATGGTAGCATATGACTAATACCAGCACTTGGGATGCTACCACAGGAAGGTTTTTACATGAGCTCATCGCCAGCCTGGGTTACAAACTCAGACCCTGTCTCAACACTTGAAAATATAAAACACACACACACACACATCCTGAAGTAAAGTCTCCCCTCTACATATTAGTGACAAAACATCTCCTTGGTTTTCAGATGCTCTTAAATTACTTATTAGCATAAATGCCCCAGACAAAAACTAAATTTTAGAGGAAAGACCAAAGAAAATAACTAATAAAAGTACTTTTTCTTCCTTGATTATTTTATTATACCAGCAACCTGTTAGTGTATTCATGTCTAGCTTTGCAGTGATTATATAATCAGCCTATAAGGTTAAAAACAGAATCAGGCTAAATTTCGCAAATGATATAGATCTCAGGCAATCATTTTTAAGATAATACTTCTAATCAAAGATGCCAACAGGTATTTAATCCATAAATATATCTATTGATAATAGGCAAATTCACTAACTTACATGATTTTTCCTCACCATTGGCTAAATACTTGAAATACTTGAAGCTGACCAACCTAAGTACTTTCACTTGGGTACTTACAACTAAGGATATGGGACTCCTGCCAGGGAACCAGGTAGGCTGACTACAGACCTTCAATGCCCAGATCCAACCCATTCATTCTCCTCCCCAGCTCTGCAGAAGACCACCTGCTGTGGTCTCTTTCCTCTCTGACCCCATCCCCAACAGATAACAAAGATCTCCTCCTCCAACCTTCCTTCATCCAACTCAATCAATCATCCCTGCCTCCAACACCAGAAAGAATTCCCTGGGAACACACCAGCTGAGGAGGCCAGGGAAAGAGGTCCACAGAAAATTTCCTCCCATATGACACACAACATTCACATCCATGTTCTAGTCTTTGGTACAGGAAAATACCCTACAGGATACCAAAACAGAAACATAAACACCAGCCCGGCCACAAAACCTATGACCTAAAATCTGTCCAGTCTGCAAAATATGCTAGGGCAATGGTGGCACAGAGTTTATAGGAGTAACCAACCAATGTCTGGTTTGACTTAGACCCACTTAGAGGTGGAACCCATACCTGACACGACCTGGATGACCACGAACCAGAGGCTAGATAGCCCAGAGACTCAGGGTAAAACCAAATACTATTGGTATAAAAACAAAACGTGATAGTAAAATGACTCCTACTGATATTCTACTATACTTAATGATCAGTGCCTTATTCAGTCATCAGAGAAGCTTACAGAGACCCACAACAGACATTACGCAGAGAGAGCTCTAAATGGGATGTCTCCATCAAATCCACCCCTCAGAGGTCAGTGAAGCCCTCAGGAGAAGAGGTGGAAAGGGTGCGGGAGCAGAGGGGAAAGAGGACACCGGAGAACAAGGCCTTCCAAATCGATTAAGCCAGGCACATAAGAACTCACAGAGACAGAAGCACAAGCACAGGGTCTACACAGGTCTGTGCCAGCCCTGTGTGTATATACTAGAGCTTTCTGTTTAGTATTTCTAAATACTGAGTGTGTGAACAAGAACTGGACTGTTTCTTGTGCCTTCTCTTGGGGCTCCTTTCTTTCTGTTGGTTTGCCTTGTCTAACTCTGATGTGACAGATTTTGTTGTACCTTATTATATTTTATTTGCTGTGTTTTGTTGCTATCTTAGAAACCTGTTCTTTTCTAACGAGCTATAGAAAGGGCGTGGATCCAGATGAAAGAGGAGGTGGGAAAGAAGTAGGTGGAGTAGAGGGAGGGGAAACTGTAACCAGGATATATTGCGTGAGAATATTTTTATATAAATCTATTTTTAATAAAAGGAAAATATTCTTTAAATAATAAAAATAGAATAAAAAGGAAGAAAGATTTGGGGTTAATAGTTAAGAGTACACAGTGCTACTCCAAAAGATACAAGTTCAGTTCCCAGCACCCACTTTAAGAGGCTGATAAGCATCTATTAACTCCACCTCCATGGGACCAAACACCTTTTCTGGACTCTTCAGGCATTGCATTTACATTTGTACAGATACACATGTACACATGACTAAACAAAAATAAGTCAGAAAAAGAAGATGGACTGTTGCAATTTCAACTCAAGATGAAAATGTTTTTCTACCTCAATTTATTTTTATGTATTGGGTATTTTGCCTGAATGCATGTATGTGCAGCATAGGTACATGCAGTGTCCGTAGCGGTTGGAGGTGTGTGTCAGGTCCCCTGGAACTGGAGTTACGGGCTTATGAGCTGCCACGTGGGTGCTCTTTAGCCTGAGCCACTGCCCCAGCACCATACCTTAACTTTTTTATCCACTGAGCAAGTTGCTATGTAACTGTCATCTGAAGAGAATGCACAGCACAGCACTTCATCTTCGTGAGCTTTGACCTCAAGAAGCTTCTCTCCTGTCTCAGCTTTGAACACCTGCATAACAACAGTAAGGTTTTTTCTTTTTACTGTAAACCACTTATCTATAGAGCACCATTCGTAATCACCGTTATTTTCAAAGCAGAAATGAAACTTAACAAAATGACTCAAAAATCAGAATTCGTCAGAATTCCGAAGCATAAGCATAAACAGAAAAGTATCCATTGTTAAGTGTTGCTAAATATCACTAAAAAGAAGTGGTGAAATATAGCTTCGGTTCTTGGGATTATACTGACAAATCCTAAACAATCAAGCATGCTTTCTTTAGGGGCTCAAAAAAAAAAAAAAAGCTGCAGATCTCGTTTAGTAGTAGAGTGATTGATTGCCCAACAGGCACAAGACCCTGAGTTCAATCCCCAGCACTATCAGAGAAACTTTTTTAAGTCCAAAATTAATATAACTAGTAATCAAGTACTACAGAAAACTCATTTCTATATACTCATACCGTTATGATCTTGGAAAGATTCAAATTATTCTAAATATAAAAGCTGTACTAACTTGATTCTGTTTTCATAAATATGCAGTTGGAGAACAAATGCTGGGCGGGGAAGCCCTCATCATATTTTCCAAAAACAAAATAAGAAATAAAAGCACCTTTAGAAATAATCTAATATAATTCCCATTTACAGTTAGATGTCTATGTCTTAACCTTTGATGATTTGTTTAACCAGTGTTTCTCCAGTAGAGTTCTATTTGCTAATGGCATCTGCCTATCTGTTAAGAAATGTTGTTTTCTCATTACTCATAACTGGCAAATGGATGGACAGTAACTACCAAGGTAAAGAGTTCCTCAACATCCCTGGCTAGCCTGAAACTACTAAAGACATCTACATCTTTATGCTTTGAAGCATAAAGATATAGATGTTCAGAGTTTTATATTTCTTTACTTCTGAATTGCCATTTTCCTAAATTTTAGTATTTAAACATATCCTAATCTGTACAAGTAGGCCACATGCCTCTTCCAGTTTTTTCCAAGAGGTGCACCTTACCTGTAAGGTTTTATCAGCTCCACAAGAAGCTATTCTCTGGCCATCCTGAGAAAAGCATGCGTGGTAAACAGCATCTGTGTGGGGGCGGACAACTAAGCGGGAAAGATTCTTGATAGTTTTCTTGTTTCTGAATACAAGTGAAAAACGAAGCGAAATTCAATGACTAAGGATAAAAGCAATGTTCCCTTTCAATAATAAGTGTCTCTTAACATGGTTGTATTTCTCCCAACTACAAAATTCTTGAATTATTTCCATGCAAATGACAGTACAGAACACCTAAAGAAAAAGGTAATCTAACTAACAAACGTGACATTTCTTTTCTTTTTTTTTTTTTTTTTCTTTTTGGTTTTTGAGACAGGGTTTCTCTGTGTAGCTTTGGAGGCTGTCCTGGCACTTGCTCTGTAGACCAGGCTGGCCTCAAACTCACAGAGATCCGCCTGTCTCTGCCTCCCGAGTGCTGGGGTTAAAGGAGTGTGCCACCAACGCCTGGCCAAAAGTGGCATTTCTAAGAGAAACACTATCTTAAATCACACCACCTGGCATATGTTACAAATGTCACTGACTTAAGAGAAATCTCACAATCAAACACATGCCACTTTATATTCTCCCTTTAAAAAAAGGACTTTACTTGCCTGTGTTTTGCTTGCATGTACATCTGAGCACCATGTACATGCAGTGAACACTAAGGTCAGAAAACGGCATCCTATCCCCAGGAACCAAAGTTACACATGGTTGTCAGCCACCGTGTGGGTGCAAGGAACTAAACCAAGCCCTCTGCAGCAAGTGCCCTTAGTCACGGACCCATCTCTCCAGCCCCTCTATTTTCTTCTGATACATTAATGTAATATATGTAAGCATATCTTTTTTAAAAAACACTTTTAAAATTAAAGAAAGCACTGCAGAATGAAATTCACACTACATATGACACTCCACCCACCATTGTGATGATATACTTTTAAAATGTTTTCCTCTAACCCCACTCTCAATGGGGGTGGGAGGTGGGGACAGATAAAGCAATGTCATCTTCTTTCTATCTTAAGTCTACAGAATGCCAACTATGTCACTAGTAGGGATATTACTGCCCACAAGCTCAGGAATAAAGAGTATATGTACACTTAAAATAGGATCAAGTATTAGAGAAAAGCCAGACTACAAGTTTGTGTAGAAAACAATTATACTTCACCAGAAGTGGTAAGTATATTATGAGAATTCATATAAACTACTTGGAAAATTAGGAGGACTAGATTAAGAATATAATCTTTCCAGTTGAATGCAATGGCACACACTTGTAATTTCAGATACTTGGAAGCCTAAAGTAGAAGGACCCAGTGTTAAGCCTATGCTGAACATCTAGACTCTGTCTTCAAAACAAAACAAAACAAAACAAAACAAAACCCTGCCTTTCCTTTGGTAATCTACAGGTCCTCAAAAATAAGACAGTGACCTTCACAGTGACAGACACAGAGTACAAAGATAACATGAACAAACTACTTCTCTGAAAACTTAACTCAAGTTTAAGCTTATGCCAATGCAAACCCTGTACAAGTGAAAAAGAAAAGGTTTCTAGTACTGATATGAAGTGTTCTTTGAAAATGGCCTGGTCCGATCTAGGTAAAGAAAAACACAGCTACAACTGACTATGATAGTGTGTCACAGCCTGGAATGTACCTAGTGTATGGGGGAAAGCAGAAAAGCACAGTAAAAGCTAAATGTCTCAACAACTCCTAAGGGAGAAAGTACTGAATCTCTGTCCATTTGATCAGATCAAGTGTTAAGAATCCATTTAAGAGTTGGAGATATGGTTTGGTTGCTAAAGTGCTTAACACCACGGTCAGGACCCCAGAACGTACACATTGCTAAGTGTGTGTGGCAGCCTGCCTGTATTCCTGCACTCAGGAGGCAAGGTGGAGGCAGGAGTTTCCTTAGAGGACACTGGCTAGCCAGATTGACCCTGGTGGCCAGCTCTGACTTCAACAGAGAGACCTGTCTCAATGAATAAGATGGAGAGATGAAGGGAGACCTCAGATGTCAACCTTAGGCCTCCATATACACATCCAAATGTGTATACACATTTTTTTAAAAAGATTTCATCTAGTCACTAATGAAATCTATTAAACATTCCTGAGTTCCTATTGAATACAATGGTAAGGAGCAGGCAGGTGTTAAATGCTCCTCCTAACATCTACTCAGCATTCTCTATAAGCTGGATATGGCTTTAGGCTCTGTATGCATGCAGGAATGTATACACATCCCTTTAGTCCTCACTATGCTATGACCATGCTATGAATTAGTATGATTAGGCAAAAGAAGTTGAATGAATATTCAGTAATAAATGCTGAAAGCTGCAATTTAAGCCCAGGCCATCAAAGAATTCTATCCTAATCTCCAAACTATTCTCACCACCGAATAGAAGGACTAATATAGAAGAAAAGCATGTAGTAAGATAATCACAACAAAGGCTGACAAGGGAGAAGAGAAAAAGCAAGGAGGATTCTAGAACATTAACAGATCTAATGGAGTTCCAGCAAGTTAGAACAGCTCTACCATGAGTGGAAGCCACGCTTCAATTTCGCCTTAATGGAAGTAAAATTCCACTTTTGAAGAAAATGTTAAAATATGGTTGAGTCTGAGAAAGGAGGAATAGGGAGTATGCATTTCCATTTTACATCTCTCAGTTTTTTAACTAAAAAAATCTAATTATGTGTGAGTCTCTATGTGGGTATGTGACTGAGAGTGTGGTGCCCATGAAGGCCAAAAACATCAAATCCCTCTGATGCTAGGATCATGGGCAGTGGTGAGCCCCACTGGGAACTGCACTTGAGTCCTCTGCAAGAGCAGTAAGCACTCTTAACCTCTGATCTATCACTACAGCTCTTCAATTTGCTGTTGTTTTCATCAAGAAACATGCTATGAGTCAGTAGTATGGCTCACCAGGTACTGACCCTTACTCCAAGTCTGAAGACCCCTGAGCTCAGTCCCTGGGACCCCTCCTGGTGAAGAGGGAACCAACCTCTGCAAGCTGTCCTCTGACCACCACAGGTGTAATGTGGCACATTCACCCACCTAAAAACATACGTACAAAGCACATGCTCAAAGCAGATAAATAACTGTGATTTTAAAAACAGCCCTCTCTCCTACCCAGTGAACAGCCTTTTCTAAGACATGGAAGAGCTGGCGCTGGAGAGATGCCTCAGTGAATAAGAACACTTACTGCTCTTGCAGAGGACGCAGGTTTGGGTCTCAGTAGCCACATCAGATGGCTTACAATCACCTGTAAGTGGGGGGGGGGGGGCTGGTGAGGTGGCTCAGAGGTTAAGTGCTCTGGCTCCTCTTTCATAGGTTTTGAATTCAATTCCCAGTAACCACATGGTGGCTCACAGCCATCTGTAATGAGATCTGGTGTCATGCAGGCATACGTGCAGGAGGAACACTGTATACATAATAAATATATAAATGTTAATAAGAATGCAAAAGTACAATCCCCTGTAAGTTCAGTGTTCTCTGGCCTCTCCAGACACTTACATATATATGGTGCACATAAACTTCTCTTTTTTTAAAGATTTATTTATTTATTTTATGTATATGAGTGCTCTATCTGCATGTTCACCTGCATGCCAGATCAGGATGCCACTATAGACAGTTGTAAGCCACCATATGGTTGCTGGGAATTGAACATAAGACCTCTGAAGAGCAGCTGGTGCTCTTAACCACTGAGGCATTCCTCCAGCCCCAGTGCATATAAACTTAATCAGACACACACTATACATAAACAAAAATAAATAACCCTTTTTTTCTTCTTTTCCAGACAAGGTTTCTCTGTGTAGCAGTCCTGGCTGTCTTGGAACTCACTTTGTAGACCAGGTTGGCATCAAACTCATGCGCCACCACACCCAGCTAAAAAACACATCTTAAAAAAAAAAGAAGAAGAAGATAAAGAATCAGGCTGAGAAAAAATGCCTCACCTAGATGACAGGATCCAAAGTCTATCTAAATGCTGGGTGGCAGCTCACCTATAATCCCAGCCTCAGAAGGCAGAGACAAACAGAAGATTTCCAGAGCAAGCTGCGGGCAGGATCAGCCATATCACAGAGCCCTTGCTTTGACTGAGATACGCTGCCTCAAAGAGCAACCATGGAGCATTCCTGACTTAAACCCAGGTCTTCCACATCCACATGCTCACACACACATACACACTACAGACACATACTTACAAGCATGCACACATTCATGGATGCACACCATACACATATAAATATGAAAAGAAAAAGACTGGAAATGCTTTTTTAAAAAGCTATGGAAGAATTCAGTTAAGTTCATTAAATACAGTCTCTATGGCAAAGAAAAGTAAAGGTGACTTTACAGGTTCTATCTCATTGAAATCTTCATAAAAGTAGCATTTACCTCAAAGGGTCATTATCTCCATTTCACACATAAGAAAGTAAAGTATGGCCGGGTGGTGGTGGCTCACACCTTTAATCCTAGCACACAGGAGGCAGAGGCAGGCGGATCTCTGTGAGTTCAAGGCCAGCCTGGTCTACCAAGAGAGTTCTAGGACAGGATCCAAAACAATACAGAGAAACCCTGACTTGAAAAAAAAAAAAAAAAAGAAAGGAAAGAAAGAAAGAAAGAGCCGGGCGTTGGTGGCGCACGCCTTTAATCCCAGCACTTGGGAGGCAGAGGTAGGTGGATCTCTGTGAGTTCGAGGCCTGCCTGGTCTACAAGAGCTAGTTCCAGGACAGCCTCCAAAGCCACAGAGAAACCCTGTCTCGAAAAACCAAAAAAAAAAAAAAAAAAAGAAAGAAAGAAAGAAAGTAAAGGATGGTATGTTCAGAAATCATAAAACGTCAATGTTTCAGTACGGAGACTCAAACCTAGGTCTGTGGCTCCAAGTCTATGGACATCACTACCATATCACTACCATATCAGATTATAGTAGCATTTGATATTAATATTCAGGATGATTAGTTTGTCTGTTTCTAGGAACTGTGATGATGTAATTATTTTTTCCTATGCTTAGTTCTCTGGAACTTTCCACCAACCAGGAACACTTAGTAAGTTTCTAAAAGTAGTTAAATCTCAGAGTACGTTTATTCACCACCAAGAAAAGAACAATTAATAATGGAGTCTGGTCTCTCCAGCAACTCACATCCACTCGAGGTAAAGCCTCCCACTATCCACCTCCTGCTTGGCCTTCAGCTTTGCTTGTTGATAAACTTCCGAAGTTTCTGGTTCACAGAGGCCCAGCTGTACAATATTGGGAAATGGCTGCCGTCCAAGAAGGTGTCCATTTAAAGATAAAAACTCTTGAAAATTCTCACAGACTGCACAGTCCTATGAATAAACTGAAATCTGTTAGACACATAGCCAGAACCTTAAATGAAATATTCCCTACATGAACTAAAATATAACAACCAACCACTAGGCAATAAATACAGTTACATGATAAGCATACATATTCACCCTCTCTCCCTCCCTCTCTCTCCCTCCCTCTCTCTCCCTCCCTCTCTCTCCCTCCCTCCCTCCCTCTTTCCCCTCCTCTCTCTCTCTCCTGGCTGTTACTCAGTGTCTAAGCTCATTGTCTCAACATGTCAACACGTCAACATGTTAGCTAACAGTCACTGCTTCAGTGCTGTGCCTACCTACATGTCTGCATGCTCCTTGCCATGACAGTCATGGACACGACTTACTGAAACTGTATAAAAGCCCACAATTAATTGCTTTATTTTATAAGTTGCCTTAGTGTCTCTACACAGGAACAGAAAAGTACTCAAGACAGAAGTTGCTACCAGGGACTGAGGTATTGCAGGATAAGCCTGCCCATACTAGTTTGGAAGAAATATGGAAGACAATGGGACTCTGAACTAGAAAAGCAGATGATTGCCATAAGTGGGGCTTAACTGCCCATCCTAGCAGAAGCTTGGAAGACAGTAGTGCTGAGAGCAGTGTGGACTACAGGGGCCCATCTCAAGAGGTCTCAGAGTAAAACAATATTAGCAACTGGGTTAGAGACTATTTTTGTGATATTCTGGCAAAATTCTGGCAAGCTGTTTTCTTGTCTTGTCCTATGAATCTGCCTGGGGCTAAATTGAAGAATTTTGGACTAGTTTCAATGACAGAGACTTCAAAAGAAAGCAGGGCAAAAAGAAATACTGGAGCCAAAAATAAATAAATATGCAATGGTCCTCTAATGCAATGATCCTCTATTGACTTTAGACTCAGAGTAAAAATCTCACTATTGGGAGCTGGAGAGATGGCTCAGTGGTTAAGAACACTAGCTAGCTGGTCTTCCAGAGGATCTGAGTTCAATTCCCAGCATCTACATGGTGGCTCACAACCATCTGTAATAAAATCTGGTACCCACTTCTGGTCTGCAGGGATACATGCAGACAGAACACTATACATAATAAATAAATAAATCTCATTATCATGGGGTATGGTGTTTCCACACTGTTAATCCCAGCACCCAAGAGGTGGAGGTATAGCTCTGTGAGTTTGAGGCCAGCCTGGAGTTCCTGGACAACCAGAGCTACATAGTAAGACCTTGTCTCAATTTTAAATAAATAAACAAACACTGAAAACCATTCTTCCCCAATTTCCAAACTTCAATTCCACCTGTATTCTCTGAGGGCAGGAATTAAATAAAATCAAAAGTCACAGCAAGAAAATGTTCTCTCTATTGTGCTCATTCCCACCATTAAACTTAGAGCTAAATGTCAAAATGAGACATCCTTTAAATACTAAGTTTTCTTGGTGGCAATATCACATGCCTTTGATCCCAGTACTCTGAGTTTGATGCCAGTCTGATCTACAGAGTGAGTTCCAAGGCTAGGGCTACACAGAGAAACCCTATCTTGAAAAAAATCAAGAAAACAAAAACAAAAAAATAAATACTGTTTTCAAACTAATATATACCTTTTCATCCAATATATGTCTGTATTCCACAAATTCATGAATGAGATGGGCAGGGCCAACAAGTTCTGTTTTTGCTTTAATCCAATCCAGGGAAAACATTAAAGCACAAAGTTCCTTAAAAATAAAGAAAACATAGTAAGATGGGGTACTGCTTCAAAAAAAAATTCGGTTATCGCATCATTATCCTAAGACAACTGAGAAACAGTTGACAGATACATAAAATTTAAGACCAGAGGAAAGATAGTAAAATGAACACATAATTCCAAAGAAATATAATGGGTCCCACTTTTTAACCCAAAATAAACTTCAGTTGTATAAAGGATTTAAATATAAAACAGAAATCTTTTGTTGTTGTTGTTGTTGTTTTTTGAGACAGGGATTCTCTATATTGCTTTGGAACCTGTCCTGGAACTCCCATGTACCTTTAATCCCAGCACTCAGGAAGCAGAGGCAGACAGATGGATCTCTGAGTTTGAGGCCAGCCTGGTCTACAGAGTGAGTTCCAGGACAGCCAGGACTACACAGAGAAATCCTGTCTTGAAAAACAAAACAAACAAACAAAAAAGAATATTGGTTACTATGAGACAAAATGAATACTCTCATCCACGATACAGTAGAGAGCATTCTTCAACAGAGTGGTTTGGCAATCTGGACTTGTCCAGTATATGTTGTATATTAAACAATCTGTTCCTCAACCAGTTTCCCAGTTTCAGTATAGCTCTACAATGACACAGTATGGGAGCTAGGGGAGATGACTCAGTAGTAAAGCGTCCTGTGCAAGCATGAGGACCTGAGTTTGATCCAGAGGTCATAGGGAAAAGTCAGAGTGGGGTAGAGTGCTTGGGATTCTAGTACTGGGAAAACAGAAGAGGGCAGAGCGCCAGGACTTGTTGGCCATCCAACCTAACCTACTTGTTAAGTCTCAGGCCCATGAAATCCTACCTCAACTAAATACACAACATAGACACTGAGAAATAACACCCAAACAACACCTGCTCTCCACATGAACACACGTGCACAAGCATTTGAACACACACATACATGCACACATGAGTACACAAAAGCAGTATGCAGCTTTAAAAGTGACACGAAAAGAAACTACCAATACCACTAAGTGGTAAAAAGCAATATATAATATATTATTTCTATTATGATCCCTCTTCATTTTAAAACAAGTGTCTAAGCAGAAAATGATCTAGAAAACAATATATAAAATCGTTGGCAATTACTGTGGTCCTCACTGTCTTTATTGTAGATGTCTTCTGAATTCTTCCAAAGAAATCAAATTTCTATCTTTACAATCAGAATAAAGGCTAAAGAAAAAAATTCTGTCACACTATTATATCTAACAAAACCTTTAAGAGAATGCACTGAGACAGATGTTGTGGTGCATACCTTTAATCTTAGCTCTCGGAAGGCAGAGGCAGGTAGATCTCTTGAATTCAAGGCCAGCCTGGTCTACAGAGAGAGTTCCAGGACAGACATAAATAAATAAGTAAGTAGCAAGAAAAAAGAAAGAAAGAAAAATTAACAAACTGGTTTCCAAATGCTTCTTTTTTAATAATGTATCTCATTTACTCTTTTAAATTTTCCTACATCTAAGCAATGTATCTTGTCCATCTCCACTTCCCCTCCCTTTAGGTGTTCATAAACACATTTTCTTCCTAACTTCTATCCTTTTTTTCCAAATAACACACTAAATCCAATTAGTTCTGTCCACATGGGTAAGGGTATGATTATGGGCAGCCCACTAGGGGAAAAGGCAACCTACCAATGGCAGAACCCCCAAAGAGAAAGCGGTCATCAACTATCAATAGCTCCTCAATTAGGAGTGGGACCTCATCAGATCCTCCCCATTCTGGATTTTCTTTTGTTTTGTTTCTTTGCAACAGCCCTAGATGTCCTGGAACTAGCTCTTTAGACCAGGCTGGCTTCAAACTCCCAGAGATCTGCCTGCCTCTGCCTCCCAAGCACTGGGATTAAAGGTGTGCACCACCACCAGCCCTGGGCTGGAATTTTTAAATAGCTTGATCTATGCAGGCTTTATGCAGGCAACAGTCATGTCATATCTAACAGACAGCATTACATAGTGTAGCTGGTAGTCATGGCTTCAAATCCCATCTGTGTTTACATTCCCAATTTTTATCTTTTGTCCATAATGCTCAGAATTCCACATCTATTTATCTAACAGCTTACTCAATATCTGCAATCAGATATGTTAGTAGGTAGGTATATTAGGATTAAGATAATCAATGTCAATTCCTAACCATCTCCTTTTTTTTTAATTGGTTTTTCAAGTCAGGGTTTCTCTGTATTGCTCTGGAGACTGTCCTGGAACTCACTCTGTAGACCAGACTAGCCTTAAACTCACAGAGATCCGCCTGCCTCTGCCTCCTAGTACTGTGATTAAAGGCGTGTGCCACCACGGCCCGGCTACCATCTCCTTTTCAATTGTGTATTCCATGTCACAACAACTGCAGCCTTTCCACTGCACACGCCTGCAGTCATCTTTGGTTCTTCTTTCTGTTGTTATAACGCATATCAAATCCATCAGCAAATCATGGGTTCCCTCTAGTTTCCCTTCCTTCTCTTTCTATGATTTACTCATTGTCTTACTGTGAATGTATTGCTTCTCTTCACCATTGTCTGCTAAATGAGTCTATGGTTTAGACTCATAATGAAGAACGATACCTTTGTCTAACAAGTACTCAATAAGTACCCGATGAATGAATGTCTATCCTTTCCTTCATTTCTACATAAAGCTTATAAACAAATCCACACTGCAAACAAAGAGGAGCTACAGCTAAGAGGATAAACTGATTCATTTGCTGCAGTCACTAAGATACCCCATTTTTTAAAATCACAAGAAAAAATGGAAAAAATCTTACATAAGACATATTTTCACTACTTAAAAAAAAAAGTTTAGGGCTGGCATGATGGCTCAGAGGAGAAAGGTGCTTGCCGCCAACCTGCCAACCTGAATCCACTCCCTAAAGCACAGTTTCACAGAAGCAAAGATTCAGCTCCCACAAGCCATCCTGGCTTCCGCTGCATGCCATGCACACACCCACACATAAGCACACAACATAAATGAGTAAAGGTGATTTTTTTAATTCTAGTAGGATAAAGCACGACACCAAAGAAAAATTTTACATAGCATTTCACTATGTAAAATTCAAATATTCAGTGAAATAGAAAGTAATATCAATAAATATTAAGAAATAACTCAAGGGAGAGTTAAGAGAAATGGCTCAGTGGTTAAAAGAACTTGCTGTTCCTGCAAAAGACCCAGGGTCTGCTCCCAGCTTCCACATCAGGCAGCTCACAACCATTTGTAACTCCAGTTCCAGGGGCCTGGCACCGTCTCCTGGCATCCCTGTATACTGCACACATGAGGTATACATACATACATGTAGCCAAAACACTAATACACACAAAATAAAAATAAAATATTTAAGAAAGACAAATACATAAACCCAAGAGAGAAAAAAAGCATTTACTCATATGGAAAAGTGAAATGAAATAAGAGAATTTTTAAATTGCCATCTTACTTTGTGCATATTGGCACTGGCCATGTGATAAGCTAGGAAGTTGTACCAATACATGCCATCCTCCTGATCTGGAGATAGAGTATTTGGCTGGTAATACCTCTGAAACTGAGTGACCATCTTCCTATGTAGATCCTGAAACATAAATCAAGCATGTCAGAAAACACAAAAGAAAATCCCCCTGACAAACTAGCAACCAAGGGGAAAGTTAGTAGTTTTACAATGGAGAAATCAAGTAAATACCCCTTTAGCCAAATAATCAACATCTACATTATCCGTAAGACACATCAACCTCAATCCCTGATAGGGTATGAGAAAAGCACAGCATCAATTCTGTGTAATTCCTTTAAAAAAAAAATGAGTCAGGTTATGGTGGCACACTCAGGAGGCAGAAGCAGGCGGATCTCTGTGAGTTTGAGGCCAGCCTGGTCTACAGAGTGAGTTCCAGGACAGCCAAGGCTACACAGAGAAACCTGTCTTTAAAAACAAAAAATTGTGCACATTGACTACAGGTGCCTGCAGGGGCCAGAAGGGGTTGTCATATCCTCTAAAACTAGAATTACAGGCGGTTGTGAGCTGCCTAACATGGGTGCTTGGAACGGAACTTGGATTCTCTCGAAGAACAGCAAGTGCTCCTAATCACTGAGCCATCTCTCCGCACCTGTGCTATTCTTGCCAAATAGGTGTAACCTCAACCCACTCAGAAGACAGCAGTCAACATCAAATGTGGAAACCCTGCTTAAATTAACTGAGGAATTGTCACAGGTTTGAGGACATTAGGGAGATGACAAAGAGAGAAAAGATGATGTCATCATCAAACACTTCATGGGACCCTGAACTGGATCTGGACCACAGAAAGAACATTAGTAAAGAAGGAGGCACAATTTTGAAAGCTTGTGGACTAGCTAATAATAGTGCACTAATGGCAATTTCCTCTTTGATATTATAGCTGTGTAAGAATTAGCGATATGCAGCAGGGCATTGGTGGTGCACACCTTTAATCCCAGCACTCAGGAGGCAGAGGCAGGCGGATCTCTGTGACTTCGAGGCCAGCCTGGTTTACAGAGTGAGTTCCAGGACAGGCTCCAAAGCAATACAGAGAAACCCTGTCTCAGAAAACAAACAAATAAGCAAGCAAAAAAGATGTTAGCAATAAGGGAAATAGAGCAAAAGTTTACACAAAGGAAGCTTGTGGTATATTTTGTGCATCTTTGTATATCAAGTCTAAAAATGTTTCAAAATAAAAAGTAATACATGTGAGGAGATGTAAGTACCTGAAGCTGACTTCGATTCTTCTCTGTAAGAAAATCTACTTGAAGGTCATGTAAGTAATAACAAAATGACTTTCCATTCCGATCACAGAATAACAGAGACTTGTTAACAAACTCCTGAAGTATGTCTTCAACTTCTTCAGTTTCCAAGTCCCAGAGAACACATAACACCTAGGAACCATTTTAAGCATTTAATATACCACAAAAGTAAAATGAGTAGTAAGTACTATAGATAGAGTATTTTAACCAAGACATATGACTTTAAGGCCCTAAATAAGAATGTCTCCACATCTAGGCAGAGCTTGGGGAATCCTGTCGAAGAGGAGGAAGGATTGAAGGAGCCAGAAGGGTCAAGGGCACCACAAGAACAAGGCCCACAGAATCAACTAACCACGAGTTCACAGAGACTGAACTGACAACCAGGGAGCCTGCATGGAGCTGACCTAGGTTCTGCATATAAATAATGGTTGTGGAGCTTAGTGTTCTTGTAGGAAGCAGGAGGTATCTCTGACTCTTTTGCCTGCTCTAGGGACCCTTTGCCTCCTACTGAGTTTCCTTGTTCAGTCTTGATATTATTGTTTGTATCTAGCCTTATTGTAACTTGATATGCCCTGTTTGGTTGAAATCCCTGGGATTTCTGAAGAGAAATGGAGGAGGAGTGGATCTGGGGGAGAAGGGAGGTGGGGTGGGAGGGGCTGGGAGGATAGGAGGGAGGAGAAACTTCAGTCAGGATGTAATATATGAGAAAACATAAGTTTTAAAAAAGAATGTCTCCATGTCTTAAGAAGTTCAGTTAGTTCTCAAGACAAACGGTGAAACTGGAAGCCTCTCTGACTTCTCTAGAACCACTGAGAATTAAGTAACTCACAAGCTCAACATCGAGTCTTTAATGGAGACTAAGAGCAAAGGGACTTTGGTACCATCACCTCAGTACAATTATCAAAGTTCACAGGCCATAAATAGCCAACGATACGGAGTGCTGGTCAGTCAGTTACCTTTGTAGGGACCTTGACATCCTTCTGCAGGATGGAAAGGTCTGTATAATAATCCTTGATATCTTCTCTGAGCATTTCAACACTTATAGACATGGCTTCATCCAGAGCCTCATAATCGTAAGAGGAAGATTTCCTTATTCTCTTAAACTGCTTATTCTGAAGTTGTCTGAGGTAGTACGCCCAGCGATTTGGAAAATCACGTAAAAGTGCACCAATTAAAGACACTACAAGAGGAGAACCTGGGGGAAAGTGATTATGTTAATATCTTATTTTAAAGTCACCACTCAACAATTTAAAGTTTTTTCAGTCTTTCTCCAAGTGTGTGTATGGAGGCAAGTATGGATATGTGTGTGGGTGCGGGTGGAGTAGTGGGGGAGTGAGGAGTGAGGGGTGTGTGGATGGGTGTGGTGGGTGTGAGATGTGAAAGTCAGAGGACAACTGGTAGAAGCCAGTTCTGTCCTTCCATGCAGACTCTGAAGATGAAACTCAGGCCGCCAGGCTGGACAGCAAGCATCATTACCAACTCAACCGTCTCACCAGCAAAAGAAACAGTTTTCTAACTCCTGGTTCACTTTACTTCAATGTATGTGCTCTAAAGAAATCATTAGCGTAAGACAGATTTCACTTACAGATACGCACTAAAACATTTGCTCTGTTTATCTGCATTATTCTTTTTGTCCAATCCCTTTGCTACATGGCTGTCCACACTTCGCCATACCTATGCAGTGAAGTTCAGAAAGGACTGCAGAGGCTGAACACATGGAAGACCTCCTCAAAGGTGCCACAGTGAGAGTAGCACTGTCCCGGAAACGCACCCATGCCCTCTCCTCTGTGTCTTTCTGTCACCCTCTATGAGGCACTAAATCTATGTCCCTGACCACATCTGAGAAGGGGTTGCAGCTGCTGGTCAGGAGCATAGCTACAACAACCTGGAGACTGGTAACTGGCATCTCAAGTTGGAAGTAGAGAGAGGTAGTCATGGGAATCGATCCTTCAACTTATAGGATGGACACTTTTCCCATGCAAACCATTTAAGAATTAAATAAAAGGACATGTGGTGACAGAGTGATCAAAGTTCAGTAAGAGAAACGAAGTCTGAGACTGTAGTTTTTGTTTCCCTCTATGTTCTCGGAGCAAATAAAAACTTGAAGATGGCGGACAACAGTATTTACTTACCAAACCGAAACATTAATTTTATAAAATTCCAAACAAAATAAATTTTAAATGATGTTCATAATATTTTTCACTGTTGGACAGTAAAAGTCTTAACTTCATCTCCTCTTTCTCATTAACATACTCGTTAACACATGGTGAGTACAAATACTATTATTAAAAGAATTAATAAATACCAAGTGTATTCACTTGAGGTATGAGAGGTACCTAAAATATTAAATGCCACAAAACAGGTTGCGGTGTTCGTGTGCTAAGTTAGCATATTCCCCAGCTTACTTTATAAGAAGAACATCAATGCCAGCACTCCGGAGGCAGAAACAGGCGGATCTCTATGAGTTCAAGGCCAGCCTGATCTACAGAGCGAGTGCCAGGACAGCCTCCAAAACAATACAGAGAAACCCTGCCTCCAAAAAAAAAAAAAAAAGAACATTAGTATTTCCACACCCTCCCCACATACAGTCAGCAGTCATACCTTTGCACTCTTTTATAATACTGTGAGCCTCCACTGGTAAATCCTCTTTCTTCATGTTAACAAAAAGTGATAAGATTTCAAGTCCTTTCTCTTTCCCCAGACCACTCTCCACAGAGACAACATACTTAGGACCTGAAGCAAAATGTAACACAAAGTTAGCAATTTGTTATAACACATATGCACATGTACTGAAGGAAACAATGCCTTTTAATGTAATGTCTTTACTATGGTATTAAAAAGGAAATCAAAAAGCCTTACCCATTACTGAGTCTGTAACACTCTTATCTCTGGTTGTGAGAAGAATACGACACTGATTGTCAAAAGCTTTCAACACCCAAGGATCCCAAACATCATCCAAGATCAACAGAGACCTAAGTGAAAAAATAAAATCATGCTGGGCGTGGTGGTGCATGCCTTTAATCTCAACACTCAGAAGGCAGAGGCAGATGGAACTCTGAATTTGAGGCCAGCCTGACCCACAAAACAAGCTCCAGGACAGCCGGGCTACGGAAAAACTGTGCCTCAAAAAACAAAACAAAACAAATCAATAATGACTCTTGTTTTACACTTCCTTTAAAAAGAAATTCTAAGACAAGAGTAAGATGGCAGACTAGAAGTTTTTTCCGTGTGTCTCCATGTACAAGAAGTGTCAGGGTAGCAAAGGAGAAACTATAGTTCCAAGACAAAAAGAAAGGAAAGGCATGAGAAATTGTGGTTTGAGTAAAAACGACCCCCACAGGACTCCATGAATTTGCATGTTTAGTCCCCAGTTAAACTGTTTAGAAGGATTAGGAGGTGTGATCTTCGGTGGAGGTGTGTCACTAGGAGTGGACTTTGAGGTTTCAAAAGCCCATGCCAGGGCAAGTGACTTGTTCTCTGCCTGCTGCCTGTGGCTCAGGATGCAACGCTCTTAGCTACTCCTTCAGCACCATGCCTGTCTGCTTCCTGCCATGATGATAATGGACTAACCCTCTGAAACTGGAAGTAAGCCTCCAATTAAATGGTTTCTTTCATAAGAGCTGCATTGGTTATGATGTCATGATGTCTCTTCACAGCCAGGCAGGAAGTGTAAGCGGGGCTACAAGACAGGGAGAATTCTGGGGAGAGGACACAGAAAGAGGCTTCAGGGAGGACGCCATGCTGCAGAAGGAGTATCATGCCGGATTATGGGTAAGCACAGCCTCGTGGCAATACATAGTTTAATAGAAATGGGTTAATAATTAAGAGAGAAGTAGCCAGTAAGAAGCCTAAGCCATTGGCCAACAGTTTCTAATTGCAAGTCTCTGTGTATTTATTTGGGCTAAACGCCTATGGGATGAGGTGGGAAAGAAACTCCATCTACATAGAATAGTAACTAAGAAGTCAAGGTTGGCAACAATACAAAAATAAGTAAATAAAAGTATTTATGCACATGCATACACAAAATAAATTTAACAACAACAAAAAAAAGACTCTGCATTAGAAGAACTGGTCACTCTTACAGAGGAGTCAGGTTTGACTCCCAGAACTCATTGGGTGGCTAACAACAGTCTGGAATTCCAGTTCCAGGGAATCCAGTGCTCTCTTCTAGCTTCCACAGGCACCAAGTACAGATATGCTGTACATACATATTACAGACAAAATATTAATACACAAAAACAATGTTTAAATTGGTTGGGTTTTTTTTTTTTTTGGTTTTTGTTTTTTTGTTTTTAGAGACAGGGTTTCTCTGTGTAGCTCTATAGACCAGGCTGGCCTCGAACTCACAGAGATCCCCCTGCCTCTGCCTCCCAAATGCTGGGATTAAAGGTGTGCACCACCAATGCACCACAAATAGTTTTTTTTAACCAACAGAAAAACAGGTTAACACAAAGTGTTAGGATTAAAGGCATGTACCACCACGTACGGCTTCTTGATACTTTCTGAAATCAGTTCTGTCCATTTATTTATTTGTTTGTTTATTTTAGCTGTCTGTACATTTTTAAATATATTAGTTATGTGCATGCGTACATCACATGCACATGCCACAGCATGCACATACAAGTCAGAGGACAACTTGCAGGAGTCAGTTCTCTCCTTCCAGCATGTGGGATCTAGGGCTCAAACTCAGGTTGTCAGCAGGCAGCTGCCTTTCCCACTGGGCCAAAACCCCTGCCTGTGTTACATTTGTCTTTGTTTTGAGACAGAGTTTCACTGTGTAGTCTACAGTATTCCCAAACTCCCATTCCTCCTTCCTCTGCTCCTAACTCCTGGGATTACACATGTGCATCACAACACCTGGACCTGGCTGAGTTATTCCAAAAGATTGAGCTTTAAGCCCAGAAATTCTTCCTTCTTCTTGATCCAGTTAGAGATTCTCAATAATAGTTTTAATCATTTTATTGACTTCACTGGGTTCAGTACTATCATCTCCTATCATATTAAATTTCTCATTCAGATAATGTACTTTTTTTTAATTTCTTAATTTTACTCTGTATTCGCTCATATCTCAAAGAGTTCCCTTAAAAATCATTATTTTTAATCATTTTCAAGAATTTATCAATTTACTTTTCTTCTAGGTCTGTTGCTAAAAAGCTGTTATATCCCTTAGGAAACATCATGTTACCATGCCCTTTCATGGTTTTTTGTGTCCCTAAGCTGACATTTGTGCCTCCAGGAGTTCAGCTGCCTCTACTATCGCAATAAAAGACTTTCTTGTCAGTGCTAACCAGGTAGGCTATGTTGACTCTGGTTCCATGTGGGTGCAATAACATAATGTATGTATAATTTCTTCAGCTATATTCACAATCTGGACAAAATCTGTGGTATCTCTATAACAAAGGTTATAAGGGTATGGTGATTTGAATGAGAATAGTCCCCATAGGCTCATATGTTTGCAGACTTGATACCCACTTGGTGGAACTGTTTGTGAAGGATTAGGAGGTGTGGCCTTGGGCGGGTGATCACTGGAAGACACCTGTGAGGTTTCAAATAGTAAATCTCAGTGTGCCTCTGCTTCCTGTTTGTGGTTCACCAGGTGTGCCCCTGGCTGCTCCTGCTGCCATGCCTTTATCTACCATCACAGACTCTAACTCTCTGAAACTTTTAAGCCCAAACTTTCTTCATAAATAGGCTTGGTCACGTTGTTTTATCACATAGAAAAGTAACTAAGACAAGAGGTTTGTGTGGTTGTTCTACCAAGTGAGATGTAGTAGAAGGGATACGACCATTTGGAATCTGCTGGATACTAGCCTAGCCAAACAGACAAGCTACAGGTCTCTGACCTCCTCAGGTGCACACATGGGTGCATATGCACATACATACATACACCACACACAGTTCTCAGGCCAGAGGGATGACTCAGGCCTGAGTTCAATTCCCATAATCCATGACAGAAATAAAGAACCAACTCCTGAAAGCTGTCTTCTAACCTAACCTATATACAAGCTACACACACACACACACACACACACACACACACACACACACACACATACACGCCAAAAAAATGAATTTTAAAATAAATCATTTTAGCTAAGGAATACAGCAAAGTGATAGAACACTTGCCTAACATGAATGAAGCCTTGAGTTCAATCCACAACCATACAAAAATAAGAAATCCTCCCTTCTTTCCTTTCTCAGCTTTACCTTAGTTACTTAGATTGTTTTTTTTTTCTTATTCTATGTTTATCCAATAGAAACAATTTATCCAAACCAAGAAGTTTGTATTTTCAGCCGGCTGTTGGTGGCACACGCCTTTAATCCCAGTACTCGGGAGGCAGAGGCAGGTGGATCTCTGTGAGTTTGAGACCAGCCTGGTCTACCAAGCGAGTTCCAGGACAGGCTCCAAAACAATACAGAGAAACCCTGTCTCGAAAAACCAAAAAAGAAAAAAAAAGAAAAAGAAAAGGAAGCTTGTATTTTCTAACAAAAACCACTCACCAACTACAAATTGTATTTCTCAAAACCCTACAATGGCATATAGGAGGCAATATGATAAATAAGATGCAAAAAATGAGCAATTTAGATCAAGTGATAGACACTTTCTTTTTTAAAATTAGAAGAAAGAACAGCAGGAAAGCAATGGCTCTCTGAAAATGGCATGGTATTCTCAGGATGTCAGTAAAGGATCATACACTAATCACATTTGATTGTCTGTACCTTGGGTGTTTGCGGAGCATCAGAACACGGAGACGGTCTTTAGCCTCCTCAATATTAAGTGGAAGCCTCTGAGAAAAACTCTCCTCTTGATCCAACCGTGTGCAAAGATTCTGCAGTTTCATCAGAAGCCCAGATTTGTCTTGTTTTCCAACTGAAACCCAATGTACACCCCCTGGGAAACAACCTAATCAGGAAAAAAAAAGAATAAATGTATAATTGTAAGGCCTCTGAACACAGACAGCCCTCTCTGAATTGCTTTACTGTTAATTATCAAATGCATGCCAACCTTCAATCTCCTATCTTTACCTTCTCTGGAGTCAAGATACAAATCTTAATAGGCATTTATTGCTGAACTACAAACCTAAATCTAAGAGACACTAAAGATTTAAGTTAGGACAGTATCTAAGGCTTTCAGGGATATTTTTGCTTTACCAAGCAAATTTTCATAATCTTCATTCCCAGGTTTCTTATAAGAGTCATTTCTCAGTGTCAGTGCTCTTGACATATGGGGCTAGTTATTCTTTGTTGTGAGGGATTTTCCCATGTATACTAGGATGATTAACAACCTCCTGACACCTACTCTAGAATGCTAGTAGGATTCTCCCTATCAGTACTGTCAACAAAACTATCTCCAAGCACTGTGAAATGCCCCTATAGAGGATGAAAGAAGAATACTACATTTTTCTGCAACATACAAAAAGTAGATTTAAATGTATAGGGCTGATGAGATGGCTCAATGGTAAAGAGACATGCCACAAATCTGGTGACTTGAGTTCAGTCCTTAGGTACCACAAGGAAGAAAAAGAATAAATTCCTACAAGCTGTCATCTGACCTCCACATGCACCATCCACATACACACACAGGCACACACACACACACACACACACACACACACACACACACACACACAAAGAAATGAAATAATTTTTCAGTTCCATCAGAGTGTGAGTGTGTGTGTGTGTGTGTGTGTGTGTGTGTGTGTGTGTGTAAAACAGAAAGGGGACTAAGCCAGGGGAAGATATCTAAAGAGAGGGAACAGGAAGAATAAAACAGCAATGGAATATACGTGGAGGAAAAAGAAAGAGAAAGGGGACCCATTCCTTTGGGTGAGATGCATGCTCGGAGGCAGTAGGACCATGATATAATCCTGGCCCATGAGCTAGCTTGTTGGAGCCCACTGCCTATGGTGGGATGCCATGCTCAGTCTTAATGCATGGGAGTGGGGCCAGGCCCTGCCCCAACCTATTACACCAGCCTATGTTGACTCCTCATGGGAGCCCTTACCCGTGAGGAGGAGTGGACTGGGGATGGGCTGCGGGGAGGCGAGGGAGGTGGGAGGAGAGGTGGGAAAACCGTGGTTGGAATGTAAATGAAATTTAAAAGACTAAATAAATCATAAAAAAAGAGAAAGAGTACTATTTGTGGAAAACAAAAGGACAAGCAAAGAGACAGAGAGGCTAAGGACAAAGACTGTGAGAACAAACACAGACTATCAGGGTATAAATATGAAAATACACAGTGAGGCTCATTGTTTTGAGCTGGTGCAATGGTACAGAAGTAAATATGATTGCCACACAAACCTGACAACCTGAACTTGATCCCTGGACCACGGAAAGGTGGAAGGAGAGAGTGGACTCCAAAGCTGTTTTCAGACCTCCACAGGTGGACTGTGAAACATGCACACCCCCAAGCACACATGCACACACTAATAAATAACTGTTTTTAACTATGAGGCATAGTGGGCCACACCTTTAATCCCAGCACTCATGAGGCAGAGGCACGATCTCTAAACTCAAGGTCAGCCTGGTCTACACAGTGAGACTCTGCCTCAAAATAAATAACTCATTAAAAACAATTTTTAGTCAGGCAGTGGTGGTGCACTTTTAATCGCAGCACTTGAGAGGTAGAGGCGGGTGGATCTCTGAGTTCGAGGCCAACCTGGTCTACAGAGTGAGTTTTAGGACACCAGGGCTATACAGAGAAACCCTGTCTCTAAAAAACCAAAATGAGCCGGGGGTTGGTGACGCACGCCTTTAATCCCAGCACTCGGGAGGCAGAGGCAGGCGGATCTCTGTGAGTTCGAGACCAGGCTGGACTACCAAGTGAGTTCCAAGACAGCCTCCAAAGCCACAGAGAAACCCTGTCTCGAAAAAACCAAAAAAAAAAAAAAGAAAACTAGACAAATATATTAAGTGATCAACTAACCTACAAAAATCTACCACTACAGTACAGCGTTTAGTTAAATGTATTTTAGCAAGAATCTAAACATCTGAACTATGGGCACAAGAGGGAGCAATTTAGCCTTGAATGAAGTTTATACTTCTAACTCATTCAAAGAAAAACTGCCTTTATTCAAAGGAGAAAAAGGGCTCAATTCTATTTTCACATAAGGTTTTTCCTGACAGCAGTTAATAATCTAGTAGCATCAAGTAAATCATAAAAAAGACAGAAACAAGTAAGCAGGCAGCCTATGGGAAAATCTCCCATGTTGTAAAGACACAGCATAGGGCTGGCAAGATGGCTCAATGAGTAAAAACCAAAACTGACAACCTCAGTTCAATCCTCATGGTGGAAGGAGAGAAGTGATGGCCATGGCACACACATCTGCACACGTGCAAATAAAAAATACATACACACACTGTTCAGTACTGCAACTGTTCTAAAGATACACTGACATTTTCCATGTGTGTTTGTGAGTGCGTGTCGTGTATGAAACAGAGGTAAACTTTCAAAAGAAAACTAGTTTCTTTAAAAATGTATAGACAGGCAGTGAAAATCTGATCACCTGGATCTCACAGAAGTAAAGGAGGAATATATTAAGTTCACATGTAAGAAAGATTTACCAGTGTATCTGGGATTTTTCTCAAAGTAAATTGGTTAGGGACTGGGGAGATGGCTCTATCGGTCAAGTGCTTACTCAACCATCGAGCAAGGGGGCCTAAATTTAATCACTAACAGCAACGTTTTTTAAAAAGCCAGATAAGAAAGGCAGATCTCTATGACTGGGTGGCCAGCTAGCTCAGACATTGAGTTCTAGGTTCAGTGAGACGCCCTGTCTCAAATTCAAAGCAGAGAACAACTGAGGAGGAAAACTTTATGTTGACCTCTGGCCTCCATAAGCACATAGGCACACACACACAGTGGTTATGTTACACAATGTTTCCTGAGCCAATAACCCTCTAAGTTTTTATTCACTGTTAGTCCCTAAAATCAAAAGTTCATCATAATACAGAGCAACTTAAATGAGATATTCTTTACATATATATTTTAAAGAAAGTTTATCATAAAACTGAAATGAAATGATATTTCTTAACACTAAAAGAACTTGGGTCCATTTTATCCTGAAATATCTTTAGTGACCAATTCTATAGTAGTTTGTTTAGGGTTTTGTTTCATCTTGTTTTAGACACTCTCGATGTACAGCCTTGGCTATTCAGGAACTCACTATGTAGCTCAGGCTGGCCTTGAACTCAGAAATCTATAGACCTCTACCTCCCATGTGCTGGAATTAATGGCATGCAGCACCACTTCCAGGTAGCCAAAGAGATTTTAAAAATCATTCCCAGGCTCTAGAGACTTTCAAAGAGCTAGTAAGTCCTGAGAAACTTCTCTTATAACAGGAAAAAAAAAAAAAAACTAAGAGCTAAGACTGAGCATCCTGTCAAAACTGCCATCAATAGTGTTAAGAAACGTTAAGAAGTTCGAAACTAGAACCTTGTGCACAAAGATGTACCCTAGATTCTATCTTTCTAATCTCTTACAGGCCTATTAAACTGCCTGATGACTGATTAAGACTTGGATTTCTTTTTCTTTTTTTCTTTTTTTCTTTTTAGCACTTGGGACCACTTTAATCCCAGTACTCATAAGAGGCATTTAACACAAGAACAGAGTCTAAGAACTTGCATTCATTCTCCAGCCACATTGAGGATAGGAAGACATTGAAGTCTCAGAATTCTCCAGCATAGCAGTCTGAGTGAATATGAGGAGCAGAGAAGTCAGGAGCAGTTTGAGGATCACACCTTTGGTCTCAGCTGAGGTGAGCTAGTGGCCAGCTGCTTTGCTTTTCTGATCTTCAGCTTGAAGCTTGAACCCCAATACCAGTCACTGGGTCTTTTATTATTTTGTGTTATGACAGGTGCATTTTCTTTTAGCTCACAGCAACTGCTTTTGCCTTCATGAGGCAAGGACAAGATCAAGCCAGTCAAAATTCCAGGCTAGGGGTAGGGTCTTGGGGTCCCACCTCCACAGAGAAGCTACTTGCAGATGTTGGTTTCTGGTGGAGTAAGAACCAGTATTGTTCACTGATGTGGTTCCTGGTAGCTTGCCCGAATGACAATGAATGGATTTACACCCTTTTTGTATGTTAAAAGCTGGGCTCAGCCAGTTGAAACAAAGGGGTAACAGGTTGGGAGGAAATGTGTTGGAGGAAGACTTGGATTTCTAAATGATCAAGAAGTCAGAAACTGTGTCTGGATTCCTACACGTGATAGACCAACAGAGCTCACTAAAAAACGAAGGTACTAGTGAGACACACAGGCATTTACAGTCAAACCTGGAAGTCTGAGTCTAGATTCCCCAGAATCTACATGATGGAAAGAAAAGAACCAACTGTGTCACTAACTGTGCTCTGAACTTCACACAAGTGTCATGGCATGTGCACTCACATGTGAACACACACTCAAGTGCACACACATAAAAAGTAAGTATTTTAGGAATTACAAAAGAATGGAGGAAGTCAACCACTGGGGTAGTTGTGTATTCACTCCTGGTGAGTATCACCAGAACCCTGCAAGCATATCTGAGACCCTCTTCTGCCCAGTATGTCTTTTACCACTTACTAACCATTCACTGCCCTTCCTACTTCCCTACTCTGCTACCCTTAGTATGCCTAGCAAACTTTTATTCTTTCCCTAAAATTCAACTGAATGCCATCTCATTCAGGAAACCCACACTGTTTATCCTCTTCCTCTAGGAAGTGAGTACCTTCCTTCTAACTTTGTACCCTGTATTAGCTAGGGCTCTCTAGAGGAAAAGAACTTACAGAATTAAATATTTTTTTCATTATACAATGGCTGTCTACCAGCGGAAGGGCCAAGAATCCTGTAGCTGCTCTGTCCCTGAAGCTGGAGGTCTCAGCTGTCTTCAGTATACACCAGAATACCAAAGAAGTAGGCTCCAGTGCCAGGGAAGGAGTGACTTGCCAGTGAGAGGGAGAGCAAGCCAGCAAAGAGAGCAAGCTTCCTTCTTCCACGTCCTTCACACAGGCTGCCAGCAGAGCCGTGCCCAGATTAGAAGTGGACCTCTCCACCTCAAGAGATCTGGATTAAAGGTGACTCTTCCCTTCTCAAAAGATCTGGGTTAAAAGAGGGTCTTTTATCCCTCAGAGGTAAACCCAGCTGCCTGGGTTTTAGTTCATTCCAGATGTAGTCAAGGTGACAACAAATATAGCCATCACATACCCTGTACTTTCTTCTACCACCCGATTTTTCACATATACAATTATCTGTATGCTGTCTGTTCCCCTACTAGACTGTGAATGAATCCCTCAAGTGCACAGCCTTCTTTTGTTGCTCTCCCATGCCCAAAACTGTCAGTCACATAGCAGGCACTCAAATATTTACTGTATACATGAATACCTAAGAAAAGGAAAGTCAATCATTAGATGATAAATAGAGCTATAAAGCCACCCTTAAGAAAAAACTCCACTGGTTGTAGGCAATTCTCAGGTTTCCTTCTTGGAAATACACAGTAGAGTTAATTTTTATTTTTCATTGTTATGTGTATATGTGGGTGTCTGATTGTGGATTTATGGGTGTGAATGTGGTGCCAAGAACAGAAGAGGTCACCAGATGCCCTGGAGTTGCAGTTTCACGCAATTCTGAGTCACCTGACATGGGTGCTGGGGACTAACCTCGGCTTCTCTGGAAGACCAACAGTCAACTCTCTAGCCCCAGAGTTTTTATTAATTATAAATAAGTACAGCTGGGAAATGCAGCTCAGTTAATAGTGTTTGGCTATCAGGAACTGAGCTCTGCCAACCCTGCATAAACCGGATGTGGTGGCAAATGCCTAGTGTCAGCACTCAGAAGGTAGAATCACACAGGGTTCAGAAATTTAAGGTGATCCTCAGCTACACAGAGAATTCAAGACTAGCCTGGGTTACATGAGATCTGTCTCTCCTCTGAACTCCATCCCACCCCACCCCATCCCCAAAGAAAAGGAAGGGGGAAAAAAAGGTAAGTAACTAACAAAGAATTATAGAAAAAAGGGGGCTGAGATGGCTCAGGGATAAAGCACTTGCTACAGCAGGAGGATCTGAATTCAGATCCCCAGCACCATGTAAATACCAGGTGGTCCAAGTGGCTCATTTATAACCCCAGCACCCAAGAGGCACAGACAGGATCCCCAGAGCAAAGTGGCTATTTATATCCACTTAACCAATGAGCTCTGGATTCAAATCAGAGACCCTGCCTCAACATATAAAGTAGAAACTGATCAAAAGAAAGCAACCAATGTCAATCTCTAGCTTTCACATACATGTATACACTTGAATGGGTGAGTACACATGCATTATGTATCTACATATACAAACATATATATATACAAACATATATATATATATATATATATGTAGCACAAATATAAACATGTGCTGGATAGTTTTATGTCAACTTGATACAAGCTAAAGTCACTCCAGAGGAGGGAACCTCAATTAAGAAAACACTTCATAAGATGGGGCTGTAGGCAAGCCTGTAGAGCAGTTTCTTAATTAGTGATTAATGGAAGAGCCCAGTCAATGTGGACAGTATCATCCCTGGGCTGATGGTCCTGAGTTCTATAAGAAAGCAGACTGAGCCAGCGTTGGTGGCGCATGCCTTTAATCCCAGCACTCAAGAGGCAGAGGCAGGCGGATCTCTGTGAGTTACAGAGGCCAGCCTGGTCTACAGAGCAACTTCCTAGACAACCTCCAAAACAATACAGAGAAACCCTGTCTTGAAAAAAAAGAAAAAAGAAAACAGAAAGCAGGCTGAACAAGCCACGATGATCTAGCTGGTAAACAGCTCCCCTCCATGACCTCTGCATCAGCTCCTGCCTTCAGGATCCTGCCCAGTTGAGTTCCTGTCCTGACTTCCTTCAATGGTGAACACTAAGTGTAAGCCAAATAAGCCCTTCCTCCCAAAGCTGCTTTTGGTCATGGTGTTTCATCACAGCAGTAGTAACCCTAACCAGCACAATGCATGAAAAGGAAAAGGAAAAAGGAATAATTACAGAAATGGAAGAACAGGTGAGAGAGATCAGAAGGTAAAGGTGCATGCTGCCAAACCTGAGGACTTGAGTTTGATCCTGGGAACCCACATGGCAGAAGGAGAGAACCAATTCCCACACAGTATCCTCAGGCTTCCAAACACATGCTGTGGCACACACCCATATGATTTTGCATACACAAATAATACAATTTTTATTTTTTTAATAACTGAATTAACTGTTTAAATTAATACATGCTACCAAATACATTTGAAAAGCATTCACCAGGCGAGTCACCTTCAGAAATGAGTTTCTAAGACACTCTTCTCCTATAGCACTGCATGCCAGAATAAAAACTGCTAAGTATATTCCTGCCTGAAAGGACAACCTTTCAAGCCTTTCTTAGTCCTACAACCCAGTACCTTTACAATGCTAGATAACTAGCTTATTCCAGTGACACTGTATCTTCTGACACCTTTGGGAGACAAGCAAGCTGCACAGACCTAATTTCATACACCCTTGTTGGGTAGAATCATGGTCCCCTAAAGATGTCCACAAAATGGTAATTTACTGTACAGAGTAAAAGGGAGTTAGTAGGTCTGATATTTAAGGATTAGGGGGTGAAATTATCCTGGATTATATAGTAAGCCCAGTATGATCACAGGGCCTTCATAAAGAGGGGAGCAAGAAAGTCAGAAAACAATGTGGTCAGAAGGTGGTGGTGGTGAATGCCTTTAATCCCAGCACTCGGGAGGCAGAGAAACAAGTAGATCTCTTCAGTCTGGTCTACATAGCAAGTTCCAGAACAGCCAGGGCTCTGTAGAGAGAGACATTGTCTCATAACAGACAAACAAAAAGAACGGGCTCTAGTGGTGCCCACCTTTAATCCCAGCACCTGAGAGGCAGAGGCAGGTAGATCTCTGTGAGTTCAAGGCCAGCCTGATCTACAGAGAGAGTTCCAGGACAGCTGGGGCTACACAGAGAACCCTGTCTCAAAAGAAAAAGTAGGAACAAGAGATGTAACTTGCCGGGCGTTGGTGGTGCACGCCTTTAATCCCAGCACTCGGGAGGCAGAGGCAGGCAGATCTCTGAGTTCAAGGCCAGCCTGGTCTACAAAGTGAGTTCCAGGACAGCCTCCAAAGCCACAGAGAAACCCTGTCTCGAAAAACCAAAAAAAAAAAAAAAAGAGATGTAACTCAATGTTAGAATGTCTGCCCTGGACTTGATCCCTAGCACCTATGACTCACCCTCAAAAACTCAGAAAATGAAATGGAAGACAAAAGCAAATCAATACCAAAGAAATACAGGCAAAAAGAGAAAGACTTGATGCTATGCTAGCTTTGAAGAGGAACTATGAGGTAAGGAAATGTAGGCTCCCTCGTGGAGATAGAAAAATCAAGGACAGAAATTTTCCCAAGTACTTCCAAAAGGAATTCAGTCCTAACACTTTGATTCCAACCTAGTTTAAAAGAAGAAGAAAAAAAAAACTTAAGACAAGAAATGCATGTTATTAAGTCTCTAAATTTGTGGTAGTTTATTATCAGCAGCAACAAGAAAGCCTAAAAGCAGCAATAACTAAAGAATTCCAGTGTTCAAATAAAACAAAATCTTGAAAAACAATGTTGCAGTATCAAACGTACCTTCTAAGAGGGAATGATCTCGAACAGCTTCCGCAGCTAATACAGACTTCCCACAGCCTGCCATTCCATATATGGTGACCCACCCTGCTTCACCATTCAATTTCCAAAGTTTCTGTTGAATTGCATTTACCAGCTTCTTTCTAGTAACGAAAATAACTGGCCTCTGTGGAACTCCACCTTCACACAGCACAGTCCTTACTGAAATCCAAAGCGAAAATAAGTGAACAAAACTTCAAAGTGACCACTTGTGAGTAATCCTCCTGTAGAACCCAGATAAGCAAGACTGACACTTAGCCTCAAAACTTCCAAGACAAATAGCAAAATATGACTATAATATGAACTTCACCCTTCCAATGTCTCATAACACAAAGAACAAGAGTAAGCATGGATTCTTCACCGTCACCTTATACACACCATGGAAGTCTCCATCTATCCCCACCTTATACACACTATTATTCCCTGACCCTCTAGCCTCTTCTGTCTATGTTGAATACTGTGAAAGACAAAGGGTATATTTATAGTTCACTGGCTGAGTTTGCTTAGCATGTGCAAGGCCAAGGTTGTGGGTTTGACCCCAAGCACCACAAAAAAGAAAACGGGGAAAGGATGAGGGCAACAAAATGTTTCAACTGACAAAGAAAGGCACTTGCTGCCAAGTATGATGAACTGAGTTCAGCTCCTGCAAGCTGTCCTCTGACCTCTTCTTGTGCCCCATACCTCAGACTATAAATAAATGTGTAAATATATGTGTTAAAAAAAAAAAAAAGAGCCAGGCGTTGGTGGCGCACGCCTTTAATCCCAGCACTTGGGAGGCAGAGGCAGGCGGATCTCTGTGAGTTCGAGGCCAGCCTGGTCTACAAAGTGAGTTCCAGGACAGCCTCCAAAGCCACAGAGAAACCCTGTCTCGAAAAACCAAAAAAAAAAAAAAAAAAACCATTTTTAACACTGGAAAGAATATAGAGAGAACAATGTTTCTGGAGTTCCTTTCAAAAATATAGACTTCTGGGCTGGAGAGATGGTTCAGAGGTTAAGAGCACTGGCTGCTCTTCTCGAGGACCTGAATTCCATTCCCAGTACCCACATGGCAGCTCACAACTGTCTGTAACTCCAGTTCTAGACGATCCAGTGGCCTCTTCTGGCCTCTGAGGACACCAGGCATACACATGGTACACAGCATACATGCAGGTAAATATGCAGACACATACGATGAAAGTTTTAAAAAATGTAAATTTCTAAAACTTCTTTTCCTGTCCTATAAACTTGCCATATAATACACAAATAAAGAAAATAATTAAGGCCCTACAAATGCTCTTAATAGCTCTAAAATTTAGAGTTCATATGCTACTACCTCATCAGTAAGCAGTTCACTGCACAAGAAAGATGTATAACATGGACACAAATAAATACTCAGATCTGAACTTAAAATATTTTTGCACATGCATCCTTCAATGAACTAAAATACACTTTCTATCAGTTTAACCACAATCAAGCCTTCAGGCAATACAGCCACGATAACGGCAATGAACCAGGGATACAAACCAAATGAAGTCACTCCACCGTCTGTGTCTTTGCCACTGGAGGAAGAAAGGAGAGGAAGGCCACTGTGAAGAAGAGCAGCAAGGTCTTTATACCCCTCATGGAGCAGAGCATTGTAGAATGAAATGTAGGCACAGTTATCTTTATTAAGTATCGTCTTCAGTAAAAGAGCTGCTCGCTGATATTGAGTGGTCTGAAAAAAATTAGACAGTGTAAGAATATGGCGGGGAATATGTTTGCAGCACAAATTAGTGGAGACTGCTGCAAGTTCTGAGAGGACTGGAAATTTTCAAGACGCACAGACGGTCCAGGGCTTTACCTGACTTCTCACTGCTTCCTCCTCTGCTACTGTTAAAACATTGTCACTGATCATGTGATCCATGATGTAGGAAGTTTTGATGTCCTTCTCCAGAGCTTCTCTGTGTTGAAGCAAACAATTCCGGGCCTTTGCATCCATTGTCCTTCAGGTTTTTTTCTCTCTTCGCTGTCAAGCATGAGCTACAGGCAAAGTGTCAACACATTTGTCATGACAAGGAATCAAGAAATGTCAAGAAAAGTTTGGTTTGGTTTGCTTTTTTTTTTTTTTTTTTTTTTTTTTGCTTTTCAAGACAGGGTTTCTGTGTAGCCTTAGTTGTCCTGGAACTAGCTCTGTAGACCAGGCTGGCCTCAAACTCAGGATTCTCAGAGATCCACCTGCCTCTGCTTCTCAAGTGCTGGGATTAAAGGTGTGTCTTTATTATTTTTAATTATGCTCATACTTAAAATGGAATACTACATAGCCACTTAAAATTAGATGGCACGAATCTCTGCGCAGTATACATACTGACAAGGAAAGATGTTTCTGACACTGCTGATTTAAAAGAGAAACAGAACCCCAAATAACACAAAATGTGTTATATCTCATAAATGTATAAGAATATGCTTAAAAGCTCGTTCATCAAAGTGTTTGGAAGACTGAGTAGTAAGATTTTGACTTTCTTTTTCTGTAATTTTATAGTGTCCTTTTTTTCAATAGCCATTTTTTTACAGTAAAAATTGTTCCTTTTGTTAAGTTCAGGTTCTGTAAAAGTTACCATACCTAATTCCTCACATTTTAAAACTTGTTTGCTTTATCCAGCCTACAACCAAGTGGCATTGCTGATCTGAGTTCTCAAAGTAGACATCAGCCCCAGATCTTAATTAGTAAGCACATACTCACAGAGCCACAGGAAATACCCTCTGACGTCATTTCTTCAACTACGGTAACAAAAAATAATATTCTTTACTGAAAGATTATTTTCATTTCTTAACAACTTCCCAAAAATATAATGAAAACTATTCCATGAAAGCCAGTTCTGAATGTTTGCAAGTTCTAAAAACATTTAACAGAACTCCATCCAATGTATTAAAGTATGAATGTCTTAAATAGTCTTAATCATTCCTTCAATACAAGGTGTGTGTGTGTGTGTGTGTGTGTGTGTGTGTGTGTGTGTGTGTGTGTGGTGCTGGGGATTGAACCCACTGCCTTATTTTACATGGTGGGCAAACAATCTACTACTAGTGCTACAGAATTCCAGCCGTCTTTCAATACATATGGAGTCCTTCCCGAGACTACAGAAGACTAACTCATCCCTGAATTAATCTAGTAGAACAAAAAGAAAGGTAATAGGAATGTGACTGTCCTAAATGCAAAACCAGAGATAGGCGCAGAGTAATTAGAAAGCTCGGCAGAAGGGTATCATTCATCTAAAAAAAAAAACTTTTATTTACAGTCATCAAATGTAGCACTTGCAAAAATAAAAAAGGCACCTATTTGTGCTTGTCAAGGTTCACAAAAAGGAGTGGAATGAAATTAACTGAAGAAAAGAAATAAAAAGAATTAGAAACAAAACTCTCACTTTCAATGTTAACATTTTTAGTCTCAACTGACAATTGTGAAATTCATTCTGACAAAGGATATTAGGTTATGCCAAACAGTTAAGCAAAACCACACTTTGGCAACTAATTTCCAATTTTCTCTAGCCTTATTAAACTCAAGTATGTTACCCTTAAACACTTTCTTTAAACTTTGCACAAACTGAAATGCTATGGGCAAATTCTCAGTGCCACACCTCTTGAGGCCACATCAAAAGAGAAAGTCAAACTGTTCGGAGATACAGAACACAAAATAAAGGCTGTCTGTCCAGGAAAACAGTAGCAACAGTGGTCTACTTCCTCCTTAGATAATTTCTCTTCCTGGTACAGGATGGTTATCAAATATCCCGAGTGCCCTGATCTTCGGTCCCTGAGATCTACAACAGAACTAGCAAAAAAGCTGTCTGAGGGGGTGGGGAGGAGCCAGGGGAGAGGTAAACTCACCCAAGCCTTGGCACTGGGTTGTGTTGGGACCAGCAGCCCCGGGTGGGTCAGAGCTGATAATCGCTCGCCTCAGGCAGCCGGGTCTCCCGGCCGATCGTCCAGCGACCCCGCGCCCCGGGCAGGTCCTGACACCTCAGGTGCCTCACCTGGGCATCGGCCGCTCGGGGCGCAGGGGGATGCCCGGGACTTCCGAGCGGTGGCGAGGGGCGCTCACCTCGGCGGGCTGACCCCGCCGCTAGCCTCGGGCCGCGCCCGAGGTATCTCGACCCAGAACACAATAGCACGGTCAGTCCGGTCGCCGCTTCTCCCCTCCGGCGGGAGCTGCCCGGGCGGGAAGCGGGCGCCGCTCGGAACGCTGCCGCGATTGTCTGCGATCGTCGCCGGTAGCTGGCTGCACCCACCTCACGCTACCGGACACCCTCCCACACCCTTCTGAGCGCGGAGAAAGCCGTCTGGTCCACTCGTTACCTCCCAGTCTCCGCCTCAGGCCCGCGGAGCGCTCAAACACCGCCGGGCCCGCCCAGTCCGGGCAGCGCGCGCCCGCGCACGCAAATGCACAGCCGGAGGGCCGGCCGCCGCGCGCACCCCGCCCGGCGCGTGCCCGCAAGGCCTGGGAGAGCGTCTCCGCATGCGCCATGGGGCGGGGCTAAGACGAGGGGGCACGCCCAGACGAACGTGGCACTCTCGGCCCCGCCCCTCTCTCGTCGCAACCCTGCAGCCGGCGCGCGCCCGCGAGCTTGCGTTCCCTTACTCGGTCTGGTAGCGGAACCCGTAGGCGGGAGGCGGGGCGAACCGAGGGGCGGAGCCGGCTGGTGGGCGGAGCCCAGCCTGGGAAGGGGGCGAGGCTCCTGCAGCCGCGCCGCAGCCACGTCCGTCGGTACCCCGGTGAACCCGCTCGGCTTGGAGATCTTCAGGGTTCCAGATATGTCCGAGGTGAAGAGCCGGAAGAAGCCGGGGCCCAAGGGGCCTCCCGCTGAGCCCGAGAAGCGGAGCGACGGCAGGAAGAACCCCGAGGCGCGGGGCGGCGCGAGCTGGGCGGACCCCCGCACCGGGCTCAGCCTGCTGTCGCTGGCGGCGTGCCTGGGCCTGGCCTGGTAAGTGCTCGATGCCCCAGGCCGTGGGTCGAGCCTGGCGTGGGCGCCAACCCAGTCTCGCTTGAATGCACTCATTTAACTCTGTTCTGCCAGCATGCTCCTGTCGCTGCCCCCGAAAGTATGGGAACGAGTCACCCGAGACTTGGCCCACACTTTATTCCGCGCCTACTGTACACACAAGTCACAAGTTTGCACATAGCTAAAAACCGCTACTTCCCGTCCACTCTGCAGCTTTGTGGCTGAGTTTGCCCCCTCCCCCAAAAAAGCGCACAAGGGAAATGTCTGGAGCCTTAAAAAAAAGTTTGTTGTTGGTGAGCAACAATGCTGATGAGTCTTTCTCCTACATTTAAACTATGGCCCTTTTTTAAAGATTTATTTTTATTTATGTATATGAGTGTGTCTGTGTGTATGTACACGTGTGTGGAGGTGCGCAAGAAGCCCACGGGAGGGTGTCAGATCCCAGGAGCGGAGGTTGCAAATGGTTGTAAGCCACAGACATGCATGCTCTTAACAGCCAAGCCATCCCTAGCCCGGAGACTGTAATCTTATTCCTAAGTGACAGGTTGAATGGTATGTAGGACACTTGTTCTCACTTAAGCCTAAATATTCATAGTTTTCAAGCCAAGCATATATTGGTGATGCTTTAGTGTAATATGAAATAATCTCAAAGTAAGACCGATTGTATTCTTTCATGTTTTAGGAATAACCTACTTCATCCTCATAACAAGACTGATATCTTAATACATTTTTCATCATGGATAATTTAGTAAGAAAAATTCATAAAAGCCTCCGGATATCCTCCAGGCTAGAATATTTTGGATGCTAGTACATTTCCATTTTACTGGTGATACTCCAAATCCTGGGGTTTTTGGAGGGTGTATGGTTGAGTAGTTGGTTTTTTTGAGACATGGTCATAGGTAGTAGTCTAGGCTGGACTGGAACTCTCTGTAGCTATGGATGATATTGAACCCCTGATCCTCCTGCCTCCACCCCCCAAGTGCTAGGATTACAGGCATTGGCCACCATACCCTGCTTGAATACTGGGCTGTTGTTTTTTTTTTTTTTTCAGTTAATAAAAACTTGTGAAAATGAAATGGGGATCACTGTTCTCTTATTAAAAGAATATTACTTAATGATAATATTTGTGGAATATATTAATTTTGATCTGAAGAGAATAAATGTGTTGGACTTGCAATTTAAATAAACTACTCATGCCTTAAAAATGTGTGAGCTTTTTTAGGTAAAAGAGGGCTTGTTACATTTTGGATTGGAAAAGAATGTAACTGAGTTGGTTCACTCTAGGGCAGTGGTTCTCAACCTGTAGGTCACAACCCTTTGGGGGTCACATATTAGATATTTAAATTATTATTACTAACAGTAGCAAAGCTATAGTTATAAAGTAGCATTGAAATTAATTTTATGGTTGGGGTCCCTACAACATAAGGAACTGTATTAAAGGGTCTCAGCATTAGGAAGGTTGAGAACTAGCACTCTAGGTCTTAATAAAAATGGTTTTAGCTGCTAAATTTATGAGTGTAGTTCCCATTAGTTAGAGAAAGCCTCATAGTTCATAAAGTAAACTATATCACAAAACATTCAGCTTTTCACTAATTCTATTAGAGTTCAAAAAAATTGTTCAGTAGGGCCAGCAAGACAGTTTATCAGGTAAAGGCACTTGCCCTGTTATCCTCTGACCTCCATACATGCTTAATGAAACACCTGTGACCCCACACACAAATAAAAATTAGTAATAAGATGGGGGGCAAGTGAGAAAGACGACCAACACCCACCTCTGACCTACACACACACACAGGCACACACACACACACACACAGGCACACTCACACACACACAGGCACACAGGTATATACACACACACAGGCACACTCGCACACAGGTACACACACATACACACATGCACAGGCGCACATGCACACGCACAGGCACACTCACACATGCACACACAGGCACATACACGCACACATACACACGCACAGGCACACTCACACAGGCACACTCACACACAGGCACACTCACACAGGCACACACACACAGGCACACTCACACAGGCACACACACACACAGGCACACAGGCACACGCACAGGCACACTCACACATGCACACACAGGCACATACACGCACACATACACACAGGCACACACACACACAGAGGCACAGGCACACAGGCACACAGGCACACGCACACACAGGCACACGCACACACAGGTACACACACAGGCACACATGCACACGCACAGGCACACTCACACATGCACACACAGGCACATACACGCACACACACACACACACAGGCACACTCAAGCTGTAGAGGGAAACCAAAAGACTAAAATTTGAGGGCGCTGGTGGCACACGCCTTTAATCCCAGCACTCGGGAGGCAGAGGCAGGTGGATCTCTGTGAGTTCGAGGCCAGCCTGGTCTTATAAGAGCTAGTTCCAGGACAGCCTCCAAAACAATACAAAGAAACCCTGTCTCCAAAAACCAAAAAAAAAAAAAAAAAAAAAAAAAAAAAAAGACTAAAATTTGGAAAGTCAAGCTTCATTTCATGAACTCCGTATTAGGGAATAGAAGACAAAACATGTTACTGATTGGAAAGTTTTTGTATAAGCTGAGCTCTGTCTTTGCAAAATGTTTTTTTAATGCCAAATCAAAATGATAAAGCTAGAGTGTAGCTCAGTGGGAAGGCTCTTGCCTAAGGTGCGTGAGGCCTTGGTTCTGTCCCCAGCATTACACAAAAAAGTTACACATTCTTTAAAATGGTGGGGCCTATGATTGTTACTAAGACAGTTAATGATTTCTTGCTCTTGGTAACTATTTTACCCCTAGAACAGAATATATATACGGCTGTTTATATATAAACAAATTATTTATGGTAAATTTGGGGACAGACTTTAACCTAGCATGGTATTTGCAAGTGTGTCTCAAATATGTCTCATCTCATAAAATTGCTAATGGCACACTGGAATTATAACAGTCATTGGTCTCTTTACATACCACAGATAAGCATCTAACACATACTTCAGGATCTAGAAATTGGCCCACCAAATCTTTATTAAATAGTATATTTGGTCTATCTCATTGTTAAAACAGAGAATAAATGTATCAATATAAACTGCTTTCTGTCTCATGCTTTGCATGCTCAAGCTAGGTAAGGGGCAAAGATCTCAAACCCCTGCACTGATGACAGTATGTCTTCAGAAACTGTTTGGAAGCTTGTTTGGGAAGTACAAAATCCATAACAAACCTCAAAGTATATTATTTTCATCTTTCTGTTAAAGTCTAGATTCCTTTTCTGTTTTAGTTACTTTTTTTTCTATTGCCATGGCAAAACACTATGACAAAGGCAACTTATAAAAGCATTTAATTCAGGGCTCATGGTTCCATATTATTGGCCCACGACCATCAGGGCTCATGGTTCCAAGAAGGTTGGCCCATGGTCAGGGCTCATGGTTCCAGAGGGTTGGCCGGTGACCATCAGGGCTCATGGTTCCAGAGGGCTAGTTCATGACCATCATGGAGGAGAGCATAATGGCAAGCAGGCATGTCATTGGAGCAATAGTGGAGTACTTAAATCTGATCCCCAAGCAAGAAACAGAGAGAGAGAGTATGCTAACTGGGAAATGGCAAGGACTTTGAAACCTCAAAGCTCCCCAAGTGACACCCCTCTTCCAACAAGGTTGTAATTGGACTTTTCATTGGGCAACCAGGTCACAAATATCAATACAGAGACTTCTTATTAATTAGGAAAGCTCAGCCTTTAGCTTAGGCTTGTTCCTAACAAATTAACCCATTTATATTAATCTACGTTCTATCATGTGGTGTTACCTCTTTTCTGTCTTGCACCTCCTGTTTCCCCTCAGTGTCTAGTGGAGTCTCCACCTTGCTTCTTCCCAGAGTCCTGTCTGTCCTTGGAAGTCCTACTGGATCTCTTCCTGTCTAGCTATTGGCTATTTAGCTCTTTATTAAACCAGTCGGAAGGTGCCTTAATAAAGACACATCTTTGCAAGGCAAACACATTTTCCACAATTCCCCTTTTTGTCTAAATAAAAAGGGTTTAATTCTCAGACTGGAGAGATGGCTCAGAGGTTAAGAGCACTGACTGCTCTTCCAGAGGTCCTGATTTCAATTCCCAGCAACCGCATAGTGGCTCACAAGCATCTATAATGAAATCTGGTGCCCTCTTCTGACTGGCATGCAGGCAGAACACTGTATGCATAGTAATAAATAAAATCGTTTTTTAAAAAAGGGGTTAATTCTAATATAGTGAAACTATATACAGTAAGAACAATTATCAGCTGGAGAGATGGCTCAGCCTACAGGCCTAGAATATTTGACAGACTTTTCTGTGAAGCAAGAAGTTTGAAGGCCTCTCCTCAACACGGCTAGAGACAAATTCTCTCATGAGACTCTTTTCTTCCTTTTATACCTCCTTAGTGCTGGGATTAAAGGCATGTGATCCCAACTGCTGAGATCACCTTTGTGTGAGCTGTTTCTCTTTAGGACTGGGTCAGTTTTGTGTAGCTCAGTTAGATCAGTCTGCCTGTCTCCTGAGTCCTGGGTTTAAGAATGTGTGCCACGGGGCTGGAGAGATGGCTCAGAGGTTAAGAGCACAGACTGCTCTTCCAGAGGTCCTGAGTTCAATTTCCAGCAACCACATGGTGGCTCACAACCATCTATAATGAGATCTGGTGTTCTCTCTGGCCTGCAGGCATATATGCAAGGAGAATACTGTATACATAATAAATAAATCTTTTTTTAAAAAAATGTGTGCCACCAACCCTATGGCTAGCTAGTATAGTGGATAGGATTAAAGGTGTGTATCACCACTGCCTGATCTCTATAATACATTGCTGCCTTTGCATCCTGAACCCTAATGCAAGCATTATTAAATCATTAGTATGTCCTAACAAAAATAACCTTAAATTTGTAAATTTGTATCAATATACAGAAATCCATAACAACGGAAAATGTGGTCTATAGAATGAGTTCATTCCAGAACAGCCAGGGCTACCAAAGAAACTCTGTCCCAATGACAAAACACACACACACACACACACACACACACACACACACACACACACACACAATCAGGGTTCTCTAGAGCACAGAATTGTTAGACTGGCTTATGGATTGTGTTCAGAGTAGTTCAATGTCTGCCTCACAACAGAGAGGCTGAGAATACAGTGGTTGTTAGTCCATGAGACTGGTATCTCAGTAGTCTAAATGTGGCACTGAAGCACTGGAGGACTCCTGGAGAGATGCTGGTCTTCAGTCTACATTGGAACCCTGAGGAAGCTGAACTTAACGCCAGCCTCAGCAGCAGAAGAGATAAACTTGCCAGTGAGAGTGAGGACAAGCAGGCAGAAAGCAAAGTTTCCATCTTCTATGACCTTTTATGTGGACTGCCACCAGGAGTAGCCCAGACTTAGGGTGAGTCTCCCTCCTTCAAATGATCTGATTAAGAAAACCCATCACAGGAGTAACAGAAGCTTGGGTTTAGTTGATTCCAGATGCAGGCAAGTTGACAACCAATATTAGCTATCATACCCACATACACAAATAAATAATAGTGTGCTTTCAGAAACTTAAAATGTTAGAATTAAGGCATGTGAAATGGCCCAGGGGTATTTGCCACCAAATGTGGTAAGTACAACCTCGGGGACTTACATGGGGGAAGGAAAGAACCAACATCCAAAAGTTGTCCTCTGACCTCTCCTCACCATGAGTGGTACATATGACCATGCACATTATAATTCCTCCAGAAGAGCAGCCTGGTGCCCTTATCCACTGAGCAATCTCTCCATCCCACGGATAGCTTTGTTTTTTTTATTTTTTGTTTTTTCTTTTTTGCTTCTACTGTTTGCTATTTACCAGATGAGGAGAAAACTCCAATTTTGTTTGCTTATGTGCTGGCTTCAAACCTGAGGTCTTTGACATATCAGATAAGCACCCTTCCTCTACCACTGAGCTATACCCTCTGCCCTGATTTCACTTTGTGTGTGGGTGTGCGTGTGAGTGAATGTACATATGTGTGGAGGCCAGAGCTCAACCTCTGTCATCACTCTTCAGAAGACAACAACCTTGTTTTTTTGAGACAGGGTTTCCCACTAAGATCTGCTAAGGCTAACTGGTCCTCCTGTGTCTGCTTCTCTGATTCTGGCATTCCAGGGTCTCACCAAGTCCAGCTTTTTATGTGGGTGCTGGGGATCATTCATGCTCAGGTCCTTGTGCCTACATGGCAAGCACTTTACCAACTGAGCCATCTCCCTACACCCCTGAGCTCTTGTTTTAGAATAACAGTATACCTGTGAGCACATGGTTGGATATAATCAAATACAGTTTTTACAGCCTGCTTTGCATGTATATTCTATCATTTTGACAATGGCCTTTGTTAGGTGACTTTTCTTGCTGCCAGCCTAGTCCCAGAGCATGTCAGTCCCAAATGAACACACAAGACTTGTATTAATTATAAAGCTGTTGGCTGTTGCCTATGGTTTTTTTCTTGGCTAGGTCTGACTTAATTATTAACCCATAACTACTAATCTAAGTATTTCCACATGGTCTTCTCTTACTGAAGAAAGGTCCGGGAACCTGTTACTCCTCTGGTATCCTACATGTTGACTGCTCAGCATGTACACAGAGAAGAGAAGAGAGCAATTTCCTGTTTCTCCCTGCTTATATTCTGATTCTGCCCTGTTACGTTCCTGGGATCCCATGACAACTCCTCTGCCTATACTTCCCAGAATCCTCCTTGTCTCCTAGTCCCACCTAACTTGCTTCCCTATTGGCCAACAGTGCTTTATTCATCAACCAATAAGACAAACATATACACAGAAGAACATTCCCCATCAAGCCCTCTTCTGTATTTTTATCTCATTATAACTTTTCTATAGACATAGAGTCTCATGTCATCCCAGTTGGCCTTTAAGCTTCGACTATGTAACAGAGGATGGCCTTGAACTTATGGTCCTCCTGCCTCTAGCTCCCTAAATAATACAATTACATGCAATGCAAGTATACCACAGCCTGGATGATAGTTTGAGGGGCAAGAGTTTAGTAGTGCTGGGGATTGAGATCAAAGTTTTTATTCCAAATAGTTCAATCCTGATTTCTTCCAAAATATTTCGTTTTTGTACATCTATTAGACAGAGGCCACTCTGCCTCACTCACTGAGCTATGAACCCTGAAGAGAAACAATGTTGACTCATCTTTGCACTGAGTTAATCCCATCCCCTCTCACTCAGCAGGCCACATGAATGGTAAAGTCAGCTGACAAACACTGCAGCAACCATTCGAGAATGCATATTGTTCTTATAAGAGTGATGGGCATTATTTTCTTCTTTTCCAGGCTTGTATTTCAACAATCAGAAAAATTTTCGAAGATGGAAAGCCAATACCAGTTACTGCAAATAGAGAGCAGAGAGTTTCAAGGACTACAGAATAAAATCAGTTTCATTTCAGACAAGGTAATCTATTAATTTATTTGCACTCGTCTTCCCTGCTGCCATGCCCACATTTCAGGTCAAAGCTTCTTTAAACTCTCATTATTCTAACTCCTAAGTGGACTTCCTGTTTCTTGACATTCTCCCCCCCCAAAATCCAAGTTAATTCCTGGAAACCACTGAAAGTATGGTTGCTCTAGGTGGACATGTAGTACACACCTTTAATCCCAGCACTCTATAGGCTGAGGCAGACAAATCTCTGTGAGTTCAAGGATAGCCTGGTCTACATAGCAAGTTCCAGACCAGCCTCTGTTCAGATGGTCACAGAAAGCTATTGCCATACTGAATTCCCTTGAGGGATTCCTGCATCTCCATTATTTCAAATACTGATTCAGAATATCACCTTCCATGTTCACCAAGAAATGGTACTGCCGAGACATCTCGGTGGTTAGGAGCACTGGCTGCCCTACCAGAGGAAGTGTGTTCAGTTCCCAGCACCCACATGGTGGCCCACTGCTATCTATGATTCCAGTTCCACTATGCCTTGCTCTGATACCTGTAGCACTGTATATATACAGTGCACATACATACTTGAAGGCAACACATGTGTGCATATAAAATTTAAAATAAAAAAAAGAAATGTGTTCTTTGCACTCTTGATATTTGGGACAAAAACAACCACAACAAAAATATAAGACATGATCTCTTCCTGGAAGGAATATTGCATCGTACTTCTGGAATGCTTGTGCTGGGTCACTGAAGTCTGGGTCAGGACTCTGCCTGAGTCCTTCCATATGTCTCCCCTTGCTGTAGTGCATGCAGATTGCTTTGCTTCCTAAGTGAGCTGCTGCAGGGCAGAACTGTGTCCTGTCTCAACACAGTGCCGCAAACATTTGATAGCTCAGTAATTATTCCTGGGTCTTTTCACAATCTCTAAAACTTTCATCCATATGAGGCGTGGAGACTAGTGAAGTCCATGACATGGCCCAAATATCCCAGTCCATTCTAAGAGGTCCTAGACACTTATCCTGGTCTGCAAATAATCACTGCCACTTGAGGTAACTTGTCTCCACTGCTTTTATAAGAATTCATTTTTGCCTTTTTACCATCCAAATCTAGTTCTTTCTCTGGAAGGGGTTAGCAAAAATAATAATAATGATTCACTCAGAAATGTCCAAAATCATAGGATTTATGAGAAGTAGCAAATTTTACACTATTGCAGTTTCCTTTTTTGTTGTTGTTGTTTAGGTTTGGTTTTCTGTATGTTTTTTTTTCTTTTTAGTTAGGTTTTTTGTTGTTTTTGTTTGTTTGTTTGTTTTTCAAGACAGGGTTTCTCTGTATTGTTTTGGAGGCTGTCCTGGAACTCGCTCTGTAGACCAGGCTGGCCTCAAACTCACGGAAATACTCCTGCCTCTGCCTCCCGAGTGCTGGAATTAAAGGCATGCACCACCAACACCCAGCTTGCAGTTTCCTAAAAGCCAAATAGCCATGTTCCTTTCCATTTTCATGAAAAAAGAAACTCCAGTATACTTCAAAAAATGTTAACATTTCTTTTGACTATGCCCTCATGAAAAAGATATGTTAAATAACTAGGATTATGAATTCAGGTTTACATTTTTCAACATAGGATTACTCTATTACATTTGTCAAAAACTATAGTAATAAATTTTCTGTTCATGTGATTCTGATGCAGTTAAATAATTTTGGAATTTGAACCTTGTATATGTTATGCTCCTGATTGTTAAAATATGTTTCTCTAATATAAAAGTGATTAAGTAGCTCGGGATTGTTTGTGTTGTAAATGCAGCTTGAGTCTACTGAAAGTATCCTGCAGGAAGCTACAGAATCCATGGCTTTGATGACCCAGTTTGAACAGGAAGTATCTGGCCTCCAAAGATCCATACATGACATTGAGAATAGTGAAGAGATACTCACGCAAAAGATGCAAAATCTTAATGAGAAATTCCAGAACATTACAGATTTCTGGAAGAGAACCCTGGCAGAAATGAGTGATAATACAACCGTTTTCAAATCAGAAGCAAAGCATATACATTCTCAAGTTACCATGGAAATTAACTCAGCTGAGCAAGAAATGAAATTGCTCACCGAACGGCTAAAAGATTTGGAAGACAGCACACTACGAAACATCCGAACAGTAAGCAGGCAAGAAGAGGAAGATCTTCTCCAAGTAGAGGCACAGCTCAGCTCTGACACAAAAGCAATTGAAAAGCTAGAAGAAGAGCAGCACTCACTCCTGGCCAGAGACGAAGATCTGACCAATAAACTTTCCAGCTATGAACCCAAAGTTGAAGAGTGCAAGGCACATTTGCCGACTATAGAAAATGCGATCCACTCTGTTCTCAGAGTCTCCCGGGATCTGATGGGGACAGAAAAGAAAATGGAAGACCTTACTATGCAGATGTTTAACATGGAAGACGATATGCTAAGGGCAGTGTCTGAAATAATGGAAATGCAGAAAACCCTTGAGGGAATTCAGTATGATAATAGCATATTAAAGATGCAAAATGAACTGGTTGTTCTAAAAGGAAAAGTTCATGATTTCATAGCATATTCAAATGCAAGAGAAAGGCAGACTTTGGAGAACTATAACCTAGAAAATGAGGGAACTGGTGATTATTAGGTCTGCTGCCTATCTCTTGATGGGCTCTATTACTGAGTGGAGATGGGTCAGCTGTACAGCTCCAGTCATTTGCCCTGCCTCACTTTACTAGAGACTCAGTGGAGGATGGACCACATGGAGTGTACACATAATCAAACGTTTATCTTTTCAAGATCTAAAACTGATTTCCACCATCTTAAAGAGAAAGTTCTGTTGGGAGGTGGTGGCACATGCCTTTAATCCCAGCACACACAGGCAGCTGCAGGTGGAGCTCTGAGTTCAAGGCCAACCTGGTCTACAGAGGGAGTTCCAGGCCAGCCAGGGTTACACACACACAGAAACACAGTCTCAAAAAACCAAAAAAAAAAAAGAAGAAAGGAAGGAAGACAGAAAGAAAATGAAAAGATAGTTCTAAAATATATATTGCTTTATATTTTAGGCAATATATTTAATATTTACATGTCTTTACAATAATTAATAGACATCATTATGAATTATATTTATTATACTAGATATACGTGTATAGAGATACAGATATCTATACATAGATATCTGTAGCAAATATTGAGACATTTGCATTTCCCTATGCGACCCTAAGTTTTCTGCTTTTCAAAGCTGTGTCTGTTTCTCATGCCTTTTCTGTCACCTGTTCTCGCAGTCAGTTGATAGCACACCTGCCTCTGCCAGGTTTTATATTCAGACAACCAAGTTCATAGGAATTTTATGTCAAAGAAAAGGTAATATGCCTGCAGAAGAGCCTGGGGGCTCTTCTGTGAGGGAATGCCACATTCGGAAAACTATGGCACCTGGGAAGTATCTTCCGGAAAACTATGGCACCTGGGAAGTATCTTCCTTTTTACAAAGGTTCTAAACTGTGTTACAGATACTTAGAAGGAGTTTACAATGTGAGTAAATATGTTCTTACTTTATCCTCAATAATAGCCTTTTCTATTAACTGGATATGCTTTGAAGTTTGAGCTCACAGAGTACTTTTGTGAACCTGGACTTTAATTTCTAAAGTTTGACTATGTGACACTAACGTTTACTAAACACAACCAAGAGACACTTAAAAATATGTTGGTAAGCCTGTGCCTGTTTTAAAGATGAAAACAACATAATAAATTGTGATAATTATGACATATTTGTGTCATTATTTTAAAGATTCCCCAACTTATGAAACGAAGGGTTTTTTTTTTTATTGTTTTGTGGGTTTTGTTTGGTTTTTCGAGAGAGGGCTTCTCTGTATTGTTTTGGAGGCTGTCCTGGAACTCGCTCTGTAGACCAGATTGGTCTCAAACTCACGGAGACCTGCTTGCCTCTACCTCCTGAGTGCTGGGATTAAAAGCGTGCGCCATGAACGCCCGGCCTAAGTTTGTTTTACATACTGATTTTTTTTTTTAATTGTGGCTGGAACTAGGCATGGTGGCACATGCCTTTAATCCCAGCACTCAGGAGGCAAAGGCAAGCAGATCTGTGAGTTCAAGTCACCCTCTCCTACATCGTGAGACTTGTGTCTCAAAAGATAAACAATAACAATAAGGCTAGGAGACAGCTCGTGTAGTGCTTGCTGTGAAAGTGTGAGGACCTGACTTTACCCAGTACTGACACAAAAGGCTGGGGCTAGCAGTGCTGCCTGTAATACCAGCACTGGAAGACAGGGAAGGATGCAAATATCTCATGAGAAAGCTGTCAAATATCGTGTCTTTGTATTCCTTTGCTAAGAAATTTGCCAAGCTGGGCGTTGGTGGCGCACGCCTTTAATCCCAGCACTCAGGAGGCAGAGGCAGGTGGATCTCTGTGAATTCGAGGCCAGCCTGGTCTCCAGAGCAAATGCCAGGACAGCCAAAGCAACACAAAGAAACCCTGCCTAGAAAAACCAAAATAAGAAATTTGCCCTGGGGCAGAAGAGATGCCTCATTGCTAAAGAGCACTGGCTGTTCTTGCAGAAGACTTGGGTTGGTTCCCAGCATCCACATGATGGCTCACAACTATCTGTAGCTCAGCTTCCAGGGTGTCTGGTACATTCTTTTGACTTCTGCAGACACCAGGCATGGCATGCGTATGGTGCACAGATCATATGCATAAAATAATTATAAATGTTTTTCATTTCCTATTTGCCAGAATTGTCATTGGAGAGATCTAGATACATTTACTAAATCTTGCTTTGTTTTGTTGTTATGTGTTTTGGAGACTTTTATTTTATTTTTGAGACAGGGTCTCAATATGTAGCCCAGACTAGTCTTAATTCATCATCTTCCTACTTCTGCATTTCAAGTAATAGGGTCACAGGTAAATGTAATGGCCCAGGCTTCACTTTGTTGTGCTTTATGAAAATTACCATTTTCTAATACACATTTTTGTATATCTGTAATTGGTAATAAATTTTATATCAATTTTCTTATAGAGAGTACTGTCCATTTATTTAAAAATTTCAGCACAGATAAAGCAGTTTTACAACTAGGCATGGTGGGGCATGTCTGTAACTCCAGGTTGAAGCAGGAAGAGTCTAAGATCATGGCTACATAGCAGTACACTAACAGCAAAGGGCTTTGCAGAAAGAGAGATAGCTCTGTGCTTAAGAGTGCTTGTAGGCCGGGCGGTGGTGGCGCACGCCTTTAATCCCAGCACTTGGGAGGCAGAGGCAGGCGGATCTCTGTGAGTTCGAGACCAGCCTGGACTACCAAGGGAGTTCCAGGACAGTCTCCAAAGCCACAGAGAAACCCTGTCTCGAAAAAACCAAAAAAAGAGTGCTTGTTAACCCTGCAGAGAGCCAGAGTTCAGTTCCCAGCACCTGCATAAAGCTGTTCCCAGTCACCTATAATCACAACTCTAGGGGATCCAGTGCCCTCCTTTGGCCTCCATAGGCACCGACTGCTTTTCCAGAGTACCTGGATCCTCTCCAAGCAGCCACATGGCGGCTCCCAAATGTGACTCCCGTTCCAGGGCATTCAGTACTCCCTTCTGACCGCCACAAGCACCAGACAGGTACATGGTACACAGACACACGTGCAGACAAAGCGCCCCAAACATCGTACAGTGAAAAACTGTTTGGATTACAGGAGGGGCTGGAGATATGCCTCAGCTGATGAGTGTCTGCCTAACATTCATGAAGCACTGGGCTCTGTCACCAGCACGGCATAAAATGAGGCCTGAACACTGGGGAGATGGAAACGAGATCGTACATTCAAGGTCATCTTCAACTACATAGAGCGCTGCCTGAAACACTGTCTCTACATGCACACACACATACGTATACACACACACACACACACACACACGCATACATGCATACATGCATACATACATTCACCGATTTAAAGGGATAGCTAGGGATGTAACTTAGAGGAGAGTACCGACCTGTCACATGCAAAGTCCTGAACTCATATCCAGCACTGAAAAGGAAGGGCGGGATGGAGAGAAGAGAAACAAGAGCGTAGCAAGAGAAAAAAAAAAAGGACTTCACCATTTCTAGTCTGTTAGCACATTGTATTGAGTTTCCATTTTAGAAGTTCATAATAAATCCTCTTCCAAGCCACTAAATGAATCAAAGCAGCTCCCTAGTGACCCAGCCTCCTAAAAGTGAGCTCTTTCTAAGATGTCTTAGTCAAGCCATACTATTAAAGCTATGCTTACTCCACAGAAGTAGATACATTAGCTAATGACAGCCTAGTGATAAAATAGACAAAAGAGAGCCTTCTAGTCCTCTCACCCATGGGAAGCTTCTCAGCAAATAAGTGTATTGCAAAATGAGATTCCCTAAAAATAAAACATTTTGCAATTACTACTTGATTCCCGTCTTGTTTGTAGCTACTCATTAATGTCGTGCTCCAAGTAACCTTATCACAAGCAGACTTCTCTATCAAAAACACATTCTGGGTCACCTACTCTGCCAATCATTGGCAGAGCATAAAGCTACTGAAGAGAAAAGTCAAATATACACTGAAACCAAACGTGATTGAGCAAAGAGGGGGACTTGCTACCTTGAATTAACTGGTCTACCTCATTTCAGCAGATCACTGTAAACCTTCTGTTATAGTCACGGCTTTTTAAATCTATTCAAAATACTATTCTGGGAACTAAGGATATAGACCAGTGGGTAAAGCTGAGAACCTGAGTTTGGATCCCCACCACCCACATAAAATTTGGGTGTAGAGGGGTATAGATGGTTCAGTGGCTAAGAGAGCTTGCAGAGGATTCAGATTTAGCGCCCCGTACCCACATAGAGACTCACAGCTCCCTGTAATTCCTTTTCCAAGGCCTCTGAAGCCCTGGGCTCCTGATTTATGTAGTGTACCCAAACTAACACAGGTATACACACATGTAAGAAAAACTTTTCTAATTTTTTTTCAAATATTGGGAATGGAGGGCTGGAGAGATGGCTCAGAGGTTAAGAGCACTGGCTGTTCATCCAGAGGATCTGAGTTCAATTCCCAGCAACCACTTAGTGGCTCACAACCATCTATAATGAGATCTGATGCCCTCTTTGGGCATTCAGGCATGCATACAGACAGAACACCGTATGCATAATAAATAAATAAAAATTTTTAATTGCATACAGAGGGCATGTCTGTACTTCCAGCTCTTGATGGAGACAAGATGGACCTAGGAGCCTACTGGCCGGTCAGTCAAGCCAATCAGTGCGCTCCATGGTCACAGAGAGACCTTGTCTCAAAAACTAAGGTAGTGCCATGTGTGGTGGCATAAGCCTTTGATCTCAGCTCTCAGGAGACAAAGGCAGATGGATCTGGTCTACATAGGACATTTCAGCCCAAAGCTACATAGTGAGACCCTATCTCCAAAAGAGAAAGAAAAGAAGGCAGGCAGGCAGGCCGGCAGAAGTGGAAAGCAATAGTAGAAAACACTGGACACACACATTGACTTCCGACCTACACACACAAAAGACAGAGCTTATTACTTTGTTTTCCTTAGATAAACTACATGTATGTTAGCCAAAATAATCAACAAAAGGTAACTGAGTAAGCCAATACAATGTAAGAATGGTGACCCCCCCCAAAACATTGAAGAAATGTATAGTTACTCTAGAGAAACACCTGATGCCTAAAGGTTAAACTGCATACCTTATGAAAAATGTTTTCAGCCTTCATGTCTTCTTTTTGTCCCATATCTTTTTTCTGTGTTTTAAAGAATCAGTTTCTTGACAATCTGCTTCCGAAACTAAATAGCAAACACCCCAAATGAGAGACTGCTCTGATCCTACTTGCATGTAATATGCAACATGGAAAGTTGTTGGCTCAGTGGAAAGCTGCAGCATGGAACAGTCAGAGGACAGCTTTGGGGAGTCTGCTCTCTCCCTCTACCATGTGGGTCCCAGGAGTTATC